AAGATGATTAAAGTACAATTGAATGCTAAAATGAAAAAACCCACTAATTAATAGATGATCTCAAGTGTTTTATAATTCATCAAAGGCTACAAGAGAGTTTGTATGACACAAATTTTGTATAACAAGGTTAAAGTGAGTCATGAAAGTTGAAGGATTTTTAAGATACCAGCTAGTTTGGAGCAATCATTGGCAATAGTTGGTACAGCTACAAGTGAAAGTAAGATGATCCCATAAAGCACAAATGAGACTGTAGCAGTTGCGGCTGCTCAAGGATGGGTGTTGATTAAGCTAGAGGTACCAATGGCACCTGCTATGACTCTGATTGTCATTCCAATGGTGTAGTAATCATCAGAGCCAACAGTAATACAAACTCTTAACAACTTGAACATGTGATCACAAATAAGCACCACCTGGATGAAATAAGAATTGAATCAAGATTCAAGATAGATGCTTATGGAAAGATTCAATAGTGTATTCAAACTAAACTAGAATTCCTGTGACACATATCAAAACCACAACTAATTTTGTATCACCACTTCCAGCATAGATGCCTCGGGTTGAGAAATCCGAGGCATCATCGGAGGCAAATCCTCGGACAAACCTTGTCTGAGGTTTTGCCCAAGGTATTTTTTGCCCTGAGAATTACCTCGGATCAAAACCTTGGGAAGCTTCTGTCCAAGGTTTTGCATCCGAGGATACCTTGGATTTTGTAATCCGAGGTAAATATGTTGGTGGTGCACCACCTGTAGCATTGATGAAATCTATTCCAAACGGAGTGGACATAAATCAAGCCGCAAATGTAATCCCCCTCTCTCCATCAATTCCCATGAGACAAGCCAAGTAACACCATAATAGTAATGAAACCACACTTGGGAATGATGACAATCAAGATCCAAAAGAAATTGGTGAATAAGTTGTTTCATGATCTAAACAGTGGGAAGGCTAAGCAAACCTTTTAGAGTTGAAGAAATTTAGAAATCATAAGGGTAACCCTCAAAGATTTGATTTTAATCTACACTGGAAGAAAACATTGACTTACAATTCCAAAGACAAGGATAGTTGACAAGATATCTCCAGAGCCAGGTCCACTTCCATTGTAGCCTCTTGATGTTCTGAACAGAACAAAATAAGTACTACCAGTGGCCTAATCCTTCAAAGCTATAACCAAACAATAATTTTGAGTGAAGGATTTTGGACGGAATGTATTGAATCAATTCAGAAGTTCAGGTAACTTACTGGTGGGGAGTGATAGGCCTTTGATGGCACCAAAGATAAAGATACACAAAATGGTGATCCCACTTGTGACCAAGATTGCATGTAATATCTTCTGCCACGGTCAAGGAATGACTCTTTGACTGAGGATCCAGGATAAGACAACTGTACCAAGGAATAATGGTTGACTACACTTTTCACCTCCAGGTGTGAATCAGAGAGGAATTCCAATAAGAACAATGATGAAATAAAACAGAGGGTCGAACCAAGCTGCCATCCTTCAAACCATTAAATCTTCATCACTTTCTGAATTGGTGGGATATTCTCGAGTACTAGGCTGGAGTAAGAAAATTCAGTCACTTATATCTTCATGGAGGGCCTTTGATCCAAAGTGTCTGACAGACCTTGCCTTTCTCAACATCATGCTCATTTTTTACCTTGGTCCCACCTACAGTCATGGTGCCATCAATAGTAAGCTCCATGGTGACACCTCCGGGTTGAAGCAGGGTGTTATGTTTGTTCCCTGCGGTGGAAGGAAGTGTGTGGGTTGTGGCCAATGCTTTGACTTGTTGTTTATTGCTGTTCTCCACATCATTCACCTTCACCTTCTGAATGCCGGATTGAGTCTGAGGTTTTGACTCATGGGTGGGCCAAAAGAAATTTAAAGTCTTGCAGATTGTTGGTTATTGGTTTGCTTGCTACAAATAAAGTTGTTTTTTCTCTTCTATCTTCATTTCAAATGAATGTGCAGTTTTCTCTAACACACTTCTCTCATATATTTGCTCATCTCAATACGTGTCTTTTCAAATCTTTTTTTTTATTTGATATGTTTCCTGGTTACTGTCTCTCACTTTATTCTGGTCTGCGCTTTTCTCTTTTAACTCTCAGCTGTCTGTGTGTCTGTCCTATAAAGAGCTACCTATGAGTCGAAGAAGTTTGATCCTCATCTGTTTCAAACTTCTTTGTATTAACACTATAAGCAAACACTAATCTCCTACAGCATATTTTGCTTTCGTGTGAATGACTCATAGGTAAGCTGATAGTCTCATCTTTTTGTCTCTGCGTAGTTTTTCTCATATCTTTTTATCTCTCTCTTCATGTATACATTTTGTGTCTACTATGTTTTTGTCAAGAAATAAAGATCTGTTTCAAACTTCTTCGTATTAACACTATAAGCAAACACTAATCTCCTACGGCGTATTTTGCTTTTGTGTGAATGACTCATACAGATACCAACTGTTCCAATGCAAGTCACCAAGAAAGAGGGGATGAAGAGTGCACATATCAGACCAACCTCCTTTGCTAGCATTGCATCTCGTCTTGGAATCCTGATGGGATGGATTTAATTGAGACAGGCATTAGAAATTCCTACTGGTGAGCTTGCACGACAAGGAGAAGATATCAGACTGTGAAGAGAGAACCATGTATAGACAAGCATTACGCACAGGATAAAGGAAGTTGTGAAAAATAAACCCATGTTTCACAACAACCAATCCGCAGCAGGACCAAAGAATGCATGGTGCCATTTTGATAACTTATTTGGTGAGATTTGATGAATGATGTTCATGAAAAAAACAAGATGATCATAAACACTGCCTGTAATGGTGTTAAGAAATTTGATTTTGTGATGATAGTTAGGGCGCGTTCACTCAAGCAATTTTGGGGGATAAATCACATTCTACAAAATTTAAAGTGTCTATTTGGTGAAGCATGTTTCATTTTTGCATTAAAAAATTCACAGAACATGATTTCTGGTCAGAATTTCCTCAAGTGAACATGCCCTTATTTCTCTGTAAGAAAAATAACTTCACATATTTACACGGCAACTTCTTGCCTCTGAATCTCATGACCGGGTACATAAAGATACCTAAGATATAAGAAAAAAAAGATATGATGGAATTCACTCACCAAAGATGGAAAGGTGAATGGGAGTAACTCAATCCCCAAATCTACGAGGTAAGAAAAGAACAACAAAACGATAAGTGCCAATGGAACTTGGACATAAATTTAATGAACTACAATCTGTCTTCCGTTTTCTTTTATGAACTGATGATGCCGATAGGAAAAAAAGCAAGAGTATGACTATAAACAGGTTCTAAGATTTTCTTGTGATAGATGAAGATAATAAAGTTTTCTAACCTTTCTTGATGCGAGTTGAATAAGTGTTATAGTGCTCATGAAGGGTATGGAGGTTCTTGACTTCTAAGATAAGTTGAATTGTAATTCAGGTTGAGCAAACATAGACTCACACAGATTGTGACAGTTATCAGAGCTTCATTAGGTGCTTTCAAACTAGGAAAAAGTCAAGATGTTCACCAGAAAAATCATCAACTGTGTAATTACAATACATGCAATACAAGACTGTAGTGCAATCATAGTTTTTCATTACATGCTTTTTTGCTCCTTCAAAATTGTGAAGCCCTACAAGGGAGGAGGAGGGAGGCCCTGGGAGGCCCCCTCCAAATACAAAGTTGAACTTTGTGATTGCACTACAGCGATGTATCAGATGTATTACAATTACACAGTTCACATTTTTTCTTGTGAACATTTTGACTTTTTCCTAGTTTGCAAGCACCTATTGAAGAGGCAGAATGCTTTTGCCAAGAAGCTATGATCATCAAGGATCATCATACATAAAAAGTACGAGTCACTTTCCGAGACTGACTGGTCCCATTACAACACAATTTCGTTCTTGACTAACCGGTTACATTGATCAACGCCTTGAGCTTATACGGAACAATCTTAAGACTAGCTCACTGGCACCCTTGAAAAACCATTTCGTGTATGTTACTTCATCAAATCATACATAAGAACAGGAGATGTTAGCGGTGTGGTACTACAAAGTCTCTACGTGGGGCTTATTGACTACTGGCTGACCTCTCAGCGTCTCTGGGGAGTTGTAAGAGGCCGACCTTAAAGCCAGAGGCCAATGAGATGTCTGAGTCACTGGGTGATGGACTCAAGGAATAAAAGCTTTCATTACAGACATCCCCACTCCACCTTTCTTTTGATCTACATACTTCCTGATGTGCCTCTACTTTGTGGGCAGATCATTGGGTCTAATGACATCTTGGACAATGACTGGCCCATGTATCATGCGTACTGACAATCTCAAGAATCAGGATCTTCCACGTTGCAAGCTACAGCCTCGGGCAATAGACATTGTGCTTCAGTTGTGATTTTCCATCAATCATTTATTGTTCCCTTCCAAGCAGTTGAAGAATTTCATGACGTGATCCTCCCTTCATAGTTTTAACCAATCTTGAAAAGACCTTCCATGGCCCTGAGCTTGTATCTGATATTGCAAAAGAAGCACATCTGTCATATTTGCTTCATTCCCAAATCTCCCTAGTATCTTCTTTCAAGTAAAAGCAAAAAAAAAGAAAACAATTATCTTCCCATCAAAAAATCAGATAATCAAATCCAGTAAAAAAAGAAAAAATATGCAAACAAATTTAATAATGATGGAGAGGGTCATGAGAAAAAAAAAGCTATAGTGAAGAAAAAAAACAACATCCAAAAAAAATCAAAAATCAAAAATCAAAAATCAGAAGTCAATTGTCAAAAGATAAATGAAATAAAATAAAGCATTGGATTGTCCATAAATAAAAAAAAATTGAGCAAAATTAACTTTTCAAAAAAATTCATGATAATGATAATAATAATAATAATAATAATGAGTCAAGATAAGTTCTGTTCTCTTTATAAAGTTATACAACACCAAAAAAAATTCTTTTTGCCTTCCTGTGAAAGAAAAATCCATATTCTGTGAATCCAAAAATTGATCATTAAGGAACAAATGACGAATTCCTAACCCCCCCAGATGACATTGTACCTAAGAGACAAAAAAAGGAAAATAAATTAAAACCTGTTCCGACACTCATGAAAGGATAAATAAAAAAGTAATGAAAAGCTTACCAGAAAGTGGCATTCTAGGTGGAGGTCTCCTGATACCACTATTTCCAGTCACCTTCTCTGTCATCACAGGTGCATTAGATGAAGACGGTGATCTTCTGACCCTTGTGTTGTTAATTGGAATCATTTTGGGTTGAAGACCATTCAAAGAGACCGACCTCCGATGGTTACTCTTGGCTTGCGTTTCCTCAATTGATTCAAGTTGCATAGGTCTACGTTGATGACGATGTACAATCCTTGCAGAAGCTGATCTTTGTACCAATGATGGTGCGGGTGCCAATGTTGATGATCCCAAGGTAGGAAGGCTTGGGTTCCTACGAGCGGCACTAGAACCTGATCGTTCCAAAGTTGGTCTAGGTCTTGATAAGGATTGTTCGGGTATCAGGGGCAAGTTTTTCACTGATGGTTTCCGAGTCATTGACATTGAAGGGTTCAGGCTAGATTGAAACGGGAGTGAAGCCGGAGAAGGTGACTGAGAGATGGGTGAGGATACCATGGGCAATTCGTCCAGTCCTACCATCGTAAATCCAACTTCGTCTAGTTTGGCAAGCATGCGAAGGCCCTTATTAGGATTAGGAGCGGTCGAGGCACTGTTCTGTCGGTTAATCGCATACTCAGCCATCGCTTTGTCTGGGTCAACTGGCATCGAGCTGGGTTCTGGTACTCTCATCTCCATGGTATTGAGGCTAGGCAGGTGAGGCCTCTTGTCAGATGAAGGAGTTTGAGATCTAGTAGATCCGTCACCTGAATCATCTCGCAAACTGATGATAGAAATTTGATAAAAATAATGGAAGTGTCAGTTAGCTGATGGTTCTCCAAGGAGCGAATTCACTGACGTATTTGATGGTCTGCGCAAAATTCTCTTGGAGAGTTTCCTAGGGAGGTTGAGGGGTGACGTAGAGCGAGATGGAATAGTTGTGTCATTTAATGAATGACCCATGGATGAGTTTGAGGCCCAAGGTGATAAGGGACGTTGAGAGTTAGTTGCATAGTCTGCCATAGCTTGATCCGGGTCGACATTGGACTCTGAAACTCTCATTATATAGCTAGGAGTGGGTGAAAGTCCATATGTGGGTGTGTGTGAAATAGATGGCTCTTCTGAATCATCGCGTGACCTGGGGAGTAGGTAAACAGAAACCAAAGGACGGGGTCAGATCGAGTGATCCGTGTACCATCTTAGTCAGGGCAATACTCACGTTTGAAAGAGTTGGCCGGACAGGTGTTCCGAATTTTTCGTTCGTTGGCCGGAGGGAGACGGAGAGCGATGTTTGTGAAGGGATGTAGAGCGATTGGGTGGATGATAAGGCGCATCTTCTAAAGCGACCGGTACTAATGAAGGTGGATCATGAAAAGTGTGATCGGTAGGCGCAGAGGAAGATGCAGAAGGGTCACGTCGAACGGGAGTGCGAGTGAAGGTCGAATGACAATTGCGATCCCAGCTGACACCGTCAAGCACTTCAGCTAGTTCGGTTGATTGATCATGAGGTGTGATTTCGAGTTGAGGAACAGCTAGGTGACTTAGTGAGATAGCACGTGATTTTCGTAATTCCCAGAAACTAGGACGCTGAGCAGTTTGACTAAAATATAATAGGAAGTGAGTTAAATGTGCAGGTATCAAAGGTGAGAGCGTGATAAAGATTACAAGAAACAGACCTGAATCGATAAAAGTCGTCAGTCTCTGTTTGTTCAAGGCTAGGAACGACTTCAGCCACTACCATAGAGTATCTAGTGGGACGATCAAAGACATTGATGGGTAAAAGGTCGCCGGCTCGAGAGATTCGGAATGGTGGAGCATAGGTAGAAGGGTTTCGAGAGGAGTTAAGTTGAATGATAGATTGCCGCGTGAAAGATTTGACATCCTTTCGGGAGATTGGAGCAGCGGGTTGGTCTAGTGCATCTGCGGCTTTTTGTATAGCGACTCTACGTCTGAATTCGCGGCGAGCATTCCAAGATAAAATGAAACCAGCTCCGGTGAGCTAAAGAATAGGATGACAAAAAGTAGATCAGCAATCAAGGATGTGATTTGATAAGTAAAAAGGAATAAAACCCAACAATTAAGAATGATAGGATAACTGAATAGACAACAATGCTGGCCCAAGGTGGGACTAAGATATGACGACCAGGTAATTCAGGGATAGATGTACCAGTTGCACCAGCTACAGAATCTAATTTTCGAACCCGAGTTGGTTGTAAGAGTCGATTAGATCGAGCTTGAAGTGAATGAAGTGAAAGTCTGGGTTTGCATTAAATCGAAAAGCTAGGATTAGATTGATTGTTTGATAAATTGAATCAGAACCTGAAACTCAACTGATGATTATCGACGAAAGTGGTAGTAGTGGTAGTGGTAGTGGTAGGTTTGGGTGATCGTTTTTTCAGTTGCTGTTGATGATGATGATGCTGATGTTGATGAAGCATGTCTCGATTGGATGATCCGAAAGTGAAGATTGAGTTTATCAAGTTCGAAGGGATATTGAACAAGTCAAACTTGAATTGGAATGAATGTGTGGATTATAAAAACCAAATCGAAGACAGATTGAAAGAAAACAAAGCACAGATGAATGATAATGAAATTTCACACCAGAACCAGATGAAGTCAAGAGAATGACGATGTGAGTTTATAGTGAAAGTGGTTTTTGATGATGATGATGAATGAGGATGATGAGAGAAAGAGAGAAAGAAAGAAAGGGAGAACTGTCAAGGTAACGATGAAAGGTAATCAGCGGGGTAAAATCAAATTAAAAGTGAAAGTGTACAATTCAATTTCAATATGCAATAAATCAGATTTCTACCAAAACCAGTTAATCAAGTCTGGAAAAACCAATTGAGTTCAAACTCACCACTCACCACTCTTCTCAAAAATTAATCAATTCCTTTTCCAAATAAAAATACAAGTCATCCAAAAGTTGAAAATATCATCTACTTACTGCTCTGTCACAATCACTCTGGACTAAGCTTCTCATCTCAGCATCTCCAAGCATACTTCAAGTTTGAAAAGGCTACCAAGTAGCACAAATGTTAGTGATCAACTCCCTAAAATTCAGTGAACCAAAGTGTTGTTGAGCTCACTCCAGAGGAATTAGGAAGCCCATCGCAGGGTTGACAGAAAACTGTGGGATTTTTTGGCCATCGAATTTGACAACCTACGATACAGTCGGGTTTTCTTGCTTCGGATACCTGAGAGACCTCCGCTTAGTCCGGGAATTGGCGAGCGAATTGGCCGCGTCTCGCACGCTTCGAGCGCAGAGGGAAATGACAACGAGGCACGCTTTGGCCTGTGAAGGGAATGAGTTTTTGCAGGGGACAGCAGGCTTCCTGATAAAACTTTTTTCCACATCTTTAGATTTTTATGAGGCAAAGAAGTTTTTTGTTCGCCTCTCTGAGACGCATGGATTGATTGAAAAAAAATGAGGACTCTGAAGACTCATCCCTCTACTTTCTCTTGAAGTCTAAGGTTTTTCTCTAATTTATAACTCACTCTGAGTCTTCAAATATGAGTCAACACCCTCGACAACGCTCCAAAATCATGGACTTCAGGATGAACCTGAAAGAGTACTTATTCCTCGGTTTCCTCGGGTTTTTTTTGTTAGAAAGGAGTCTCTCAGAGAGGGGAACAAAAAGTTACTATGGTTCACAAGTTACACCAATAGGTAGAAAACTTTTATCAGGATTGAAACTTTCTTCAGTCAAACTTAAGTCCCCTCACAGGTAAAAGCGTGTCTGGTTGTCATAGGTACTTCACTGCACTTGAAGCGTGCAAGAAGCAGTGTGGGACTTATGACAAAGGACCATGTTTTCACATTTGTCAAAGCACTGTGAAATCTTCTGATTCTAGTGGCCAGTAATTTAGCAGCTACAGTTCTCTAGTACAGAAGACTCTGATATAACTGATACTCAAGCAATTGGCCTCAGAATAATTATGCTTGAGCAAGTATCTATTTTGTCAAACCTCTGGGGAAAGGGATAAAATTTTCATTGCAGGAGATCATAACAATTAATCCCAAGACCGGTTTGCTTAAACAATCGACCATTGTCTCCATTCACCACACAGAATCCATTGTAGGTACATACATCCAATGACGCATGCCTCGCCAACCTCATGTACCCGATAGACAAGAAGATTTTCCCGCACCACACTTTACCAATTCCATCCAGCCCACCTCATTTTATGTCCAGTCGCCAATGACACATAACTCCAGGCCAAATAATGTTCTCACCTTTTTCATCAAGCACCCGCAAACATAATCACCCGGCCCTCAACCAAATTTGCATCAACTGACCACTTGCTACCCATCATCATCTATCACAGTGTCATTTTACTAGTTACCGGCAGGCCAGTGAGTACGTCCACCTCAATCCAATCTCAAAACAATGTCAGTTCAATCTCAATCCAATCTCAATTTTTGGCCTAGAGGAGCAGACAAACAGTCTTCCAAAATGAACTGAAATAAAGTTTAGTTGCATGTCCACACATGAAGGTCTCAGAATTTTTGGAAGGTATGAGTGATTTTCAGATGAGTCACAACCAAATATCCTTCTAAGCCCCTTCCAAAAACTTCTCCTATAAAGCAGAAGGTGACAGCTCTTGATTATATAGATATGTTGGGATTCTTTGTTGGGAAGGAGGTTTCATAATCATAGATATAACTATCATATTAAGAAATGAAAATAGGAAAAGGGACAAGATGGGTGATAAAGTGGTTGTTTTTTGGTTTGTGATATCAATACATTGGTTTGTTATATATATACATTTTTTACTTGAATAGTCAATAATTCATTTAATTCATATCATTTACTATGTTGGGCTTTTCATCTTATTTGTACATAGGTTTTTGATATACTTTTGTTTTGGGAAAGTGTATTTTTTTACTTTGGAAACTAGTAGTTTTGGCTTTTGCAAATATGGTAATTTCAAACTATGAAGGAAATGATGAATGTATGGTTGAGGGATCAGATTAAGTCTTAAATCATGAAGGTTCAACATACATATGAGCTGAAATGATTAGACTGTGCCTTTAATGACTTCTTCAGGAAATACCTGGTTTAACAATACAATTTGGTCAAAAACCCAAATCCAGAACTTGGGTGGTATATATACACCCCCCACAAGTCGCGACTTGTGGAGGTGTGTATAATCTAGCACTAGAGTGGTATCTACACACCCCTGCAGGTCGCGACTTGTGGGGGAGTGTATACATACCACTCAAGTTCCCACACTCATCTTTTGGCTTATTTCCATCATTCACCTCAGGCTCAACCTCCTATTTTCACCAAGCGAGTTCAATTTCTAAAGGTAAGTCATTTCTATTTTTGTATTTCTTTTAATTTTTTTCTCTTCTTTTGATTCTTCTACCTAAAATTAATCAACTTCTTTCTTCCTTTTACTTTCTTCACTTTATTTTGATTAAATTTCTTTTGTGCTTTCTAGATTGATTGATTCATCTTTCTACTTTCTACTTTTTTGATTTTGTTTCATTCTTCTTTTCCTTGTTCTTTATGACTTGTCTAAATTCAATCTTTTTCAAATGAAATGTTCCAATGGTAAGTCATCTGATTCTTCTCTTCTGTGATTCCTTTCTTTACTAACTGAAGTGTCCTTTATGTTGTTAAATGTGTTTCCAGTTCTTTCTTAATTGAATTTTGATTTGAATGTTTCCAGTGAGCTTTAATTAGATCAACCCACTCAATTACTAGTTTGTTTTGTTTATTTTCTTTTGTAGGGTTAGGTAATCAATCAATCAATCAATGAATTTCATCTATTTTTTATATTCCCTTGCATCTTGTTCTTGTTGTTGTCATTGGAAACTTCAAATTTTTCTTTCTTGTAATGTTTGTTTAATTGGATAATTAACACTGAACCCTAATGTTCTAAAATGAAATTTAATCACACAGAAAGCATTTGAATATGAAAAATGGGAAATCATGTACAAAAATGAAAGATTGAGTTGTGAAAGATGATCAAGAAACAAAAAACATTTATGTTTGAAGGAAAGGTTAAAGGGAATATTGGTTATAATGTTGATGTAAGGTGCCATGAAATAGTAGTGAGTTGATTCAAATCATCTAATGATTTGATTACCACAATGGGTTGCTTGGGATTTCATGCCAAGATGTTGATGCAAATCAAACAGGATCAAATTGGAGACCTCAATTAATCAAGACTGAAGGAATTTTTCATGGAAAGATTTTCATCCTTCAGAGGTTAATAAAAATTTCTGTACCCCAAGCTTATGCTTACTTTACCTGCTGAAGTTGAGCGCCTACATCTACCTCAGTACAAGAATTTTTGCAAAGAAATTATCAAGTTATATTGAGATTTAGTCAATACATCATCTAGACCTTGAATTTTTGAACAAATTGCAAATGTATCTTTATTGAATTGTGGCAGAATGTTAAAATCAGAAGCTAAGATGAGGTCAGGATCCAATTAAACTATCTCAAAAGGAATTAAGAGCATGGCTTGGTTCTTTAACTTCAGGACAAGATGAACCAAACTTCATTCAAAGATTAGTTATTACCAGGGTTGTGATCAAATGGACTGATAGTAGCTATTACATTTGTTTGTGAAGAATCAAAACAAGCAAGGAAGGTAAAACCTTTAGACTACTCAATCTTTGCAATATAATCTGTTTTGTAAAACTTTCAGAATGCAGTACACCATACATAGAAAGTAACAAGAAGCCACCAGAAGATTTTGGAGGATAAATTTCATTTTAAGCTGTAGTACTGAACTAGCTCAATGCGGATCTGCAGGTATATGCAGCCCATGCATATCCCCCACTCAAACTGATTTTGAGGTCAATCTGATATTGAACTGACATTGATTTGAGATTGAACTGACATCAAATTGAGATTGAATTGAGGTGAATGGAACTCACTGGCCTGCCAGTGACTAGTAAAATGACACTGTGTATACGCCAACATACACACGGCGACAACCACAACTTTATCGGGAACAGCGCCTATACACATTTCAGCATCCAACCAATTGCTTGACACCTTTCGCCGACTGTCAGTCAATTTACACATGGCGACATTCATGTTTGTATACATTCATGTACCTACACTTATTTCAGCACCGGAGTATGTCCAAGCGTCATCGTCCCAAACCATCGACCTCTCCCCGTTTTTTGGACAACATGAAACATGGTAGCCACCTACAACTACGCGACCCCTCTTTACTCTGAACGACAACTTGCGCACGGCGACATTTATCAGCCAACACACCTCCTGTGTACACATATTTCAGCATCCAGGTACCAACTCATGCCACAACTCACCCAACACGTCCAAACATTTACATCTTCCGCGACATCCTAACAAATCTTTGTGATTGGAAATTCCACAACTACAAGCACTTGACACAACTCAATTCACAAGATTACCAAACACCAGCCACGGAAGTCGCCATGCCTCTCCACTACTATACTCACCACACAGCCCAATTGTAGGCTGAATCTCACTCGCCAAGCACGCTGCGCGCGAACAATCTAAGTGACAATACTATTTCTCGGCGATCAGTCTGATGGCCATAACTGATCAAATCCAATGTCTGAAGACGTTGTTGCCGGACAGGCCAGACATTGCCAAACACACACGCTTACACTCACAAGCGTTTGTCGCGCTTCAGGATTCACACGTGTCTCCCATTTCAACTTACGGTGCGGCAGGATGGGACCCTTCTCTTCAAGCGTAAGTCGCGCATACTATACTCCTTGATAAACATCCATCAACTCATTTCACGTTTGGACCTTCTTTACCCCTGTCGCCCGTCAGCCACTTATCACAAATCTCTCAAGGCAGACCCTCATTTGCGAGTATAAGTAACGCATGATGCTTGGTAGTCCCCTCGCTTTCTGGTCAGCTACATCCTAATAGTGACTTCATTATCAAACAGAACCACGATCCAGACGTAATAACTCTCCATCCCCTGCGCGCATTTTCTTGATCCATAGCTTACAATCAGTCTCCCTACGCAGGTAGCCACAGGCGAAGTATCATATAGCCTCGCAGCCATGACCGATATCAATCCCGCAACTTACAGAGGCATTTATGTATTGGGCAATTTTGAGATTGAAGAGAAGGTATCTCCTTGTTGCCATTCTTGTTTCTGCATTGTGCTAATGATTTGCTTCCTGTGGTCAGATCTCCCCAGACAACGGTTGGCGGTCCGAGTACAGAACCTACGTGATCTCGATTGGATGCAGCGGCGCAGATCAACAAGAACCCTTGCTGTACAAAATCATGGCCAAAGGCTTCAGCGTTGCACAGTTCAAAATGCTGGAGAAACACGTGTACTTTTTACGTGGTGCCCTGTTCCCTTCGAACACGCCTGACACCAAGGCCAACCAGCTAATTTTTGAAGGAAGTGACGTTGCCATGATAGGCCCCATCAAAGACTTTCAAGGCGATTTAGTGGACAACATTGGCGTCACTGGTTTAGGTATTGTTGTCGAAATCAACTCTATTGTGGAAGAGTGTTGTCAGTACATGAAGAAATCACCGGACCAAGACCCCATCCAAACCACTGTCTTCACAGTCCAACACACTGACTACCATCCTGTCGTTAGTTCAAGTTCTTGGGTCTACTGTCTTAATCTGACATACTTGCTAACTTCTCTCGTAGATGAAAACGGCTCAATCCTGTTGGGTTGAATACAGGGTTCGTCCAACACCAAACCTTGCGAAGATAGCGGGATACGTCAAGATTGGCCGCAAATGCCAATTCCACGGGTACATGCGGGATTACAAAGAGAGTACATCGTGCTATGTTATTGTTGTCAGTCATGCATCTTAACATGCTCCTCACCTCCCTATGCTGATGCGCATCCTACTAGGCAAACAAGGTTCACATGACTACCGGTTTCCAAGAAATAGCCACCCAAGCTCCCGCCAGGAACGGCAATGTTGAGGGCCCCTTTAAGCAACCAAAGAAGTAAGTACCACCTCCGATCTAAGTGAATGCCACACATATCATTTGCTAACCCTCGTTTGGAGCAGATTCAAGCCAACACCTTCCTGGCATTTCACTTCGCCAACAGGCTCAGTTGCAGGAATCACGTCGGCCACCTTCAACACAGCCAGTGCGCAATTCCCTTTGTCAACACCGTTGTCCAGCACCATGGTTGGCTCTGGCTCCAGCAATCAAACCACCCCTGATGAAGTAGCAGGTCCATCCGGCAAAAAACACGCACAATAGTTTATTTCTTTGCCTCATGAAAATCTACAAATGGGAGAAATGATTATGAGGAAGGCAAATTCTTGCAAGAACTGATTCCCCTCACCACCCAAAACATGGTCCTTTGTCATAAGTCCCTTGCTGTGCTCAAAGTGTGCAAGGCAAGTTGTGGGACTTTCTTGAGAATAGCAGATCAGAAAATGCAAAATGCAACACTGAAATTCAATATCTGCCAAAAATCAGCCTTGGGCTGATCAGCCATTCAGGGAGCATACTTTTCAAATTACATTCTCAAGGCTCACAGATCACATGATCACTCACATAAAGATGTGATCTAACTTATGTTTGGAATTTTTTTGATTCCACATATTACATTCATAAAGCATTACCTTTACACATAGCTCTTTTTGACTGCTAACATCTTGAGAACAAAGGTTGAATGAAAGAAGTACACAATTTGTAAGATTACTTGGTCCACAGAAGTGAACTTTGAGGCAATTTTGGTAGCATGCTCAACAGATTCATAGCTGGTGTCCAAATTGATTTTTTTGTTTGAGAAGTCTGTATACCCATGTATGGATCAGCCAGAGAAAACCAGGTATCACTTCACTGGTGTATCACTTTGCCACAGGTGTCCATGTCTACTTCCTCCAAGCTTGGCAAGGGACTTTGTTAAGTTTGATTATGGTAAGGTGTGACCCATGCCAAACTGTACTGTTGAACGTAATCATAACGCTGAGGTCCGAGTGTTGTGAGAAGAATCAAAAGAAAAACAGAAATGACACTTACTTTATACCTACCAATATGGGGGATGGGGTTGATTCAATGGACATTATTCCTTGTGTTCATAAGGAAGTCTTGGCTGGTGGAGGGGTTTGAGTTGATTTTGAGTTGGGGTTTGGAGAGGCAATGATGTAATGGAAATGAAGGGTTGGGGGTGGTTGCATGTGTCATGTCACGACATAACACAGCAATATTTGGTTCCGTCCCTTTAGAATGGTGCCCCGCTACATGTAATTTCTCGGGCCAAGAGCGCAGACGGCGCGCCCCGACCCGCTTTTTGTGGCGGGGCGCTTCAGGCATTGGCTCAACATTGTGACAGGACCCCGGTATGCTCCTATGAGGGGTACTGATGTAAAAAGATGACTTTTGAGCTCCCGCGTAATTACGCTTCATCGGATTATGCACTAGTGTCTTAGATTTTGCCGGTTTCTGCCCATTCCAGAGCTGCTTAAAGGTACAATACAGCCGATTTGAAAGATTAAACTTGTCTGAAAGTATGGGTAAAGCAAGGGGCTTATCTCCGCGGGAGCTCAAAAGTCATCTTTTTACATCAGTACCCCTCATAGGAGCATACCGGGGTCCTATTGTGACCAGTCTTCTCCAAGTCCAAGTCCAAGTCCAAGAGACTGACTTTGGATCAACTTTGTGTGCTGACCCTAGGGTCTGGTGGGCATTGAAAAAATATGATAGGTATCCTATTGTCAATTGAAGATACATTTTCATACATGCTACAAGGCTACAATGCTCTCAAGAAATGCAAGTATCATCTGTGGACGCATTCATCACGATAACTCTTCAAGAGAACAAAACACATCTCAAAAATCAGGCTGAGTTCTGCCTGCGACAGGCCGCAGCTAACTTTTGATTCTTATCCTTGATAAAAACAAAGGATTACAAAGGATATGAAAGTTGATGTTTTTCAGCCATTGAAAACATGTGACAAGCTTGGGAGGAAAAAGATACTTACAGCTGGTGATGCGGCGGAAACGGTACAGCAATATGACACTTTGTCCTTGTGTTTATCACAGGACCAAAAACTGAAGCCGCCTTGGTCCGATTCCAATAGGTCTGCATCGATAGCTAAAGGTTTTGAGATATAAAGTCAGTAAGTGCTGTCAGAGTGCCATGAAGGTAGAACTGCTCGTCTTCCTGGTCAGGAAAGGGAGGATGATACTCACGATCCAAGATGAAGTTTATCAATGGGTTCTTGTCTGTTGGTGCTAGACCAGGGTTTGCACAGACGCCCTTTGCAGGTTTGAAGCTCGCGGGTAAGTCGCACAAGAAACCTTCTTGTTGTGACAACACATGTCCATAAAGCGAGAAGTGAGCCGCCACAAAGAATACGCATGTTATTGATTTCATTCTGTAGCGAGCCCAGTAGATGATCAGCATTAGATAAGAATCAAGATTATCAAGGGTCTTGGACTGAACAGACTGAAAAGAACCTACGTAAGAATCTGACTTATTCTTTGCAATCGGAATTTAGGTGCAGCTAAAGGAAAACAAACTCCTGTGTTTATGATACAATTTATGAGTAGGCGACGGGATTCGACTTATTTTTGAGCTATGAACACTGGATACAGATGATAGGTGTCACGATGGTGGAGGCTAAGACAAGCTGAGAGTGATTCGGAATGAAGGATTTTGATTCATCTGGACAATGATAGGGACTTTATAGACCACATGAAGCATGTTTTTGAGCCTTTAGTTTCCTCTGTACCATCAAGGTGGGACAAGATTACTCGAACTTGATCAGACACACAAAGTCTTGCTGTGTCTTGAGACTTGAGGTCGACGATCGGAGCGAGGATTGCACCTCATGAAGTCAACCCCACCACTACCAAGTCTCGATGAATAGCAAGAAATACAAAACTAAAGAACCCACAGCCTCATCTTTTTGGAGATCAACGTGTAGATCATCCAAATCCAAAAGCCCGTTCAACGACATCGACTAGACCAAAGCTTGCCGGATGACATTGAAACCTTTTCCCCCGGTCGTCAAAGGTGCCTTACTTTGATTTATCTGAACAATGATAGGGATTTCATAGACCACACGAAGGATGACCTTGAACCTTTACCCTGATATGTATCATCCAGGTGGGTCCAGATCACTCGAAATCGATCAGACACAAGACGGCTTCATCGTAAGTCTTGACAATAGTTGATTGGGCTCGACGAACTAGGCCGAGGTCCGAGGATAACATCTCATAAAGTCAATTCCTTCACTGCCAAGCCTCGATGAACATCAAAAAAGATAAAACCCAAGAGTCTGAAAACTTTGCTTTTCAAGAGATCAAGTTGACCATCCAAAAAGCTGTGCAACTGACCTCAAAAACCCATGAGGTTCAACTTGAGGTGTAGTCTCGAGACTGGACTCGGGTCACTGGATCCACAAAGGAGGAATATGGTCACAGATGGTAAAAGTTTGGGGTCCATCATCATTTCCGAAAAAGAGAATTCGTGTATGACACTGACGGCAAGAAGACTGTTTCTCGACCGACGCTGTGTAGTTGAGGTGACACGTTCCTCAACTTCTGTTGGTCTTTCATCCGAAAGAAACCATAGAGTGGAGCTTTCATCTGAGTGGCCTGATACATATACTCCTACTATTTGATCCAAGTTCTTTTCCCACTTGATAACCATATGCGCAATTCCACATAGATCAGATACCCAAGAAAGCAAGCGTGAAGATTCACCATATAAAGAATCAAAACGATGTATTGTACGTGTTTGAATGTAAGTATATCAGTCCAATCCTTGTCTGCCGCAATTCTAAGACTCTCGAAATTCAACAACCAAAGTCATGGAGTTTCTTTGAAAAATACATCAAAGACAATTGGAGGCAATTGGAACCATCCTTTTGAAGTTGGAACCGATTTTTTTTGCTCTTCTTCTTCCTCTTTGTCACATGATCACTTTTAAACTCACTTACTTCTGGATCACTCTGCAATACAACACAAATCTACAGACCATAATGTAAGAAAAGAGTTCAAGGAACTAACAGATCAGTTTGCAAGGCTGTGACGATCGTGTTGTTAGGGTGTGCTGTTCGTTTTACTTCCAAGACAGCATTCATCAGACGATGGTATTCTTACGTAAGCTCATGTGTTGAGATGTATAAACTTATTCCATACAACTCGTAACGATCACCATAACATTCTGACTTAAAGATCTTTCAAATCGGTTTCTTGGCTTGTTGATCAAGTAGAAATTGACGCATAGCATCTTTAGTAACCGGAAGTCCACCAACTCTAAACCAAATCGGATCACCACCTTCTAATGGATAAATCGACTTGAGTAATTCAGCCATTTGATCTAATTCTGATTGATCAGAGATATCAAAGAGTTCCCACCAACGATCGGGTAAGATGACTTGGTTGTCTTCAATGGCAAGGTGAATTGAGAGTGTGGCGAGATGTGTTGGTGGGTAGAGTGCTGGTAAAGGTGTTAGTAGACTGGAAAAAGAGTCAGGATGATGAGCTGTGATGGTTAGGTAGTTTTATTGATGTGATTGAGAGTAACCTTATACTTACGAGTCATTGAGATAACTCCAAGCACGCTGAGAAACTTTTGAGTTCTCAGTCAGATTGAGGACTTTGAGGTAGTTGACCATTGCCGAATATGGATGTTGAACTTGAACGTGAAATCCTAGTCTATACATGAAATTGCTTCTTGTTAGATCCTACTGAATCAAGATGATGATTTAACTATATGAAATTCTTCAAAACTTACCGTTTCAAAATCTGCATCTCTGCTACCACAATCTCTTCTTTCCTATCATAAAAACGAGAAGCAAAATAATCCATAGGTTCATATTCAAACTGAGATAAATCAAGTTTAATCTTTTGACGTTCTTCTAGGTTCATAAATCCTTCTTCTTCCATAACAGTTTCAGTATTAGAACCCTCACAATTCAAAGTTTGTTTTAATTTAAGATGTCGGGTCATACTAGCTTTAATTTCATCTGGAAGAAGTGGGTTAAGTGCAATTCTTTCTTCTGCTTCTTTTGCTAGATCATTGAGGGATGTCATCGTATCTTGTTTTAGACCAGATTGGGTTCGAAATCTTGATCTTGACCACGAAATCAATTGTAATAGATAATCATAAACATTTATGATATCTCGTACTCGTGCCGGTTTCTCTTCTAGTTTTGCTGCTAGAAATAGAGCTCCAGCTGATACATCCTATGAATCGGTTTGGTTTGGTTTGGTTCGTTTGATGAGACAAGTCAAAAAAAAAGATGATGAGTTTTGAATAGGTCATTTCGATAGTGACAATTGGTAATCTGAGACCATGAATTACGAACTCGAATTCCAAAATGATTGAATGAAGTGACAAAGTAAAATCGTTGGAAAAGGGTAGCAGCTGTGGCCATCACGATTTGTGGACTACATTTAACCATCTCATGAGTCAGTGTTCTGTAAAATCAAAGATCTAGATATGAAATATATTTTTGACAAACAGTTTGAGTAGGATTCCAGCCTGTTGAATCAAAAGACCGCCATCTGTTATGATAAATCAAAGAAGATCAGAAAGATGAATGAATTGAAGTGAATTGAAAACTTGACTAACATAACCTTAACTCTCTTTCTAATTCAGGTGAGATTGAATCTTTTGAAGAAGGTGTTGGTTGATCGATTGAAGCTAATGGGTTTTGAAGAATTTGAGTATTCGACATTTTCTTTCTTGAATCGATCGATGAAAGTCAGCTCAGCATAGCTTGATGGTCATTGAATAATTCTAAGCACGACCTCTTTAAAACCATATTCGACCCCTCTCTTTCTCCATACTTCAACCCATTCATCCACTTTACCTTTGCGAGACTCTCACTCGTCTTTCTCAAAAGCTGTTCATCCCAGCTTAAAGGGCTTTATGACTACAGCTATTCCAGGAATTAATGTCACCCCCCCTTGCTTTTTTTTTTTTTTTTTTAGCCGGAGAAAAATAAACTCTGCCGGGGTAGAAGTAACTTGATATGAATTGTAAATAAAGCTGGGCGTGGAATAATGAGTATGATGGTTCAGTTAGTAAAGCTTGACAAAATCATTGCGCCGTGGTGGTGGTACCTAGCACCCTGTTGAAGCTCCCTCTCCAACCTCAACTCAAATTCCCATCTCAACATCACTAAAACAGTCCCAAATAGGCAACCTGACTCAAGCCACCATCCAAAAATGGCAAACAATCACTCTAGACCAATACCGAGGTACACCCACATTTCTTTTCTATCAACTGCATACTTCTGAATTGCTCATGACATCTTTGTCACCAATATTGTCAGCTCTGCCGAGTTTTTCTTCCCCACAGGACCAGATCATGTCCCTGGTGAAGAGTCACCTCAAGATGCTATAGCATCAGATATGTACTACACCCGTGGTGCTGAAAGCCAGATGAGAAATGTGTATGTCATTGGTTTTTAGTTGAATTTTGAAGTTGCTCATGTTAGGCTTGACTGACTAATGCCCCACGTTGACATATAGACATACTGGTTCCAACTCCTCTGCCTATGGATACAACACACCCAGCAATCCAACAAGCCCATGGTTCAATGATTGGCATCGCGGAATGAATGTTTCACCAAGCCCACTCGACTCACGATCAAACAGGACTTTGGGACAAGATTTGAGCCAACAATCCACCTCAACCTCAAACTTTAACAATCAGATGTCAGAATATCAACACCACTTGAATGATGTGAATAACGGGGTTTTGGGTCAAGGAAATCAATCTTATCACCCAGATCAATCTTATCAACAAAATCAACCTTATTGACAAAATGAATATTATCAACAAATTCAACCTTATCAACAAAATGAACATTTCCAACAAAATCAAAGTTCACTGGGAAATGACAGACTTCCTATCCAACCGGATCCAAAGTCTAGTCAACAAAATCTAGTACAACATCCACGTGGAGATATGAGATCACCTTCCAAACCGGATACAAGCAGTCATTCTTTGAGACAAACCTCCAAAGTTGTACATCTTGAGAGCGATGAAGAAGACGGCAATGGTATGTACATACATCAGATTGATTGTAGATTTGATTAGGCTGACAATAGGATTGATCTTACCCTGAAATAGATCAGCTCGATCATGACAACCTTCCTGAGCTGCCGAACCCAAAGCAAAACAAAACCGATGTAAAATATGACTGCAGCCAACTCAGCCCCAAGCTTTGATCTATAGAAATCACATACGAACTCTGGCAACACAAGATTTCTCCTGTCCCTCTTGAGACCAGAGGCGGTAAAAAGGCCAAGAATTCAAAGAAGAAAGGTGGAAAGCAAAAAAAAATCAAAATGGCATCTCCACGATTTACTCCCTACAAACCACCACGCCCAGTCAGAAAGGAGATGAGCTTCCGAGGTAGCGGATGGATTGACTTCGTAAATCAACTCTTCACAGCCTGTGATTCCAACAAGGCTGGATCGGCCGAGCGCCTGGCTGCGGCGGAACGTCATGAAAACCTCGATATTGAAGGTTGGATCAACAAATCCAAAAATCATAAGAAGGCCCAACATGCTTTGATCACAGACAACAAGACCTTCAAGGCTTTTGCAGAAGAGGCACTTGCATCTCCTGTGGGTACCAGTATGGGTTTCCGAATGGTTCAACCAGAACGCATAGACCACGTTGAGGATGAGCGAGCAGCTGCTTTAAGTGGTAACGAAATCAGTGCAGAAAACAGTTCAGACAATTCAGACACCGACACTGATGGTGTAAGTGTTGAATAGCTCAGTCTGATTTGATGATGTGCTGATATGATCCACCTTTCCAGTCGGAAAGGGTTCACCCAACCACCAAATGCTACAAGATTTTGTATGCCAAATTTGAAGAACAGTTCAAGGCTGGCGAGAACGTTGTACCTTTCCCCAATCCAGCGAATGCACAGGAAGTTCTACCCTTGAACACAGGTCGTATTCGCATATGGGCCGATGCTTGGGTAAGTGTTTCTTTTTCATAATCAGCAGAAAGATAAGCTGACCTGGCTCCATTCGGCTTTCAGGCAAATAAGACCACAGGTGTCAATGAAACTTCTCCCCCAATGTCACGCCATGACTTCGAATATGTACTTAAATCTGACTGGGAACGAGTCAAGGCGGAATTTGAGGGCAAAAGACCAAGCTTAGCCGGGCTCATAGCTGCTCCTGCAGTACCTCCAACCACCCCAGCAATCCACACCAACTACAACTACTACATCCCATTTCAACCTGGTGGATCGAGCGCTTCACAACCCTACGGATTCTCTCCGGCTCCACCTGGTCTCGGCCAAAACACTCAAGGTAGTGTCAATGCGACTCAACCGTTGATGATCCCACCCACTCCACTTGGTTTACCACCTCACACAGCAACTAGAGAAGACTCGCCTGCTCCCGAACCTCATGGTGGTTTGGAAAACTTCTTTGAATTTGCTCAAATCAAGCCCGAGTACACCAAAACCAGAACAATCTTACAAGAAAATGGAATTGATACCTTCAGTCGATTGCTCGATCGAGAAACTTGCTCGATGGCTAACCTTTTGCAAATCGGAATTCCTTTGGTACATGCATCCGACATATGGAAAGCTGTACCAAAATACAACCAATTACTCAAGTCTCGTCAAAAGTGACTGGACTTATTTTCCACTTATTACCCTACTATCGCACAAGCAACTTAGTCTCCTTCTCACTATCTTTGCATGTTCCCTTTGGAATTTGTCACTTCAGAATTTACTTTCTGTTGTTGATCTTTTTGGTTGATCTTTTTGTCACTCTTTCAGTTTTCTAACTCGAATGGTCTTGTACACATCATTCATTATGCGACTCCCAGATCGGTTACTTGGTCATTCCATCTCGCAAGTTCAGTTTTCTAACTCAAAAGTTCTTGTACACATCGTTCTTTATGTCACTCCCAGATCAGCTACTTGGTCTTTCCATATCGCAACTGAGTTCTTTTTGTCACTCTTTCACATTTCAAACTCGATCTTAACTCGATATTTCTTTAACACATTGTCCTTTAAGGCATTCCTCATTTAGCTACTGGTTCTTTATTTTTGACATTACATGACTGAGTCATGTCTTTTGTTTTGTTTGAAGTCATGCTTGTCCTTCTTTGAAAATCATCATCCCAAGTCACCTCCTAATGAGAATGATGGCAAATGAGAAATATGGAAATCGATCAAAATGAAAAGCAATCGGTCAAAAATTGAGCTCGATCAAAAATGAACTCAATCCAAAAGACCTTTAACAAGCTTCATCTTTTTGTCTTCTCTAATCATCTTTTGGTCATAGTGAACTGAACTCGAATGATATCAATCTATAAAAAAAAGAAAATGGTAAAAAGTAAAGAGATGTAAAATAAGAGTATCCATTGATATTTTCGATAAAACAAAAGCACTGATCGAAGCGACTTTCTTCATTGATCATAGCCTTGCCAAGTTAAAAAGGTATCCAAGAGATCAAACTGAGGGCCAGTAGGACTCGTCATAGATGCTTTCCCTGGCGCGTTACTACTACTTGGGTTTCCATCTACAACTGTGTTCTGATTAAGACTGGTGTTCCTACTCAAGCTCAAAAGAGTCAATAGTGGAGGACTTGTAGTGGTCAAAGGAGGTAAGGGTTGAAGCCAGGTAGATCAATCACGAAACGAGCTAGATAAGAAATCGAGATTGATCCAAAGTGCGAACATTCACAGACTCAAAGGACATTGAGATTACTAAAACAATCGATGATAAACAAGGGGTCAATAACAAGATGAGCTGAGTCGGACAATGAGATCCATACAACCCACAAACAAGTTCAATCAAAACACGAGATAAAAAACACGACCAGAGATGAGAACAGTAAATTGATTTCAACAGACACTGTTGTTGCTGAGAAAAAACTCTGTGCAATGAGATTCTTAGAAAAAATTGATCGATTACAAGAGGAGCTTAATCGATGACCGAGATCAATACATTACAAAGACACAATCGGTCATAGACAAGATAATCGAATGATGAAATTGATCAAAAACAGATTGAGTATTTGTATTGAGAGTTTCTAATATGATCGTATGATAAACTTTACAGTATGATAGACTCCCAAGCTGGTTATATCCAGTACCCGCAAGCTACAAAAAGCCGATACATGAGGTGGGGTGTAAAGATCTCCCAAACGCTGTTCAAAATGGTATCGATTTTTTCATCCGGATGAGCCTGAGCAAGACATTGGGAACGTCGCAAGTTCGATTTGAAGATCCCAAAGGCTTTCTCGATTGGATTGAAATCTGGTGAGTAAGGTGGTAAGTACATTATACGAATGCCACGTTCCTCGGCGAGCTCATCAATTCGTCCACCCTTGTGAATACTGCAATTATCCATGACCAGGACCGATTTGGCATTTGGATAACTGTTCATCACGGAAACTGGGAACCAAGTCTAAGTAAGGAAATTGTGCAATAGATGAAGTTGAAAGCATAACTTACCAATTGGTGTTTAAGAAAGTGTTCGAAGTCTCTTCAATCATAACCCCCCTCTTGGCAGTCAGCTGCCAACACACCTTGCTCAAATATTGCCGGGAGGAGGGAATATCGTTTGCCTCTTCGGCTCCATTGGACTCTTCGTGTACGATAACCCTTTTTAGCTCGTCCATAAGGTCTTCTCATATATTGCTCATCAACTGCACATTCATCTGAAGAAAAATCAAGATAGATTTGTTCAGCGAAACTACAGGTTTCAATGTCATCAACTAAAAGGTAACTTACCCAAAAAAACGAGCATATCAGGTCTCAAAGCTCCCATTTTATATAAAAATTGTGCTCGTTTGGTTGCGCTTTGATTTGGATTGACAGTCCTCGATTTCTTCCGGGTCATCTGGAGCCGGGTTTTGAGATCGGTTGCAATGGTCTGAAGGCAAACCCAGACACCGGTAGTTCGATACATCTCATCACGATACTCGTCCAAATACAAGGCTGGATCTGCTTCAAGAAGCTCTAACATAAACTCAAGATCTTCATCTGTAAAGGTTGAGGAACGACCTAGAGTCTCGTAAGTCCTTGGGTCCCGTACAACTGACTGTGTACGTTCATAGAGAACTTTCCAACGTTGAAGGGTTCGACGTGTCACTGGACTTCGTAATTTATGTTGGACTTTCTTGATGGTCTTCCCTTCACGGAAGTACTGGATGGCCAGAACCTTGATACCTGGATCATATTTGCAGGGGCGCCGGTGAGGTGGCATGATCTTTGTTTACGGATTAAAGCTGAAGGGTGAATCGATGATGATTGTGGTGGAGTTGGTGGCACGGAATCTAGGATGGGGCCGAATAAAAAGATGAAAGGGGAGCTTCATCCGGATGGACTATGTAAGTGTATGTCTTACTTTGCCACACCCAGCTTTATTTACAATTCATATCAAGTTTCTTCTCCCCCGGCTGAGATTTTTTTTTCTCCGGCTAAAAAAAACAAAAAAAAAACAAGGGGGGGTGACATTAATTCCTGGAATAGCTGTACCTCTCTTGCCAAAATCACATCTCATGATTATAAATACCACACCATAACAAAGGCTTCATCGTCCCAGCTGAATCTTGTAAGGCTTCTTTCAGTGAGTAAGTGATGACTAACTTTTGGAAGTGTAAAGTTGTCAGTCTTGGTGGCTGAGCACAATATATGTACCTCCATCTGAGCTCAGCAAAATTAAACGTTTAAGGCTCATCAGACCTTTAACGAACATCTCTAACCTTGTTGTCGTGATGTGATGTTGAGGTTTATAGTTCTGAGAGTAAACTCCTTTGGGGCTGTCCAGTGCTATGTGTAATTTCCTCTTGAAAACAAACCACATCGACTTCAACTTGAATCTCAGTCGTAAACTGTGCATTGAACTCACCATCGATCGAAAATGTCTGTACGTTCCGGTCTCAAGAAAGTTCTGCAAAAGTCTCCAAACGATATTGTTATCCTCACGGCTCTTAGAACACCAATCGGTCGGGCTTACAAAGGTGCTTTGAAAGATACATATCCAGAGGAATTATTAGCGCATGTATTATCAGCTACTAAATCTCGACTTGAGAACGAATTCAAATTGGATTTCAAAACTGACTTAGAATCCAATCAAAAACCTCTTATCGAAGATATTGCGGTGGGTACGGTCTTGATGGAACTTGGTGGAGCTAAAAGTGGTCGATTGGCGGCTTTACATGCTGGGTACATGAGCAATTTCTGATGGGCAAAACCATCTTAGTTTCTGCTTTGAACGATGTCTGTGCTGATTCATGTCTTTTGATCCTTAACTTCAACTTACGACTATGTATACCGATCGACTGGATTTGATCCAGATTTCCTTATCAGACCACCTTCAAAACCGTCAATCGCCAGTGTTCTTCATCCTTACAGGCCATCACTGATATTGCTGGATCCATCGCAACGGGCGCCATCAGCTGTGGAATTGCAGCTGGTACAGAATCAATGACTAAAAACTATGGAACTCGAGCTATTCCTGCAGACTTATCACCACGTCTACGTGAATCACCTATCAAAGAAGCAAGAGACTGTATCATGCCCATGGGTCTTACTAGTGAAGCTGTGGCATCTACTTATAATATTACAAGAGACAGACAAGATGCATTTGCTCTAGCTAGTCATTCTAAAGCTCAAAAAGCACTCGAAGAAGGTCGATTCAAAGACGAAATCGTACCAATCGAAGTCGATTTTTATCCCCTCGATAAAGAATCGGCTCAACCATCCAAAGAATCTATCAAAAAGTTTATCAAAGATGATGAAGGGATCCGATCAACTCTTACACTTGACAAACTTACAAGTCTTAAACCTGCTTTTAAATCAGATGGCACCAGTACAGCTGGAAACTCTTCACAGATTAGTGATGGTGCTTCTGCAATCACTTTAATGCGACGAGAACAAGCTGAAGGACTTGGACTAAAGCCTTTAGGCAGATTCGTCGGTAGTTCTGTCGTTGGCGTACCTCCTAATATCATGGGTGTTGGACCAGCTTTTTCAACTCCAGTGTTGTTGAATCGATTTGGATTGAGTGTGAAGGATATCGATATTTTTGAATTAAATGAGGGTAAGTTGATTCCATTGTTGTAGTATTGATGAGCGTGAAACTGATGATCGATTTGATCCATTTCATAGCTTTTGCTTCTCAGGCTTTAATGACAATCGATCATCTTCAACTAGATGAGAAAAAGGTGAACCCAAAAGGAGGTGCAATTGCCATTGGACATCCATGTAAGCCTTCATTCGATCAGTTTCCTTTTTGTTTTTTGTTTGGTTCTGAGATTGAGATGATCTGATTTTGTTTAAAATAGTGGGTGCCACTGGTGGTAGGTTGGTAGCCTCATTGATTCATGAACTTCGAAGAACAAACAAAGAGATTGGAGTGGTCACACTTTGTTGTGGAACTGGATTTGGAAAATCTTCATTATTTGTGGCTGAATGAAGGTATACTCTCATGATGATTTAATGGTTCTGTTTGAGTTTTATGTTTTTGTTGCATTATTAAGTGGATGTAAGATGGGACAGAATGTGTATCCTAATTGAGCAATCACCACCTAGGAGAAGGATGAAATTGTAGAGTGAGTTCAAAGTTGTATGCCAGTTTACCATCTTCTAGAACAAATTGTGTTTGATTCATTCTATCATTGCAAATTGCAATTGAAGTTTCTTGTAATACTTAAATTTATATGGATCTATATCATGATCTACTCTTATCTCTGATTGTTTAAATAAATTTTATTATAGCCTTGCTATCAATGTTCTTTTGTACTCAAAACTGGTAGCAATGACTTGGGGTTTCAAGATGCAGTAGAAACATACATTGAGATTGTGATGAGGCAGATGGACATGACAAACTCAAATGTTTATGTATAGCTCTCGAGTCATGGGCTCTCTTGAATCTCGTCAACTCATCACAGCCGTAAGATGCATCACAAAAAGGGTTTCAACTAGTCTATAGCACACCACTGTTGGCCAAAAAAGAATACCAGGAGCACCTCTTGTACGGTTTACGTGATCTGAACTCATATGTGGACCATCAAACTACGGTTTTATTTTTCAAGTGCAGGTCCAAGAGACGACGTGGCATGTTAGGTATCACCCAAAACTATGTAAAAAAGACGGAGCCTTATGGAGACTTTGAAAGATTTCTGATGATGAGTGAACCTCGAGTTAATTTTGAAAACTCTCGGGAGTTGGCCCCGTCCCCGTCCAATCTGAGTCTTTGAGTTTGGGTGAGCCTAATCTCAACTGCAATCGACCTACCATCAACTGTATCACAACAACTCAACCCTCGATCCAGCTTTACTTCGAACGGTTGGTCTATAGTTCCTTTTGACTCATTAGACTTCAAAAGCTAATTCTCTTCTCGTCTCTTCAGATACATAACATGGCAGACGATTCAGTTACAAGGCTTAATTCATACGTTGGATTTGATTCCATCACTCGTCAAATCGAACACAAGTTACTGAAACGTGGCTTTCAATTCAATGTGATGGTCGTCGGTCAGACTGGACTTGGAAAATCAACCCTGATTAACACTATCTTTGCTAGTCATTTGATCGACTCCAAGGGCCGAATGGACACTGAAGAGGTCATTCGACAAACTACAGAGATCCAGGCCGTCAGCCATAGTCAGTGACTCTGTCTCTTCAGAAACTTCAGCGGACTTTCTTCCCATATCATGAATCTGAGCTTTCACATCCTAAGATGTTAGAATCTTATGATCGATAACTCGGAAGGAGTTGTTTAGGACCACAAATACTTCATGAACGTTGCTCCGTACTGACAGAACTTTGATCTTGCATATCTCTACGTGATACAGTTGTGGTGGAAAACAACGTGAAGCTACGCTTGAACATTGTCGATACACCTGGCTATGGTGATCTTGTAAACAACGACGGATGCTGGGAGCCGATCATCAAGTATATTAAAGACCAACATTCAGCTTACCTACGAAAAGAACTCACTGCTATGCGAGACCGTTACATTCAAGACACTCGTATTCATTGTTGTCTCTACTTCATTTCACCGACTGGTCATACTCTCAAGGTACTTCATCAGTTTTATTTCAGTTTCTCGACAACTTTGTAGGTTTGTAAGGGGAGATCTTGCTGATCGATGTGATTGGTTCGATAGCCTATCGACATCATTGTGATGAAAAAATTAAGCGAGGTGGTTAACGTCGTCCCAGTCATTGCAAAGTCTGATAGTTTGACATTAGAAGAACGGGAAGCATTCAAAGTCAGAGTGAGTTGAAAGTTTTGGGTATATGCCTTTGTCTAATATAGGCATGCATGAGGATATGCAACCAGTGTCAGATTCTGATAACAATCCATGGCAGATACGCGATGAACTTCATTACCACAATATCCGATTGTACCCATTCGACAGCGATGATCACGATACGGAAGAAATGCAACTGAACGAAGCAATTCGAGTAAGTGTTTTTTTTGTCTCGAATCCGTTAGGTTCTCGCTTGCTGAGAATCAGTCTTTGTGATATGTAGAACATGATTCCATTTGCTGTTGTTGGTTCAGAAAGAAATGTGATGGTTGACGGAAAACCAGTGAGAGGTCGAAAGAATCGGTGGGGAGTGATCAATGTTGAAAATGAGCAACACTGCGAGTTCAACTATTTGAGGAATTTCCTGACACGGTACGTATCATAAAATGATCTTGAATCCTTTCCAAGTTCAATTGACTGATCCTTCTATCACTTTAATGGTGATTAGAACTCACTTGCAAGATTTGATTGAGACCACTGCTCAAATTCATTACGAAGCCTTTCGAAGCAAACAACTCTTGGCCCTCAAAGAATCAAGCGCAAGTAAAGCACAACAGAATGGGGCATGAAAACCTAAGCACATTAGTCATTCCTTTTTTTTCGGTTGGTCTTTGAGCCTTTAGTAGTTTTAGTCCACCAATCAATAACGTCGTCAATTTGTTTGATGAGCATCGTGCTTATATCCTATCTTCTCGATTTCTTTTATTGTTTCTTCCGTTTTTGATTTCTTTATTTTATCACATCTTCTCTTTTTTTTGGTTTTTTGACCTTTTTTTAAGGTATACTGTTTTTTCAAGTATTAGTTTGTCATGGAGCATTACTAATTCATTTTGAAAAGTAGTTTTTCCTTTTTTCCTGATTGATTGATTTGATAAAAGAGCTATGTTTAGTCTTTGTAGTAGTCAGAGGGGATGATTCTTTTTCTTTACTCTTACTACTACATACTACAAACAAAACTTGAAGTTTAGATGAAGACCACAACTTGTGGTGATTTTGATTTATGTGAACAATCACCTTAATTTTTATTGTGCCTTTTATCATTGAATGCAACTGATTTGTTTTGTGGGAACTTACAACAATTTTTTCTTCATGTTGTCAATTTCTTGTTTACAGAGAATTTGGGGGGTTGATTTAGGGCATGTTCACTTGAGCAATTTCTGGTGAGAAATCACATTCTGCAAAATTTAGAGCGTCTATTTGGTGGAGCATGTTTCATTTTTGCATTAAAAAAATTCTGGTCAGAAATTCCTTAAGTGAATGCGCCCTTAGATTTACATACTATAGCAAAATTCACTGCATGATTTCTTGAGCTAAATCTGGTAGATTTTGATCATGATTGGTAGAGCAGGATTGTGTTGGAGATTGAGTAATCATTCAAGGGTTTTTCCTTACTCATCATAAATAATGCCTTGGCAAGTTGGATCACTACTTTGTGCCACTATCATCTCAAGACTGCTTTCAAAAGACACCTGATATGATGTCCACCAAGGGAATTATGATGGCAGTGTAGTACTAGCAAGTTATGGAACACAAACAAAGAAGGGAAGCATGATTCACAAGTAGGAGACCTTTGGCAATTAGGATGCATACAGCCGTTCTTGAAAAGGTTGCTTTTTGATTTTTTTTTTGGGCGGTTTAGGGGCGTTAGGGTCAGATTTTACTGGTTTTGTCTGTACACGTCACCAGTGACCGCAGGATCCTTCTGTGCCAGGAAACCCATCAGAACCCAATCTCGATCTCTTTCATCGGTTTTGATTCTCAACCTCGATCAACCACTTCTGGATTGTATTCAGTCATCAACATCGACTTCCATTCACCCGGCTCTTGTTTTTGCGTGTTCTCAAGGCTACCCTTCTCTAGACTAATCAAGAATCTTGTCAGTCCCAATTCCAATTTCCATTTGTTCTTCTTTCTTTTGCTGATGCCATTTCTTTTTCTTCCACAGTGTTTCTTTTCCTGTAATGCCCTTTGTGTTTTACTCGGCCGATGTCAAGTTCATCATCATTTGCAAGGCTCTTCGCGATGAGACACTTGAAATGATCAATCACGACCTTGGACTGGATATATCACCTGATTCATTGACTCAATGGCTCAATTTATTCCAAGACACTCGGCAAGTCATTTCAAATCCCAAATTCTACAATCCTCGTGGAAGGCCGACTATCCTATCAAATGATCACCATAGATTTATTGAAGACGCCATTGATACAGAGCCAACACTTTATCTTGACGAGATTGCACACAAACTTACGATCGAAAGAGGTATTGATATCTCGGTTCCCACTTTAGCTTGCGAGGTTCGTGATCGTCTGGGTCTAACCTTGAAGGTGGCAAAGACCGTCCACCCAAATCAAGATTCAGAAGAAGTAGGCCAGTATATATATGAAGTCGGAGGAATTGATCTGTTGTGCCTTGTCTTCATAGGTAAGCTTTCCTTCTATTTGAGAGCTTGCTTTCTTGATGTGTGATCCTAGAGTCGTGAATAAATGCACTTCAAGATGACCGGATGAGTTCATATTCCATCAACAAGTTCGATTGACCTCTGACTGGTGCAGAGCTTTGATCAGCTTGGGAACCAGTGAGGTTTACAACTGGTGTGTAACCTCACTGGTTTTGGTAGAATTGAACAAACCATAGTCTTGAATGTATTTATTCATGACTCAAAGATTGCACATCAAGAAAGCCCTTGTCTTTGTAGGTAAGCCTTCCTTCTATTTGAGAGGTCGCTTTCTTGATGTGTGATCCTAGAGTTGTGAATAAATGCACTTCAAGATGACCGGATGAGTTCATATTCCATCAACAAGTTTGATTGACCTCTGACTGGTGCAGAGCTTTGATCAGCTTGGGAACCAGTGAGGTTTACAACCGGTGTGTAACCTCACTGGTTTTGGTAGAATTGAACAAACCATAGTCTTGAATGTATTTATTCATGACTCAAAGATTGCACATCAAGAAAGCATACTGATCATCATCTTGTTCTTATTCAACTTTGAGCTGACATGTGTTTGGATAGACAAGAGTTCAGTTCAAGCGCGTAGGCTTTACCAATCAAAAGCTCGTGCACCACGGGGTCAACAAACCAGACACCTCCCTCGTACTTTACAATCAAGAAAATTTTCTTTACTACCCGCCATCTCTTTGAGTGGCTGTCTTGGGATGATCGTTCAGGAGGGTTCAATCCTTTGGGATGATTTGGAGGATTATTTGTCGCATCATGTGGTGAGTACCACAGCTCATCTACTCTGTCTTTAAATATAAACTGATTGACTATGTTTTTTATATCAGCTTCCCATGATGAACCCTTACCCAGCCGCAAACAGTGTGCTTGTCTTGGATAACGCACCCATTCATCATGGTGGAATGGTTCGCAACCTTTGCGAGCAGTTTGGTGTACGTATACTTTACCTGCCTGCATACGGCCCAGAGTACAATCCAATTGAGAAGGCTTTCGATATCATCAAATCTTGACTCAAAAGAAGTGGTGATCTTCAAGAAAATATGTCATCAGAAGAGGAAGCGGAGGTCATTTATCGTCATGCTGAGGAAGCACTCACTCCCAAACTCATCCATAGCCTCTATTCCGGATCCATATATTGAGATTGATGCAAAGTTATTTGAGCATTATCACGGTAAGTCTTTCCTTCCTTGAACCATATGACAAAAAATAGTTAATGAGGCAAAACTAACCAATTCTTTTGATTTTTGAGTAGGTTAACAGGAAAATTTGCAAAAAGAAACATGATTTATAGAAGAATTAACAAAGAGAGATTGTGTCTATTTCATTTGAATTGTTATGGTAGTTCTTATTATTGTTTTCCAACTTTGTCAATTGTAATTCTTATTACAGTTTCCTTATTCAGACTTTTTTGATGCAATCATAATTTGAACATTGAATGCAGCTTTCCAACAGTTCCCATCCTGAACTTTTTCATGATTTGACAAGTCCGTTGTTGAGTTGACTTGATTTTTTTGAATGAAACTTCCTCAACAAGAAAGTTGCTCATCAACCAACTGGTGTTCAACAATTCAGACTGCTTTGATTATTCAAAGAACAATACATTTTTTTATTTCACATATCACAAACAAAGCGAGCATTGCAGAACAGTTCGGGGTTAAAAATACATAGTGGAAGATTGAAATGAGACTATCACAAAGAATAACATTGAAAAGAAAAAAAGCACAATAACAATTGATCAAAGCAGACCACAAAAGAAGAAAATGAAAAAAACAATTGCTCAAAGCAGATCATCAAAATAAAACATGGTGTGCTATCAAAGGAGATCATGATAAGGAACAGAAGAGAGAATATACAGAGAAAACAATCACAGATTGCAATACAGAGTGAAAAAAAGAAAAAAGAAATCAATCAAAGCTGTTGCGCATCAATCTTTGCAAGCTTTGCAAGTAAAAATCCCTCGTACCAAACTGCACTTGCAAGGAGATGGTTTGCATCACCTTGAGCTATGCCAATCATTTTTAATTCTTGACTGTTCATATCATCACTTGGCTTGAGATCACTCCAACAAGTGTAATGAGCCTTGCTTAACTTTGTCCTCAAAGTATGATCGCTTTCAGGAAATTCAGCATAATTGAGAAAGTCTTCCATATCTCCAGAGTATCTGCGTTGATAGATACGGTCATTGTGTAGTTGAGCTGGGGTAGCTGATGGGATTGGTTGTTGTGGCAGAGGTGCAGGAGCAGCAGCCATGAATCCAACCGGTGGGGGATTGTCTGGAAACTCGAGATACCCTGGAGGAAGCTGTCCATTGAGGAAGGTCTTGAAAGCTGGTAACTTAGGAGGAGTCCATAAATTGACATTGGTGCGACCTTCTTGACGAGCTAGTATCTGATGATTTTGGAGTCTCATCAGCACAACTGTGACCAAAGTGATCTTAACATGATATAACTTACAATTGCATCAACCCATATTTTGATCTTGCGAGGAGTCATATGAGACCATTTCTTAGACTCTTGAGGATCTCTGAATCGGAATTGTTCAGATCCATTCTTGGTAAGAATATTTTTTAACTTGATAGTGACATTCAACGGTAAATTTCCAGATGCAGTCAATTCAGCGGTTGCTGAACCACTGGGCTGATTATTGACAACGGCTTGTTGAGTATTCCATGAGCTGATGTAGGGCTGTGGCCCGGACCTGCGATCTCGGGGCCGGCCGCGGGGCCAGGTCCGGCCTTGTTGTAACCCGAGGGGTCTCAAAATGAGGTCGGCTCAGTCAGGGCAGGGCCAGGAATTTGGCCCTGAGTCAGGGCAGGGTTAGGCAGGGGAAAAGGGACTCGTGTCTCGTGGTTTCATTTCAAAAATCAAAGAGTAACAAATTTGATACTCACTTAGAACACAAGTTATTCGACTATAGAGACTAAATGGCATAATCGTATAAAGCCAGATAACTACTTGAGATGTAAATCAAGCTATTTAAAAAATAAAACTGGAGCATAATTGTAATGTAAAATAACAATCAGAGCTACTTGGAGAATTGAAAAAAAACATAAAAGTAACCATCTGAACTAATTTGAGAAAACAAAAAGATCATTTTCCTAATTCCTGCTTCCAGCTCTTGAGACATACTTGAGCTTCAAGATTTAGGGGAGTGAAAGACGCTCTGTGGTCACTCGTGACTCTCAGAGCATTAGAAAAAGCACGCTCAGTAGGTGCACTGGTGGCGGGAACTGCAAGCATCGCCTTGGCCATGCGTCCCAGGTTAGGCCAATGAGGTTGGCAAAGTTCCCAGTAGCTGAGGGGATTGCAAATTTCATCTTCTTGAGGAGCGGTTAGATATTTGGTGACCTCGTGTTCAATTGGAACCATCTTGCGGCGTTTGATAAAGTGTTGAGGTCGATCGGGATTGATAATTTCCTCGTTTTTGACAATTTCGATCTCAGGATCATGAGGAGGTTTAAATTGACGGGCTTGATCAGTAAAGTATTCGACCAAATCTTTGGATCCCCAACCAAGAGACTCGAGAGTTTGTCCTTTCACAGCGGTAAGTTTAAGGCGGGGGTCAAGGATTGCAGAACAGATATACACCGCCTTCTTCTGGGCAGCTTCTTGATACTGAATAATTTTTTTGATCATAGGCATGATTGCGACTTTGAGTTCTTTGCATTCAGAGTCGGCCCAGGCCTGTAAAAGAAGTAATGAATCATAAACGTTAATAATAATGAAAGATTCATGAAAGAGATGGAAATCAAAGTAGCTCACCTTTTCGAGCCTTTCAACTAGCCATTGATAGTCTGGCATGACACGAGAGAAAGTAGGATGTTGATGACTCCCGATTTCCCGAGTGACATGAGCAAGAGGGGATAAAAAATGAACCAAATCTTCCACCAAGTCCCATTCTTTGTCTTCGAGTTTGTAAGCCTCAAGTGCAGGGTTACAGTTGATTTGATATTCTAAAACAACTCTAAGGTACACAAATCGTTCAAGAGAATCATGTGTTGACGACCAACGAGTAGACACTTCATGTACCAAACCGACTTTTCGTTTCAAGACAGCACAACTCGAGACAGCTTGGTCAAGGGCCATCTTGAGTTGACTGCTGTGTTTGATGCGAGTGTGAAAAGCGCGGATTCGAGTGAGGATTGACATTATCTCCAAATGTGAGGTAGGTTCGATGAACAAGGGCACAAGAGACTGATCTTGAGGAATCAAAGGATCCAGAGCGTTAATTGGAGCTGGGGCCGACTTGCGATCAAAAACAGAGATGCCAGCCTTCGCAACAAGGTTAATAACGTGAGCTACACACCCATGGAGGTGTTGGGTCGAGTCAAAGTGGGGAATCATCGAGGAAAGTGCTTGACCCACGGTGGTGTTATTGGAGGCATTGTCAGCCATGATGCAGTAAAGACGTTGGGTGATTCCAAAGTCGTCCAAGATCTTCAGAAGTAAAGTCGCAAGATTCAAACCAGTGTGAGGACCGTTGATAGGCTTTATGGCCAAAGTGATTCCTCACATTTCAAAAGTATCAGTGATCCAATGAGCAGTAACCCCCAGCATAGCGAGATTGCTGGGAGATGTCCATCCATCACAGGTGATGGAAATATGTTGAACAGAAGAAAGTAAGTTAGAAATGACCGCGCGAGTCGTTCAAAAACTGTCCACAATGCCGTCGGAGATCACAGTTCGTTTGGATAAAAGTGAAAAAGAAGCCGGATTAACCATTGAGAAGAGAGCTCAAAATTCAGGAGCATCAACAACAGAGACTGGAAGTTCCCAATTGACAACCAAGCGTATCAAAGCCTCTTCGAGATTGACTCGGCTGAGGGGTTTAACCTGAGTGAATAAATAAGAATGATATAAATAAAATATCCAAAAAAAATATTGAAAAAAAGATAACAGAAATAAAGGAAAAGAGAAAAGGAATCAAAAGGAAAAGTGAAAAGGAAACGAGATGAAGGGTAAAGAGATAAGGTGGGAAGATGAAATAAAAGCAAAAGAAAGATGAGACTTACACTCCTCATTTGGCCATCAATATAGAAGGCTGGCAGTGTGGGTTGCTTGGTTTCGATGGGTTTGGTGATATGATGAGCTCGAGAAAGGTGTCAAATCATAGATTTCGTACTCGAATTCTTGTCGACAGCCATGGCCATGTTGCAGATTGCTGAGTCACTGGTGTCGGAGGGAGGCATTGCGTCGATGAATCCTTCCTTTGCTTGACATATGTTCTTCGCAATCCCCGTTTTGTTGGTTTTCTGGAGGAAATATTGCCAGACCCAGGAAGTTCGCATGAGGGTGGAGGTATCGGAGGCTACTTCGGAGATAGAATCGGATGGGGTAACTGAGTGTGTCGAAGGACTCAATGGGGTAGATACACCACTTGATTGGCGGTGTATCTGCGTCGATATGCGGGTGACAGGTGCAGAGGGCATCTCGGGATATGTTATGTGATGTCACCACCCGAACAAAGTTTATCTAATTTGATATTAGATAAGCTTGTTTGGGGGTGAAAAAATTGTTGGCTCGGCCCGGGCTGCCCGCAGGGCCTTTGTGAGCCCCACCAAGTTAGGTTTTGTGACCCCGGGCCCGGCCTTGTATGCTCTGAGATATCTCTCGGGCAGTGTCAGTTGGTCAGGGTTGGCCCCGGGTCACAGCCCTAAGCTGATGTAACTACCAACTTTCTCTTTCCTACGTTCAGCAGCAACATCAAGATCCGGATTTGCCATCTGAACAAGAAGACCAGCGGAGCTTGGTTGAGTGTTATGGTCAGATAAGTTTTTGAATTGATTCCATTCAATGATTTTGCGGAGATTGTACTTCGGATCGCGGAAGAAGGACTTTGGTGTAAGACTGACACCAAGCCAAGAAACTGACTGGGGATGAGATACGTTGCTGAGATAGGTACCAAGATTGGTTTGTACTTTGTTGAGAGATTCCACCATCAAATCTATGACCGCTTGAGGAGATGAATGATTCAAGTCAAACTTTATGTAGTGCTTGGGTCCAGTATTGTTCTTTTCAGTTTTATCACAGTTCCATACCGGCTTTTCAATGACTCTTCTAGATGAAGCTCTTTGAGTCAATGTACGGTTCCTATCTTTTGGACCCCAAAGATACGCCTCATGAAACACTCGAAGAGTCACCATCTTGACTTGTGACTTGGTGGAATGTTGATTGGGCATGAATCGAAGCTCCGGAGGTGGTGAGGGGGCAGTAAGACGTCCCGATCCAAATTGAAGGAGGCCGCACTAGCTCCACATTGTTGAGGGTCGGCCAGAGCACTGCTGAAGCTTCCAGTGCTGCGAACAGGTTCCTCGCGAGGGTAGAACATGGGATCACGATGATCTGTACATGAAACACAATGAGTGAGTGCTCATTCAAAAAACAGACACGGTTTGAAAGAAAGATCAGCTCACCATTCCAAAAGTTATCACGGCCCTGTGCTGCTGCCTGTACAAAGCTCTCACGGCAGATTTCGCGGGCCTTGTAGATCGAGTGAGCTGCATCTGGATGAATGAATAAAAAGATATCATTGTCAGTTGGAACAAACAAAATCTGATTATGACCAGTGTGAAGAAGATATGAACATACTTCTTGCTTGACCTGATGCCAAATGGGTTGCTGTTGGATTGAGACGTTGATTCAAATCGCGATGGGATGGATCAATATGGATTTGTTGACGAAGGTTTGAGTGTTGATTTATCAAGCAATCTTGGCTAGCATTTGCAATCTCAATCTCGTTATCAGTGTCCATGTTGGCTTCGATTGCTGAGCTGCTTTGGTTGGAAGGAGCTTGTCGGCTTGGGGTGGTCGAAGTAGCTGACAATCGGCTAGTTTGGGAATGAACTGGTATGCGACCAAAGGCATTTGAATGCTGGTTTGGAGTCCAGGCTTCTTGACCCATCTTGAAGAACAGTAAGAGCATCGGCACCGGGCCTGAACCCTGAACCGACATACAGGGCAGTATTTGTGACGTCTCACACGTTGTGTTTTCCCTTCAGGAAGTGCACCTAGCACCAGACAGCCTGGAACAGGCTGGAATCCTTGCTCCGTGTTCTTACGCACGGCACGGCATCCGAGTCCAAAATAATCATATCGTGTGATATGAGAGCTTATGAGGGATATACTCATATCGATCGATCGATTGATCGAGCAAAGAAGGCAGGTTCAAGGAGCTTTGCATATCCATAGCACACAGGGAGATACGGCCTACTAATTGTCTGTGTACAATCAATAAAAGCCAATCATCCGCCTGTTCCTATATGTAGGCAGAGATCACAAGTCGGCCATACCTCCCCTCTCCCCTCGCTCCAGTTTCTCTTTTCCAATTATCTCGTCAATATCCTGTTCAAACTTCCTTCCCTTTCTTTGCTTATATAACTTCTTAAACTCCTCTAAACTTCCTTTATAACTTTATATCTTCTGCCTAGCTTATTTGACTTTATTATCATCCTCAGCGCTATAATGAGATCCATGAGCAAAGATCTTGTCAAATTCTTGGCCCAGTATTCAATTGGTGCATCCATACGTTCCCAGCATTTGGCCAACCTTGCGAACTTCAATCAAGAGATGTTGAACTACCTCCTGTTGTTGGAGGAAGAAGAAAATCGACCCAGTCCGGGTGGCTCTCACCCCGGCAAAGCGCCTAATCTTCCTCGCGATCCAGAAACCGGACATGCTCAATTGATGAAAGACTACTTCGCCCCGAATCCTGTCTATGGCGAGGGTCTTTTCCGTCGTCGCTTCTGCATGAGCCGTCCCTTGTTCTTGCGCATCATGACCGCTCTTGGAAATGATGATGTGTATTTTACACAACGATATGACTGTACAGGTAAGCTTGCATTGTCCCTGGTTGAGCGGTTTTGATTCTGATCATACACTTTTCTTCTGTATCAAGGCAAAGCCGGAAACTCACCTCACCAGAAGGTTACATGTGCTTTACGACAACTCGCTTACGGAACCAGTTCAGACCAATCGGGCGAATACCTGCGAATTGCCGAATCCACCGGCAGGGAGTGTCTCTTAAGGTTTTGCAGCGGAATCATTCGCTTGTTTGGTCCCCATTACCAACGCAAACCCACCGACGAAGATACTCAGCGCATCCTAGCCGAAAATGCCGAACGAGGATTTCCTGGAATGCTAGGTTCACTCGACTGCATGCACTGGCAGTGGAAGAACTGTCCTAAAGCACTTACAGGAGCTTTTGCTGGCCAATCGGGCAAGCCTACTCTTATTCTTGAAGTTGTTGCAACCAGAGATCTATGGATCTGGCACTCATTCTTTGGCTTACCCGGAGCGAATAACGACATCAACGTCCTCGAGCGATCCAATCTTTTTCGCGACCTCTCTCAAGGCAACTGCCCCCCTTGCAACTTCAAAGTTAACGGCAAAGACTACAACACCGGATATTACCTTGCTGATGGTATATATCCAAAGTGGGCAACCTTGAGCCAATCATACAGTGCTCCCGACACACCTAAACTGTCGGTCAGTCCTTTACTGTTTTCCACATTGTGATATCCACGCTTGATTGCTAACATCCAAATCCCTTTACTGTTAGAATTTTGCCCTAGCTCAAGAGGCGACTCGCAAGGACGTCGAACGCGCCTTTGGAGTCCTGCAAGCACGTTGGCACATTATTAGAGGCGCTGCTAGGATGTGGCAACCGTACGCGCTGTGTTTGATCATGAATGCATGTATAATTTTGCATAACATGGTCATTGAAAATCAAGGTAATCCGGGCTTTGAGTTTTTGGAAGATGACGATTTGATCCCTCCTCCTCCTCTACGTCGCCCTCCTGGGTTTGCTGCTCAATTCATGCGAGGCCGTGAAGCTTATCGCAATCAGGATCGCCACTATGCCTTACGAGATGACCTGATTGAGCACCTATGGAGAATGAAATCTGATAGTAGTGACGAGGGTTCGAGTGATGGGTCTGACGAGTTCTAGTGGTGTGCTATATTTCTTCGTGTATAATTTTATAATTTTTTTTGTATATAATACTTCTTTGTGTGCTTTGGTTTTTTAGCCTTTACTCTCACTTGTGATAGGACACTAGACAAGATATATTTTCCACTTTTCAACTTATGTAATATAACAATGGCCATTCAATATGTACACACGAGAGGAAAAGTGAGATGATTTATACCGCAAAAAAAAGTTGAAGGACAAACAAAGGTTGATATAGGAAATGATAGTTGAAAACAGAACGTAGAAAAACAAGTTGGTGGTTGAGAAGGACACTACTGAATGTACATCCGGCTTGCCACACGGCGGTCCATCCATTCCCATTTAGTATCATCTATTTGCGCGAAATTGGAGAGCCACACTGCAGCAAGATCATACTTGCGTATGAGGAGGGCAGCCCGCTTCTTGTCACCTTTGTTTTGAAGGTAGGGGCCTCTGTAGGTGGCCACTTGATAAAGAGCAGCACGCAAGATCCTGCGTTGTTCTCGTTGCTTGTTTTGCGCACGCAACTCTTTTTTGGGTTCTTCCTTAGCCAAAGATTTCTGGCGTTTGAACTCTTCCACACGCAATCAAGCCAATTTTGATCGAGATGGTCGCATCGCCTCTGGGCTCGCATAGTTGGAACCTATAAAACACTCTACCAATGAGTCAGCTGAAAGAAACATTAAGAAAAGGAAAATGAATCATTGGCACACCTTCTTTGTGTTCCGCCTCGGTCCTAACTCAGGATGAGCCCCGACCCCCGAATGCCGGGGACTGGGCTGCCCGGCCCACCGACTTTTTTTCAAAAGTCAGAACGAGGACCGACCCCGGTATTCCCCGAGCTTTTTCTGGCTCATAGGTCAAGCCCGGCTCCCGTACCCTGACCCCCGACAAACTACCAAATCCCCGGGAAATTACGGGGATCCCCGAGTCCCCGGCTATTTCCGGCAGAAACCGCTGAGCACAACCTCTCCCAAGCGTGTATTTATCCGCTTTTTACAGCTTGATTTTTCCTCGGGTTCCCCGAGGAGAGTCACTTTCTTTTGACTCTCAGAACGACTCCCGGGCCCGATAATCCCCGCGGTTCTGCGACCCTTCGAAGGCCAGAACAACCCCCCAACCCGACGGGCTGTCCCGCGGGTATCCCCGATTTGGCGGGTCTCGGGGCTCATCCTGAGTCCTAACACCCCAAAGTACCACATCATCGCATAAAATGTGAGCCGGCATGATGCAAAGTAACTATGATTTTTCAAGGCCTAGATGACTGGTAACAAAGAATCTCGAGGATGTTCTTTCAATAGACTTTGTACAAAGGAGTTGGGATTTCCGAAGTTGAAGATTTGGAATCTAGATAAATCTTTGGACAATTAAATGTGAGTAAGTACGATGGAGGAATGTGAGGCATCATCTCTTGCTTTATACCTTGAATAATGACCATCAGACGCAGTCGATCGCATCAGTCAATCGTGTTGGCAACATCCAGTCATTTCGAAATAAAACAAATTGAGCAAAAAATCTACGCACACAGTGGCTAGAGCCGTAGTTATGAGGATGAAGAGATCAAATGTCTCGATAAGGGAACATATGTGGTCAATGATGTGTCATTGAAGATCATGACCAAACGAGACTTAAACATGGTATCAAAATCGATTTAGAGGAGCCAAAAAAACAAAGACTAACAAGTAACCTAACCAACGGTATGAATGAAAGACATGAAATAAGATGTTCAGATGACAAACTGCGAAACTTTGGACACTATCGACAAGATGAAGACATTAAGAGGCGCACAAGACTACTAGAACATTCTAAATGAAAGACATGTAAAATACTATACACAGAAACAAAAGAAATGGATGATATGGAACATTTGGTCTATGATTGACCTAACTCGGCAGCCCTGCGGGCACGTTGCTTGCAAATGATATTGGCCCTCTCGGCTTCAAACTCAGCGCGTACCTCCTCGTCATTTGAGGAGAGATTGGTCGAAAGGATAGAGTAGTCAAGCATCTTGTGCAGAGTTGCTTGAGCCTCTTTTCCCTGATTGGCCAACTCTCGGCTAGATAGCGCAACCTCACTCGAATTAGCCAACATTTTAGGAGCAATTTCTTCGGACAGTCCTGATTTTCCAGCGCCTCGCTTGGCGCTCTTGTTCCCGGTCGGCCTATCCATCCGAGGCAAGGCATCAAGGTCACTTGCGAGATCCACACCATCAAGGTCGGATCCTACAGAATTGCCGTTCCCGGTGTGTTCAAGGTAAGCTGGATTTTCTTGCCATTTCGGAGCGTTCTTAATGAAGTTGTAGCTACTCATTTCTCTGAAGGGGATACCTTTGCAATCCTGTTTGTAGAGAGCAAGAGCATTGGCCATCTGGTCTTCATGTGATTTTCCGGACTCCTTGAGGCCCTTGATCTGTTGGACGCAGCTGGCAAACTTAGACATATTGGTATTGAGAGTTGACCAGCGAGACTGGAGAGATTTCAAGGAGCGTTGGCTTAGATGGTCCATATTCTGGTTGTAATGTGCGGTGATCTTCTCCCAAAACTTCTGGCAACGTTGATCACTACCTATTATTGGGTTTTGAGATACATGAAGCCACAACGTGCACAACTGCAAGAGCGCCTTGTCGGAGTAGTTGGTCCGTTGTTTGGAACCTGGTTTGTCGTCAGTATCAACGGTTGACTGGCGAGTTGGAGGTTCGCGGGTCAAAGCACGAGAGTTTGCAGTACGAGGCGTTGAAGCACGAGAGGTTGCGGTTGGAGCACGAGATATGGAGGTGGAGGTGGGAGTGGAGGCTATAGAGTTTTGAGTGAAGCCATTACTCGAAGATGATTGAGATAAATTGCGGAACTGGTTGTTGCTGTACTGAGAATGTGCACCTAGGGAGTCTTCGCGTCGATCGCGATACAAGTGTTGGTTGTTGTGTTGGTTGTTGCTGTACTGAGAATGAGCATTTAGAGAGTCTTCGTCACGATCTTGATACGAGATTTGCTGATAGCCTTGTGAATTGAATAAATTGTTTACATCGCAATACATATTCATCCCCCCACCTGGACCTGCATTGGGGAATTAGACCTTATGAGAAACAACATAATCTAACACATCTTAATTTAGCAACGTACGTGGACCTGTGGTTGGGCTATCAGAAGAGATGACTTGGCGGTTTTGATCATGGTGACTGTGATGCAATTCTGGAATGGATTGAAAAGGTCAAAGAACGTCCAACTGCGACATAATGGTCATAAGTCATGTACGTTGACCTGATGATGGTGGTCTACCATCTGTCGTATGATTCATTCTGCTGGGGTGGTTGTAAGGGGGATCGATGTTGATAGACTTGTTCTTAGCAAACTTTCGGATCAGGGAAAAGGGAGATGCATGCAGTTGGTCGAACAGGTGGTAATGATATCAATGGAATGAAAGGTGAATAAAGGTGATTACAAGAGAATGTAGGGTGAATGAAAAGAGCAAACAAATGGATGCTCACTCTTAAACCTCTTTATAACATCTGGGGCAACAGACGGACGGGGCCGTGGGGCTTAACATGAAGGCCTCTGGGGTTTTTTCTCTCAGTCAGTGCTTGCATTTTGCTCACAAAGGTCATGGCAAATCATAGAGCTCATTATACCTTGATAAGTCCCGCATACTGATCGATCGTATTACCACATCCAAACCAATGATAAAGATATTTCATAGAAAAAAATGGATTGATTGGGCCGAAATGTGTTACACGCTTGCTCAAACCGTGCAACACAAGCCTTCCAGATGACCCCGAAAAACCTCAGGGTGAAGTCCGAGAGACCTGGAGGGGTTGTCAGAAAGACTCGGACAGCTGGCCTACGGTGGGACTTTGTTTGCTTGGTGCCTCGCGAAATCTGAATTCTGACCCTGGACTGTCAAATACACCTTACGTTAGTTGACAGTCCAGGGTCACCGGTGCCGATGCTCTAAGGCCTTGAGAAAGCAAAGAGCAGCTGGAGATCGAGAGAAAAAAGGGAGCCAACCAAGTGGTGGAGTGGGATAGAGCTGAGATGACATATCAGATCAAACAGATCCTGCGATTACTGGTGACGTGTACAGACAAAACCAGTAAAATCTGACCCTAACGGCCCTCAACTGCCCCAAAAAAATTATTCGAAAAGCAACCTTTTCAAGAACAGCTGTACATGAATCTATCATGGTTATTGATGGACACAAGATGTCAATTCTGTTTATGTCATAATATGTAAGGATGTAAAGATTTATACCGTGTTGCACAGAGCTACCATGTAAGTAATTCTCATATGCTAGCCTCCAAGGACCAGTAGAAAGAATTGCCGACTTGTCAGTTTCCCTCATGCTCAAAACCAAGTCCAAGAAGTCCATGAGACTATACTGTTACAGGTGGGATGATTATGAGGTGGTTTTCTGACATTTTTGTCTACCTTTAACACCAGCTTTCCAGATTAGATTTTATCACGGAAGTTGGAAGGATGTCACCAAACATGTTCAGGAGGATCCAAGTCAAAGTGGTATACAAACGAAATTAAAATGAGCTTGCGTTATCAAAGCTACCTGAACGTCCTTACATATGAATAACTTACAACATATATATTAACAAATACAAATTATAAATACTGAAAGGTAGCAGAGTCTAGAGATTGAATGTTGCGCTCAAGTTACTCAATCTATATCTCTTCCGAATCATGATGAGATTGTAAAACTTTCAACTGAAAACATACACAAAGCGAATTTCGAAAACAATCATCTCACACTTCGACACTGATAAAAGTCTATGACAGCGTGTTAACGGATAGGTTAATACTCCTCATCGTGAGCAATATCTTCTGCCACATCCACATCCGCAATATCCTCCTCTTCAACCTTCATCTTCTTCTTGTTTGTCTTCACTTCATCCTCATCTTCATCTTCATCCTTCTCTTCTCCCGATGAGTCCTCGCCGCTATCATACTCTCCTCTCCTTTTCTTGCGTTTAGGTTTCTTGACTTGTTTTTGTACATGTGGATTAGGATTGATATGTCGATGTAATCGAAAACGGTCCTCACGTGGTAAGCCGACTCGTCTAGCTGCAGCTGGTTTTTTGTCTCGAGTTGAGGCGATGAGGTCGGCAAGAGATAATTTCTTGGACGGCAGGGCTTTATTCTTTGAAGTTTCGAGGGGTGCAGTTGTCTTGGACGAGGATTTGGACTTGTCTTTGGGTAGTTGAGGTTGATCTCCCTGTTTTACAGAAATGTAGGTCAGATTAGCAACACGAATGAGGATTTGTAACATAATATTTTAGCGGGAAAGAAGTACAAACCTTTCCTATTCTTTTGACAGTGTCATCCTCAACATCTTTTGGTGGATTAATAGGGGATGGTGGAGCTGGCGATACAGAGTGTCGAGAAGGAGAAGGGATCTGGAGGGACTGCGATGTAGATTGTGCATCGTGAGATGAAGGTTGACCCGTGGCAGGGGAGGGCACAGATTTCTCGATAGACCGCTTTGGTGAAGGAGGATCATGCGTTTCCAATTGACGTGGCGAAGAGTCGTGCGGAGATGATGGAATCAGCTTCAGCTTAGCTTTGCGGCCTCGCTTTGCCTTTGTCTTCAGTGTCACAGAATTATCAGTACTAGTAGCCGGAAGACTTGATGCATCAGGCGGAATCTCAGTGGGGGGATGCATGCTGGACGCTTTAGGTTCATAATCTGATTTGCGTTTGTTACGCTGAGTGGGTTTCTTGGCTTGTTGTTTACTAGGACGTGGCGACTTGAGAGTGACGGAAGGAGCTTTGGGAAGGCTGAAAAGGTCTAGCGGATCTTCGTCGACTTGACGAACCGGGCTAGAGAGAGGTGATGACACAATCAAGGTGATGGTATTTGAAGGCATCTTCTTAGGTTCGGGTACCGTTGGTGCTACTTGAGGAGGTTCTTGTGATAGTCTTAAAAGGGCGTCTAGGGATTTGGCGGATGCTTGACCGATGGCGGATTGTTTTCGGACGCGCTTACCCGTCGCGGGTCCGGCGCTTGGAAGATCGAGGTTCTCATTAGGAACGTGAAGCTGTTGTACCAGTGAGGATGCCTCTTTGTTGATACTGCTGTGAGCAGATTTCCCATTGAGCGGAGTTGGATCCTTCTTCTCCTTTGCAAATGCTGGGTCAATTACTGACTGTAAGTCAGGTAGCGGCAAGGGAGGCTTTCGGACTTTTTTCGAGCGAGGCAGTGAAGGAGACACATTCGGTGAAGCCGAGATTGCAGGTATGATCACTCGAGGCGGTAGATTGAGTGATGTACGATTTGATACAGACTGTTCAATTGGATCATCGGAAGGCGGTGGTCGAAGAAGCACGTTGATACGAGGAGTTGGAGCAGAGATAGACGAGGTATCTGCATCAAACTTGCTCTTAGACCAGCCTGGTTCACGAACAAGGTCGTCGGTTGCAGAAATTGGAAAGATAGGCGAGGTTCGTTCGGGGTGCGTACCATTAATGATGGTAGAGGGAGCTGCTTCAGAAATTGGGTCGGTGTATTGACTATCCACTGTGCAAGATGTAAAGAGAAGTAAGTAGAGGTATGAATTCAATGAAGTCTGAAGACTAACTATGAGGAGCTTGAATTGGGATTCTCTGAAAAGTATCGAAGGTCTGAAGTCCCGGTTGACTATCAGGACATATGATCTGGTGTTGTGGCTCAGGAGATGGGGTGGTAGTACGATTTTGAACAGGTTCGAGATTGATAGAGGTCATTTCACTTTGTGTTGAAGGATGCAAATGATTGGGTATTTTACTGAGTGCAATGGCTTTCTCTAAATTGAGTCTTTCGCGTCTTTCGTAAGGAGTTTCACCTGACCTTCAAATCACACAATCACCAGAATGATATCGTCCATGGAGATAATCAAAAAGTTAGTTAGAAGCTATTCTGACAACTATCGATTGATTGATAATGATAAGATGACTTACCTGGTCATGAGTCGACAATCTGAATAGTTTGAATGACTATGATATGATATGATATGATTTGACGATCTGGTGGTGATTGTATGCGATGGTTTGTATTTTCACATGAAAAACCACTTTACCACAAAATCAATACCGAACCTATCACACATCATGTCACCTCGTTAGGTCTTAGGGTGTCACCCGAATTCTTCACCTCTAGGCTCTGGAAACACTCCCAAAGAGCTTTTGAGAAGATTGCAACAACAATCCTTGAGGCCTTCATAAATTCTTGTTGCTTGAACTTGACAAAGTCCCTCCTCGAGGCCTCGCGAGGAGCGAGGGGCTTTGTTAACTTCAATGTTTCGGCGCAGATTGAGATGAGAGAGACCAATGCCACACCGCCTTATCCAAGTTCCTTCCACTCCTGGTTTCGTGCTGAACTTCCAGCACATGACTAGCCCTCTTCCAGTCAAGGAAACAATTGATCAACTACAAATTTACAACGCGCATATTTCACCTTATCGTCCCAATCTCCTCAAAAGCTTGTTTCATCGTATATATCACAGGATTCGCTCTCATCAAACCCGTTGCATGCATTTTCCTATGCATCTAGGTCTATGAATGGCAAAAATAGTAAAAACCAGTTTAGAGTCTAAATAGTAAAAGCGCTAGTGAAGTTTTTTTCAGGTCCATTTAAGCATATTTGCGTACAACACTATCAGATGTGTAGAAAGGAAAGATTACTATTCCTTAGTAATAGAAGGGCGGCCAATGAGTTGGATCAATGTGTTTGGTTGACTGAAGGTTGCATATATTTACTTTTTTTTGATAGTTTATTGCAGGCCTCCCAAGGTGGAAACACAGCATATGGACAAAAGTATCATCAGAGGAACAATTTCATTGTTCTTGACTGAGGGACTTAAGGATGTCTTGATGGTCTTTGTTCCACTTGATATGGAGACTATTGAACCCAAAGGGGATGGAACATCATGTGAAAGTACCTTTGAAGCAAAAGTGTCATCAGAGGAATAGAATTCTTGACTGAGGAACTTTTGGATGTCTCAATTATCTTTAAACCAATAGGATTGAAGATTTTCAAACCCAGAAGGGATTGAACATCAGTTGCAAAACATAAGTATTTTCAGAGAAATGGATTAATCATTCTTGACTGGGGGACTGGAGGATGTTTTGGCGGTCTTTGTTCCAGATTATATGGAAAACCATTGAACCCAGAGGGATTGAACATCAGGAGAGGATCTATTGGATTGTGTCTTTTCAACCTTTGATCCCTAGAAAATGGTTTCTAAGAGTTAATAAAGAACAATTTTGTAATGAAAGACTTCCACATATCTGGGAAATTTCTCACATCCTGCCAATTTTCTTGCTTCTGGTGCCTTTTCGTATTGTTTGAAGGAGCAAAAGCGCTGCCTGCAGAGTGGAGATCGTCCTACTGGTCCAATACCAACTGATCGTGAGGGTGGCACCAGCCGCCGGGGCCCTAGGATATCCTATATAGCACAGTGTGAGTCCCCTTCTAACAACGTCACTCCTTCTCGGCATATTTCCCCATGTTATCCTGCCAATCTCCTCAAAAGCTCGTGGTGATATTCATTGATCTATGTATTACGCAACTCACTCTCATCCAAGCGGATACTATTCAGTGTATAGACGGGTTTGCTTGTGATAAAGGAACAGCAAGTGGAGGTGAGTAAATTCATCAAAACTTGTCATCTCGCTCATTACTTTTCAAGTTTCAACAGTGGGCAAAGATGGGAAGAACAAAAAATGGGAATGTCCAATGGTCAAGTGCGGAAGAGACGGTAAGTTGTGATCTTCTTGTGTTGCTATCTATATCTTGATTTTCTTTTGTAAAACCAATCTATTGAAACTTGATGTCTGATAAGTCATCAGACTGGATGTTTTATCGAGGGCATTTCTGGCACGAGCATACAAGAATGCACGCGTTACAATATCTCACTCGATGGGAAATACGGTCAGATATGATTTCATTCTTACTATCGAGTGTTGAGCTTCACTCGATTAATTATATTTTCATCAACTCTCTTAAATTTCATTCAACTTTATTGCATATTGGAACCCGGGGGGAAAACCTTAATTTGTCCATTTTACACCTGCCGCTGTGCCCTTCACGAGTAAGTTACCTTTCTTTTTGTTCATTTCCAAATGAAGTCTTAACCATGTAACATGTGTGCTTTCCTTATGTTCATAAATAGAACGCTCAGACGACGTAGTTAATCCCTCAAAGTGAAGCCTGGATATATTGTAGGAGATCACCTCTTTGGGGTTTTCCATTTCCAAAAGAAACCGAGATTCAGGATCGTTCAGATACTTATGTTGACTGCTAAGAGAAACTGCCAGATCCAATGAAAGTTCCGTGATGATGATGTATAATTCTCATGTGAAAATAAATGGTACTTTCTATAGAAGGTGGTCATGTGTGTTATAGTGTTTTACCTGTTTTCTTTATTCTCCTGAGTGTTGTTTGGACTCCGTGATTGTTTTTGTAAAACTAGAAAATCATCGTTTTGAATGGCAGATCTAGAGTTTCAGAAGTGAAGAGATAATTTCTTTTGTGGAATATGATTTTTGGTAGCCACATTCATCGACAGCGCAACTTCAATGCGAGAATGTTGAGGTATTTCTGAAATTTGGATGGATGTGAATCTAGATATGATGGGTTTGTAGAATGTAAGGTATGGGTTTAGAGTAGAATTTCTCCAGTTCGTATGGCCTTCATGTCTTGTTGACTGTCGGATGAGCACATATGTACATACAACTTACTTCAACCCTCCTAATTTAACTGCCTGCCATTATCGACTCATCCTTTCGACATCAGATCTAAACTTCTTTTCACCCCTCTCTCATCTGGTTAGGGCCTTCTCCCAACGATGGCCGAGCCAACTCAGGATTCGGAATGGCAATCATTGCCGGTTCAAGATCAACTCACTCATAAGGTTCATCGAGCTTCCCCATCATAACATATCTTTCATATTTCACAATCATTTACTCACTCGTACTCTTGGTTTCGTTCTGAAAGCTTTGGAAAGCTCGATTGGCTGCTTATGAAACCTTGATCAAGCAATTCGAACTCGCAGAAGGTGACGACGATGAGGTTTTCACAGATTGGAATCGGTAATCCACATAGTCCTCTTTCATATCGATATCAAATTTACCGAACTTAATGATTCTATTTTATGGCTACATGATTTTCAGGGATTCGGAGTGGCCTAGACGCGCCGTGACAGACTCAAATGCGGTAGCTCAGGAAAAGGGGATTTATCTTGTATCTGTATATATTCGACTGGCCGGCCGTCCCGCTACGAGATGCCGATCAGATTGTATCACACCATTAGTTGAAAAGAGTCTCGCTACCAATGCAAGGAAGGGTACCAGGGACGCGGGGATTGAATGTCTTTTGGGATGGGCCATGTCAGAGGCCGATGGCGACAAAGCAGAAGGAATTGTGGTATGTGTGATGGCCATTCTTAATCGAGACGGCGTCCTAAGATTGATGACCTGACCTTTTCGAAACCATGCGTTTTTGGCTATCAAGACCGCTGTGATCGAAGGACTGGGTTCAAAGCAGCCAAAGGTAGTCGCAGGTGCAGTCTCTGCTCTCAACGCTCTCATCTCGTCAGTTCGCTCTTCAAAACCAATTTGCCGCATCTGCCAAGCAGCTCATCCTCCTACGTAATCAGAGCATTCGGGGTAAAAGTCATCAATATCAAACCCATTCTTAAGTCTCTCGCCAAAATCTTTGCGCATGCAGACAAGGGTGTTAGGGCAGAAGTACGTATCCTCTTCTCCACTCAACCAAAAGATCAAACCCTCAACATGCCTTTGAATCTCTGCGTAGGGGACCACACTGGTTCATACTCTCTACAAATTCCTCGGCCCAGCCCTCGAGCCATCGTTGTCTGAACTGAAGCCTGTACAAGTAAAAGAACTCCATGAGTCATTTGCAAGCCTTGACACCGAAGGTAAAGGTAAAGGCACAGGCACACCGACACGTGAAACGGCTGGTCAGCAAAGAGAAAGACTCCAACGTGAAGCGCAGGCAGCGCTAGAGGGGGTTCAAGAATTAGGGCAAGCGGATCCCGGGAGCAATGAACAGGAGGCGGAGACTAGGCCAGAAGAACCCGAGGATATCGACCCTTATGACTTGGCTGATCCTGTCACTGTGCTTGATCGTTTACCATCAGGATTTTATGAACACCTCGCCTCTTCGAAATGGAAAGAGCGCAAAGAGGAAGCTCTCGATCCGCTTTACGAAGTGCTTAAGACGGCTATCAAGATCAAACCGGATCACTATGATGAACTCGTCAAAGCCTTGGCAGGCCGGATGGGTGATGCAAATATCCTCTGTGTCATCGGAGCAGCAAACTGTTTGGAATGCCTTGCGAAGGGTCTCAGGACGGATTTTGGAAAGTATAAAGTCTTGATGCTGGTCCCGATGTTGGAGAAGTTTAAAGAACGGAAGGTCAATGTCGTTGAGGCATTGAGTAATTGTTTGGATGCGATGGCTTTGACAGTCCGTTTTCCACATCTTCTCCAACATTCTGGTACAGGGACAGGGATTGCACGCTCATCTCAAATTTTATGCCTCATTTTCCTAGGTGACGTTGCCGGAACTGACTGAGGACATCGTGACGTTTTCGAAACATAAAAACCCTGCGGTTAAAGAACAGACGATGAAGTTCTTAGTCAGGTGTTTGCGTAATACTGAACATCAGATTCCAAAGCAGGATATCAAACCCCTGTCCGATGTCATGCTCAGCGGACTTGAGGACGCTGTTGTTCCTGTCCGTGAAATCTCTGCTGAAGGACTAGGTACGATGATGAAATTGGTCGGAAAAGCAACATTTTCACCTTTGATTCAAGCTCAAGATGACCTCCGCAAAGCCAAGGTTGAAGAGTATTTCGAAAAGGCGGTTGTAAAGTATAAGCCTCCAAAGGCCAAGCCGAAACCTGTCGCTAACAAACCTGCGGCTAGGCCTCCACCGAAAGCCAGGCCAGCTCCCAAACAGTCTACACCACCTTCACCGGATAGCAACGACTTCCGAGCATCTACACAATCCAAACCTCCAAGCAAAGCACCTCCTAAGCCCGCCGTAAAGAAGGCTCCCGCTGCCACAGGGACTGCGCCAAAGAAAACGGCGGCCGCGGCACAATCTAGCGGTGCACCCAAGGGAGCCTCAAAACCCATTGAGGAAGTACGGTATAAGATGTCACAAGAAGATGCTGAAGCTAGAGCGCCCGATTGTCTTGATGCTGCGTTCATCGAAGGAGTGAACAACAGTCTGTGGAAAACTCGCCTAGCGGCTTTGGATGATATGCTAGTGTGGTTACCAGATCATGTAGACGAGGTTGAGGCTGAACTCCTAGTACGATATATGAACAAGAAGCCCGGTCCGAAGGAGAGCAATTTCCAGGTATGTCCAACTCATGATCAAAATTTGAGAATCATGCTTAAAGTCAAATTGTTTTTGGCTTTCTCTTTAGGTTTGGCAACGAGTATGCGCTGTGCTACAGTTTCTGGCTGAAAATTCACCATCGTTTTCCAAAGCCTGCATCGCCCTTACTGTACCATCTCTGATAGAAAAGTATGGGGATGCTAAGATCAAAGAGTCAGCTGGCGGTGCGTTGTTGACTTTTGCCGAGAAAAGCTCGCTGGGATTTGTTCTTTCGCATGGTTCGTCCATCACTGGTTTTATCATTCTTGTCTCTTGTGTATAGGAGTGCAAACACTGACTGTTCTACTGAACTTAGCGTTCGAGTCCATTTCTAAGCAAAAGGCGGTGAAAATCCAGGCGGAAAGTTTCGTATTCATCGAGATGTCATTGTCGGACTTCGGTATAACTGGCGTACCGATCAGGGACTTGATAGAGTGCCTAAAAACTGGACTTAAGAGTGTCAATGCCGCCGTGCGGACCAACGCCACTAAAGCTTTGGTGACCACGAAGCTTTGCATCGGAGCAGGTTTGTCAATGTTCATAATATGTTCAGGCCATTCCAGAGTTCTTTCTCACAAATACTGGCTATCAGATATCACCAATTTCTTGCAGGACCTCAATCCACAATTGCTTGGCACTATCGAAGGCGAGTTCGCGAAAATCGAGGGCGAATCGCCACCGGTGCCTACTCGTGAGAGTGCCGATGTGGCACAGGCCAAACCTGGTCCAGCCGCGAAAGGGAAAGGAAAAGTAGCCGCAGGTGACGACGCACTAGATGAACTGTTCCCTAGAGTCGATCTAGATAAGTTGATCTCTAGTTCAGTCATCAAATCGTGCGATGACAGCGCTTGGAAGATCCGAAAAGAAGCATTAGAGACCATTCAAGGTGTCTTAGAGAGCAACAAACGACTCAAACCAAATCTTGGTACGTTCTTCGATCTGCAGGCGTGCGAGCTGAGTGTGGCTCGATTTTGATCAGTTTTGAATGATCTTGCCTGGCTACACACTTCACAGGTTCTGACCTTACAGCTTCACTAAAGTTGCGACTTGGCGATGCTAACAAAGCTGTGCAAGCCTTGGCCCTCGACATTACAAGCCGGATAGCGACTGGTATGGGCAAGCCGTTTGAACGACATGCAAAGATGTTTGCTACATCAATGTTGATGGTCTTGGCCGACAAAAACGCTGGCGCTCGAAACAACGCTCTCACAACATTGAGTGCCGTAGCGGATGCATGCGGGCTCGACTGTCTCACAGCTAGCGTGGCTGCTGCTCTCGAAATTGCAAAACCTGAGCTTCGAGCTTCATCCCTAACTTGGATCGTTCAAAGACTTGCGGAACTCGATACAGTAAAAGGTCTTGACATGTCACCTTTTGCTGCACCTTTAATCTCATGCCTAGAAGACCGAAGTCCCGAAGTACGAAAAGGAGCTCAAGAACTTCTACCTACAGTCATCCAGGCCGCGGGTATCGACATCGTTCTAGATCAGACATCGAATCTCAAACCAGCCTCTCGTAATAATGTTGTTCCAATGATTGAAGCCTACCGACCGGCTGCTCCAGTCAAGGTGGCCGCCTCAAAACCTGCCGCTGCGAAAAATGCACGACCTGCCTCTGCGCTCAACAAATCGACCAACCGTGCCTCAGTTGCCAGTACTCAAAGAGCCTCAACACCTACGTTGGAAGATCGACCTCCTCCTTCGAAAGCAAAATTAGGTCTGCGCAAACCTGTGGGTGGCCCTATATCAAAACTGGCTCCTCCGCCCCCTCTTCCGGCTTCTCCAGGCCCTGTAACAAGCCCAAGCGATGTCCCCTTCAGGTCGGGTGATCCTAAAGCTAAAACATTGCGAGCCAGTAAAGAGACAGGCCCGCTCAAATGGGTTATCGAAGGGGCAGTCCGAAAAGATCAGATTGAACAGCTTCATCTACAAATGAGCTCTCAGGTCAGCGCCGAGCTTCTAGGTCAATTATTTAGCAAAGATCACCACTGCGAGAAAGACTTTATGGCAGGCTTGAATGCAATTGAATCTTGGACGTCAGATCCATCCCTAGCGAGCGAAATAGCTGATATGGAAGAATCTGATATCAGAGACAGGCTACTTGCGAATGCGGATCTTGTGTTCAAGTATTTGACCATTCGACTGCATGACACAAATACATCAATCACAATGAAGTGTCTAGACATAATCGAACAGTATATCACTGTTTTGCAACTAGATGCATACCGCTTGACTGACTACGAAGCATCTGTCCTATTGCCTAGCTTGATCGGAAGGGTAAGTGAAGTGTCAATATGACTTTTTGTTTTCAATCCAATTCACAAAGGTCTTGTATTTGTCTTTAGTGCGGGGATAGCAAAGAAACTCTTCGAACACGGATCAGAGCGATTTTTAAACACATATGTAGTATATATCCTTTCAGCAAAGTCTTTCAAAGCCTGCTCGATCATGGCATCAAATCTAAAAACGCTCGGGTCCGGGCCGAATGTGCCGAGGAACTGAGTGCTCTCTTCCAACGACATGGTCTCAATGTCTGTCAGCCAGCGAAAGCATTGCCTTTGATTGCCTCTTTGATTTCGGATCGAGATTCTGCTGTTCGAAATGGGGCATTGTCGGCATTAGCTAGTGCTTATTCTTCAGCCGGAGACGTGATACATAAATATGTGGGCAATCTATCCGGTAAAGAGCAAGATATGTTGAATGAGCGACTGAAACGAACAGGAGCGCCTGCCTCGCCTAAAGGGACTCGACCTGTCGCAGAGTCTGCCATCTCACCTCGCCCAGCAGCTGTTACTCGATTGGCCGCCAAAACCCTCCGAAGGCCGTCAAGCATGGGACTGCAAGGCATCACAGACACGGAGTCGGTTAGCGCATCCAAGAGTATCCCACATCGACCAATGTCAACTGCCAATACTACCTCGAAGCTTGCTTCTCCTTCAGCCATGACACATTCGAAGCTGCAACCCATCGCTTCACAAATGCCCCTTCGTCAATCTACCAGTCGTCGAGATTCACTTATCAATTCCTCTTTACCTGCGCCACGACCGCAGTCACATTCTTCCATCAAAGCACCTACGAATCACAAACCAATACCTCCTCCTGCCAGTCCCAGTACTTCAGACCATAATGTGAACATTCCAATCGCAGAGATCCTATCGAGCGACGACGTCCGAAGTACGGATGCGCTCAAGATAGTCCAAAGTGACATCGCCAATCGACCTGATTATCTGATAGCAAGTGCTGATGCTCTCATAGATGCAATCGCAACGCAGATGAGAATTGCATTTGAAAACCTCGACGCATCAACCCCACCTATGACTCTGAGATTGTGTAAACATCTGATGCAAACACTCTCCACCTTTTTTGATCAATCACAACTCGCTACTGCAGTCTCCAAAGATGCCCTTGTCGCCGTCCTGGCACAACTTACTCAACGATTACAAGAGACAGCTGACAATCCAGTCAGTGAACACATCACTAGCTTGTCTAAAGTTTTAAATATGGTGTTGATCCGGATATTCCACAATGCAGACAGAAGTGCTTGCTTTGGGTGAGCAGACTTTGTGTCCTTATCATCTTTGATCTCCTGCTAGGGCTGATTTGATGTCTTCCCTTAGTGCTCTCTTCGCTGTTCTCAAGCTGACCACAATTGATATGCGAGACATCGAGGGCGAGGTAGAACTAACACATCGCGCGAAGTACGCCGAACTAGTCATGAAGGTCAGTACACATTAAATGAATACCGATGTTGACTGGCTCGTGCCACTTACGCGAATCAATTTGATCTTTGCTTGATGCCACCTCAGTGCTTGTGGAAAGTGTCGAAGACGGTGAAGGAATCCCTCGAAGATGGTACACTCGATCCACGGATCCTTTTAGGGGACATTGACGATTTCCTCGTATCAATCCCGCCAGCAGAATGGAGAAGACGAGCTAATGACAATGTGCCATTGGCAGATATGCCATTGCGGACAGTCAAAACGATCTTGCAGCAGGTGGTGACTATCTATGGAGAGGGTGTCTATGAGGCTGTTTCGGCTCTCAAAAACCCCCAAGATACGTTTGTATACCAGTACCTGTTCCGTCTGCTAAACAATTCCAGGGCAGCAGCTGGGGAACCACCTGTAAGCCAGCCTGCACGTCGGCCTGTTCCACTCTCCCCGGAATCGGCGATGGCCCCGCGCGCCACAGCCAGCTCTGCCATGCAACAAAGTCCTTCGCGAAGCCCTTCGCGTTCAAGGCAGAGTTCTGCTCCCAGTATCGACGGTAACGGACCCAAACAGTCTCCTGGGCCACTTGATCATTTCAGCGAAGTAAACATAAACAACCTATTGACGGAAGTGTTCGCAAAGATTGGCAGTCCCACAGAATCCAAAAAGGTACGATTATATTTTCAGCTTTTTCTCGATCCAGCGATGTTTGTTCATTCTCTAGTGCCTTGTACCGGTGTTCGCGCTTCTTTAGGGTATACAAGAGCTGTATCAGCTGTTGAAGCAACACCCGGAAGCCAATGCCAAAGTAGACAAATGGATCGGTGCTACTGGAACCTATTTCCAAGCTTATCTTCGGAGGGCGCTTCAAAATCTTCGGGCAGATGATCCAGATGTAGCAGAGGATGGAGCAGCAGTAGAATCGGAGAGTGTTGTACCACCTCTCACCCCAGCATCTCGTCAGTATTGACTTGGTTTTTTTGCTCATCGACCCAATGCGGATCAGAAGATCGCGTGTAGAAATGGGCAGGATAGTGGCCTTAATGAACTCTGCTATATATGTACCCGAACATTTTACAATATACCAAACGTACACCCACAGGTCCGAATTCAAACTTGATCTCCATCACACCCTCGCCCCCTGTGGGTTCGGCCAGCGAGCTTGCTCAACAGCAGCAATCGGCACGTATGACCAAGGTTGCCTCGCAGGATCTAGATTTGAACCGGTTACAAACGCTCTTTGGGTTTACGAACACTCTTCCTCATCAAGAACACCCCGCCTCGACAACTGCAGAACCATAATAAAGCTGTACATTTTCCCAATCATAAACCCGTGTGTGTAGTCTGTTGAGACGAGCCATTGGCGTCATGCAGCTTCGTCTTGATTTCTCTCTCTCTTGAATTTCATATTTGTTTAAATATCAGCATTATACATCGTATCACTAGGCCTGTCTACAAAGGAAAACATCACATAGAAATCTTCCATTGGTCTTTCTTCCTGTTTAATATCTTAATTTTATGATTGAAAGTTTTTAATCTAATTTATATATTGTTCTATTGGAGTGGTATCATGCCTTTACTTTGAGTGCTCCGGCCGCTTTGTTTTACTTTCCCTTTGGTACAATTGGGATAGGCTGGACACTGCATGAGCGAACCTATTAAGTTCACCCTTACCATAATGTTTTATCTGCTTGAAGAGCGAGTGTTTATTGCTGAGAAGAGGTGGTAAAAATGTAATATTGTCATTGATCATTCAGTGATGAGTACTTCCTGAGTCTGATCTGACCTGAAACCAGGCTTTTCTTTGCGCGAGGGCTGAGGAGATAACTTGTCCTTCCCACAATCTTAGTTGCGCACTTTGCATCATGCCGGAGCTTTTTGGATCTTAACAGACCTCCCAAACATGGTAGTGTACAGCTAAAAGCTTTCAAGGCGCAATGATACCAAGTACCTTTGCAGAATCTGTTGGTCTCCAATGATTTGACGTATGTTGTTTGACCCCCATCTCAGCCCAGCTGTTGTTTAACAACATTACTCGTTTGTATATCAACTAAAAACAATCATATGTGTTTTTGTGTGGAGGTGTCAAGCCCTTTGCACTGTAGTCTTTGAATATGTACTCATCTAGATCAGAACTTGAGGAAGAAAAAAGGGCTTTACATGCAATTCTTTTTCTGATTCCTATGCCCTGTCTCAAGGCTTTTCTTGCTGCAGAGTCATTGGCAACAACAATTTGAGTAGGCCAAGTTGTGCACAATATCTCAATGAATATGCATTCATCTCAAAATAAATTTTGCATTTTAACTGCAATAGTGTAATGGGGCTCACGCTCACACCCGGTGCCACAAAGCCACGAGGCGCCCTGGAGGGGCACATGGCAAGGGCCAGGGCTTAGGCCACACCGTGGCCCACACACCAACCCTTTCATGGCCTTCAACAGGCATGGAATTCAGTCAAAGTCCCCCTAAAGATGGTCTTAAGCAGGGAATGGCGACCAAAAATGTAGTTCTGAGGTTCTTTGAATGGAAGGCCACATTGGGCCACACCATGCTAGGCCATGGCTCTGACCACGCCCTGGGCCCCAAAAAAGCCGGGGATCACATAAAATTCAGTGTCACCCAGTTTAAAGTATCCCTTTGTCCATCAAAAATGTAGGCCACGTGAATTGATCATGTCTCATAGTTGCATACAATCTTGATGCCTTTGAAAACTGCCTTGCCAAGGAGGAGTGTCCACCACTTAAATTGAGGCAGCTCTTGTGAAGTTTGGGCTTAGAATCAAATTGCCAGGCTTTGTTACTCAGACCCTCCTGACCAAGGTATTAACCATGATTGAGGTAGGAAGCCGTATCCCCCCCTCTGCAAGATGAGTGCAAGACATGGGGTGAGTTGTACAGCTTTTGTTGATTTTTTCCAGTGGCGCTTTGTTTTTGCTTGGGTTTGTTTTTCTTCAGAAGAAAGCTTTTGGTTAGAATTAGATCATCAAAGGAAAATATATCTTGGTTTAACAAGGATAAGTCAAATTGTATGACTTCTAAGCTCTTGTACACCCAAATCCTGTCAAACTAGAGATTTCCATGAAGCTGTTAAAATATGGTCTTGGAAGAGCTAGTACCATAAAAGAAACGATAAAAATCCTTCTGATCTCCTTTGTTTGATTGATTGAGCGCACACAGCCAATGTGATTTGCATCAAAGGAAACTTTTGGTTTGATTCTAATGATCAAAACAAGGACAAGAGCAATTGATGATAGAAATGACTCTACTTCTTCCTTTTGAAGTGGTCAAGAGGGTTGGTTTGAAGTTTACTTGTCAAATTCCAACTTGATTTCTCTATCCCCCAGTCAAGTATTGCCCGTCCTGTGATCCGTGAGAAAAAGGGAAACCTTAGATGAGGCCATGTGATGAGGATGGTCTTTCTCATAATTTTTTTATAAATTTCAAGGAGGAGGCTGTTCACTTACGTTGTCTTACCCTCAGCCACCTCAAACACATACAGGTATCTACTGAACAAGCACTGTACCTAGCTGTACAGTCCCCTCCAAGTGGTTTACATAATCATCTAACCTAACTAAGTCCCTCTCGGACGAACAAGTAGTCGAGAGAGGGACTTATAGCTTATTCACAGATTTTGGCGTGTGAGCCTGTGGACCTTTGGCTGGGGCACTTTTCAATCTGATACACAGCATAATCCTGCTTACAAAAATCCTCCAGACCCAAGAAATGCACCCTTCTCTGAATTGCCCTACATACACCTGTGCCAGTCTCACCCTCCTAATCCGAATGGATACTGAGTTATTCAAGCCCAATTTTTTGGGAAATTGCATCCTCTGTAACTTGCTGCGGAGGCGTCAGAGAGTCTTCTACTCCTGTCATTTGAGAAACTCTCAAATTTTCCTTTGATCTCTTCAATTGATTTGAATGAATTTGGAAGGAAGAGGACATTGAATGAATAGCACTCGGTTTTGACTTTGAGATCTTTTGAAACCTATCCATACCAGAGGATTCCTCATACAAGTCTCTACACTTTCCAACCTCAACAGGGGAAGCCTCAACGCCTCGCGATTTATAAGTACATTGATTCGATAACTCTGAATAGTTGCTCGTGATCATTAAGTTCCGAAGGAGTCACCATATTTACGTAATTGACAGCTTTGAGATAAAAATTCCTCATTTTTGCCCAACCTGTCAAACTTGTTGAAAACTCGCAGCAGCCACACTGGAAGTTTACATGAGACTGGATTTTTTCAATCAATATCTTGATGACCTTCCTGGGGGTGAGTGTTTATGTAGAAAAACCAGCATATGTAGGACAGCTCACAGAACAATCCATTTCTTGGGTCCGGGGGATTTTTGTAAGCAGGATCATGCTGTGTATCAGATTGAAAAGTGCCCCAGCCAAAGGTCCACAGGCTCACACGCCAAAATCTGTGGATAAGCTATCAGTCCCTCTCTCGACTACTCGTTCGTCCGAGAGGGACTTAGTTAGGTTAGCATAATCATTCAAGTTCTGCAGCGGCGGGGCCGGGGCCTGTTGCGAACCCGATGATTACGAATCCTAGGTGTGGGGACGTGTACACGAAAAAACAACCAAAGGGGAAACGTCTTGCGAGACGTCTCTTGTCTCGCAGAGGGGGGGATACGGCTACGCTCCTGAGATTGCAGTAATGCAAAGTACGCATGGCTTCAGTACTTGCCGTTCATCGTCAAAGGCAACGGGCACCTCAAAGCGCAGCAAGCACCCGATGCGGGTTATAGAATCAATAGTCCAATCTTGGCTATAATTGTCCAACACCATGTCTCGACCCAGATTTTGCTGCGGACAGTGTAGGGTTTGTGATTTGACATGCTTGCACTTGGTTACTTGGCGAGTTTTTATTCAAAATATTTTCTTGACTGTCTTATGAGCCTCAGTATGATCAGCTATTGTACACACCGGATATTTACTCGTAGACGTTGGTTGCTGAGGTAAGGCCGTATTGGACAACACCTGAACGAAGGGAGAAAAACATCAATCGAGCAAGTACTAATTAGTCATCAAGGAAGCTACAAAAGTGTATGCACGGAATTCTCACCTTCAGGGAACCAGAGGGCTGGACAAAGGAGAAGATAAACAAGTTCAGTAAGGGTGATACCACAATTGAGCGAGGCAAAATACTTACCAATTTCTTTCTTAGCTGACTCGACAGCGTCAGAACCGTGGCAGATATTGCGGCCCATGTCGATTCCTAGAAGGAGAAGCTTGTTCAATATGGCCGTGCCGCTGCATACGAGTTTCATCAAAATATGGCGGAAGGCTTGACTTACCGAAGTCTCCACGGATGGTACCAGCAGCTGAGCTCAAAGGGTTGGTGGCTCCAAGCATGGCTCGGCCTTGCTTGACAACCTGATCGAAGGAGTTTAGTAAGGGTGTTCAGGTTAAAGATATAGAGCTGACAGTCACGCTCACATCTTTACCCTCAAAGACGATGGCGACCACGGGGCCACTGCTCATGAAGCTACAGAGACCGGCGAAGAAAGGCTTTCCGGCCAAGTCGGCGTAATGCTTCTCTACATGCTCCTTGGATGGGTGCATCATTTTCAAGGCAACGATTTTGTAACCTCGACGCTCGAAACTTTGAGCAAAAAACATTTCATAATATCACGCACCATCAACTCAAAGATCCGAATCATCCATAGAATGAAGAAGCCCCAGTGAAATTTCGTGGAAAGACTTACCGTCCTACAATTTCACCTACCAGTCCGCGTTGGACACCATCGCACTTCACCACTGAAACCCGAGACAATGAGATTGAGAAATAGCTTGTTGTGAATTGGTAATTTAAATAAAGAGTACTCACTGATAAAGGTCTGTTCTGAGTTTGACATGATGGCTGTTTATGAGTTTTTATTGATTGTGGAAGTTGATGATTTGAGGAAACTGAAAGCAGTGAGGAATGGTTGAAAAACTCCGATCGAAGAGCTGTCAATATGGGGTACACGGTCACCGTGTTAGGTTTTGCTTTGTGTCTAGACTCTACCCGTACCGCGGCGCCCCAACGTTACATACATACTTCTACAACTCCAGGGCCGGGTACCATCAACTCGAACCTCAACCTTCCATTTCACAACCTATCTCCTAAATAAGCTTAAATACCCCCATCTATCTACAGGAACGAGGGTTCAAAGCAAGGCAAGTCAAACAAGTATAAGTACACGCTTCTTGGCCTTTGGCAAAGACACACTTGCCGAGAAATGTAAGCCCAATGCAGGAAATTATGAAACTTTGTATACTTTGCAACAAATTGCCTTGTCTTAATTTAGTTCCTGCACAAGATGAAAAAGAAGCCTGGGGTGAAAGGAATCAAAGAATCTACATTTGCCACGGGGAAGTATTTATCATTTTTTGTGAGTTTTAAAATTTAAATTTATTTGTTTTCGAGTGAATCAGGATTTCTCCTTAAAAAAAGGATGCGGTTAAAGCTATCACTGGAAATGCTTTTGGATCCTTGAGGATGAAAGATTGGAGCAGAAATCAAAATGAAATATTCAAGAAAATTGATGGATTTGGTTGATTCTCAACACCCTATGTGGCAATCTTATTGAAGTTGATCACACGGATCATATAAACATCACAGATAAATACTTACTGCGCTATTGACTCTTTCTTGGATCTTTTTAGGTAGAGTGGGGATCGTCGAAACACTTACAAGAAGCGAATTATGTGAAATATACGGACTGAAAGCACGTTCAGGCTCAGCGAACCATCTTGAAAAATCTTATCACCTGATGTTGACATATGTTTACTTGACTCACGGTTCTGAAGTTCAGTGATTTGAGAGACTTGGATTCTCGTGCTATTGGCAATCGAAGGTCACATCAGCTTTCTTCTATCGATGACCATCGATGACCAATTCCAATCTACAAATGAAAAGGATAATCCTATACCATACGAATTCAGGTGAGTTTCAAAAGTTTGATCAGGTATCCTTCATGTATTTTGCTTATCTTTACTTTTTTGTTTGATTAACAGCACTTGCTTGTTGTTTGGACACCGTTTCTTGTGGATTAGAAAATGAGTATGCTCACATGAATGCAGAAGCTGTTACTCTTATAGATACTTTGAACGCTAAAATTTGTAAGATTTATACTTTTTCACTTCCCTTAGAGCCTCTCAACTGATTCTAATAACATCACGTTTCTTTGCTGATTTGTAGAAGTGAAGTGTTAATGCAAAAGTTTTACAAAAAAATCGTTTTGTAGGATTAATTTAATGAGGAACCCGATTCTAGTATGATATAAAAATAAGTCTAATAAGCGCCTAATTGATGAACACGTATTAGAGAAGCGAAATGAGACCTGAGCAATATGCAAACATGCTAAATAGTACAAGGAAGTAAGAAAACAACATTAAAGGGTATTGAACGTCACATCAAAGCTCAGAGCCAAGCTAAAGTTTTTTTTGGATTAGAAGTTAATCTGATGCCTGCTTGACCAAATAACTCGTACAAAGACGAATGATCCCTCGTGAAGCTGAAATTCAAGAAAACAACGTATCTAAGTTTCTTTTGCATTATGAATTATATCGTATTGCTTACCTCATTCGATGAACAAATTTGCAATGAATGTCTACCGTATTCTTAGTAACAGGTAACCCGGTTACAATCGGAATCGGTAAAAAAACTTGTTCAGCAGGCGAAAAGAAACTTGAAGAACGATCGAACGATAAGTTTACTCTCGCCGACTTTGTAACGAGAGGTTTGGCTGCATAAAGCGGCGATGGTTCTAAGCTGAAATTTGTTAATGCCTTCACTTCGAAGGCGTTGAGCTTGAGAGGTATTCTTGCGGAATTGAAGGTAGGTACCGGTTCGAAGATAAACTCTCCTCCTAAGTTTTCATAATTCACAAGTTTCAGTTGAAAGAAAGATGAAGATTTAATTTTGGTATTCAAATGATGCCGTCTATTTACCTAGTTGTTTCAAATCCCCGCAAGATTTCAATGCTGGTAATCTCAATGAGTTCTGATGAAATGTCAAAAAAGTTAGACTTAAGTTAAGAATATAAAAAGGTGATGAAAAAGTGATAACGCAATAAAGTCAATCCTGCTCACCTTGACACCATATCTAAAGAGTTCGAGATTGGACATGGTATCTAAGTAGTCCCCTTTGTTACTTTCAGGACCACTTTCTGAACTTCTCTTGCTCATTCCAAGAGCCCCATAGAGTTCATTTGACTCGGAGGCGTCTGTATAGATGGGGTAAGGACACTTGAAGAGCGCTGTTGTCAAAAAAGCATGACTCAGAAATCTGTGGATCGAATATGACTTATTGTTGAGAGAGAGAGAGAGATTACTCACCACCGTATTTTAAGATCATCGAATGGCTCCCAAGACCAATGATAACGACTTTTATCCCAGCTGATTTGATGGATCCATACTCTTCACGTTCATTGACAATAGTTGACAGATTTTGAATATATGATTGACAAAATGCACATCTAGATAGAAGATTGGAAAACGTTAGCAAACATTGAATCAGTGAATGATTATTGAGATGTTTGGAAACAGGATTACCTAAAGTTTCTAATAAAAATCACGACTGTAGGTGATTTTCTATCTAAAAGTTGACTAAACTCGTATGATTTACCATACCCATCCAAGACTTTACATTTCATAGCATCATTTAAATTATCTTGACCTGAAGGTGTGGTAGTTGAAAATTCTGAATTGGAATTCAACTCTTCTAGTATAGGTTGATTGATAATGATGGGTGATGGTAGTGATATAGGAAATTGAGGTTGATAATTAAGAATGGGTGTTGTAGCATAATTTGGTAATTTCTCTAGATCACTTGAACTGAAAATAAAACCTGAACGTTTTGGGTTGGGAGATATGAAATCTGCCGCTGGTAAGACTGGAGTACGGTGCACAGATGAGAATTGAGTGGTAAACATTGTGTTTATCAAGGGTAGTTGACTTGTTGAGATGAAATTAAGTGTATGGAGATTGTGGATAAGAGTGAGAATGGTATAGGCTTAGCTGCTGGAAAAATGAAGAAAAGGCGAGAGTTGAATTGGACAGCTACATCCTATTTGAATGTGATTTTGGTGAGTGATAACCTCTCTCAATGGTCACCAGGAACAGAATAGACAGCACTGATTAGCGGAATTAAAAAGCTTGACAAGAAGCTAAAGAACTGTTGGCTCTGAACCTGAGCAAGGCACCTTGTTCATAATTCCCTTGACCACGTCGCCAGAAGGTGACAAGATCGACATTGAATTTTGAGAACGCGAAAGATAATTGTATCCTCCCAATGCATTGTATCTCCTACTTCATATCCAAACTAGACAAAGTCTTATCGTGCCCAGGTTTCCAGCATCACAACCAACGTCCGAGGTACAAGGGACTGGCCCGCCATTCCCAGGACGTCTCGCGCTGGGTTTGATTTTCAATGGAGGAGATATTGTAAGAAAAATCACTGCACATTATCCATCCTTCAGGGGAAAATGGTAGGCGCGCTTCTCACCTTTCTTTTGCCCTGTCTACCAGGGCATGATGAAGTTGTGGAGTATTGTTATGTGATGTTCTATAAAACGGCGTGCCTACATATTATCGAAACGCACCAAATAGTGGACAACTTAAGGACTTTGATCGGGAACCGATCACGACGAGAATAACTCACATCCATACGATGGACGAGAGAGGAGGGTGGAGGACAAACCTCAAAACCCGAAACACAAACTCTGTATTGCCCTGTACAAATACTCGATTTTCGAGTAACTCTCATCAATGGACCTCACCAGAACATCATAGAAACAATCCAGACAATGCCAGAGATGATTCCAGGCTGCTCCTGATTGAGGATGCCGTTGAGTCATTGGATCAGCATAAAAATTAAGTCTCCAGATCATCAAGAACAATTTAAAATCAAGGTGATAAGTAATACCCCATTCAATAGATTAGTACATTTGCATCTGCATTGTTGCACAAGCTTTCAATTTGAATTCGCTACTTCAAATCAAAATGGTCCTTTGAATTAGATATTGACTCTTGGGCTGTTTTTGGAACATCAGTTAGACATCAATGTTGAGTTTTTAATTCACATATTGAATTCAAGCTTTGGAATTTCAATTGTCTTGTAGGCAAGTCTAATTGCCTTTTCTACCTTCCCTTAACAAGACTGATCTTTTGGATTATGCTAGACTATAACAATTATGTCATTCATTCCCAGCAGTCTTTGAGAAGTAAAATGAATTCCATCCTCATTTGCACAATTGATTTGTCACAGTTATTGTTTCAATATGAACATTATCTTCTTGCATTGCTCTACTTCAACAATCATGTAAGGTTGTCTTCTTTCTTAATCATCTTTTTATGGGGTACAATTTAGAACAAAAAATCAACTTTTGAATGTTGTGTGCCTACTTTCATCTACAGATCTCACACAAAAATGATGTATACCATCAAGTGTAGCTTCATCTCATTTTGATTATATCAATTGATGAAAAAGATCATTCTTAAGTTTGTTCATCATCAGTCTGAAGATCCATGTGAGCTCATTTTCCACTTTGGTATCATTGCAGAAGAAAGAAACTGATCATATCACAAAAAATGAAAATACAAATTGTGATCTGTTAAACAAATTGAACATTAACAAAATCATCAAAAAATCAACCAAATCTTTCAACCCTTCATAAATCTGAACATCATCTCTTCCCTTCTTCAATGTTTATCTATCAAATCAAGTACTTTTTAACCTGATGTTTCCACTTTCAATGCAATTCTGATAAAGTTGAAAAGAGTAAGCAACCTACAAAAACCCGTAAATCAAGAGAAAGATTTTGTTATTGATTCCCATTTCCATAAATTCAGCAATCAAATAATGAAAAACCTACAAAAAAACCTGATAAGCAATCCCATGACAAACAAACAAAAGATGAATTCTATTAGAAAAAAGATCATTCTAAAACTTCAAATAGAGATCAATAAAACTTTGAGGAACCAAACACTCACAAATGGAATTTCAACCACATCCATATGACTTTCAACTGTTTTGCAATCCGTTCTAATCCCATCCCATTCTGATTTCCTAAGTATTCCTGTGAACCTCTACAAAACCTACAAAACTCACCTTTAAGTCCATTAAATTTCATTAAATTTGAATAAATATCACCTCATACACCTGTCCCTTCTCCTCCTTGATCAATGCTTCAATTTCTTCTTGTCATTGATTTTCATACTCAATGGAACATGGTATCCCACATTCTCTACATATCCATGCTGTTGAATAATCTGAACAGTTCATCAATATATCTTGCAATGAAAATGAGGTACCATGTGCTAAAAATGCATTGAGTTCCATCTATCCAAATCAGATTCCTCCTCCATGTTTTCTACCCTAAAAAATCAAAATTGAATTCAAATGTAATCGTAATCAAATGGGCGCTTTTTTTATCTAAATCCAAATAAATATAAACAACCATTAACTTATTCAAGCATTCTTTGCAATAGAGTCTTTTTCTGCAAAATTTCCAAGTGAAGATGGTGGGGTCTCTTGTCATTATATGAAGTCAAGCACTGACAATCATTTGCCTCTTGAGTGTTTTGTGTTGATAGAGCACAAGCGTCTTTGATTTTGAAACGGCAAGACAGATATTGATTGACATTCTTATATTAAAATCCCTGAGTGGATGATAAGCTAACTTAGCGCTTAGCACAGCGTTAGCTTAGTGTTTTTTGTGCGCCAAGTAAGCAAAAGTTCCTTAGTGGGCCTCCACTAGCTGAGGTGCTCTCCAGATTTGCTTTAGTGGGCCTCCGCTAAGCCTTAGTGCAGTCAGGTCCAGCCAAGCTAAGGATATAAAGTGGGTCTATGTAGGCCGCTAAGCTAGCGGTATTAGCAGGACTACATAGAGAGCCGTGATTTCTCAAGGTTCCAGCAATATTTGCCCCAAACCCAACAATTGGACTTTGCCATACTGCCATAACTTGTTTTTGTGTGATTATGAAATTTCTCAAAATCAAGGTATGTGAAACTTCAACATCTTGCACTCATCCTTGTGCTTTCAGATTCTCTTATTGCACTCTGAGTAAAAACTTTTACAATAGCTCAAGAATCAAGGTTCTGAAATTTCAAAATTTAACTGCCTCTAAAATTGTTACACATGGGTCTTTTTACAGTCAATTTGGCCTCAAATTCTCAAAAAATCACTCAGAGTCATATGTTTCATAATGGCTGAACAATAACCCTCAAGCCAGACGACATGGCCAATAGAGATCATATTACTGGTTTAGGGGTTGTTGTGTAAATTTAATTTGACGTGGAATATGGGTTCTCAAGAAAGACAGTCATCTTAGTTAGGCATACAGATTGCAACAAAGTTGTAAGGATTTTTGTTTCTTTCATACTGTTGGAGGAAACTGACGTATGGCTGCACAGAATCATTCTGAAGTTAACTTTATTGTCAAATACATGCAATACTCCTGGGCCTTGATCCAAAATCCATCTACCTGGGCAATACCCGGAAAATCAGTACTCTTGGAGAGGCATATCAAAGGATGCAACAACATTCCTTCTAGGTGGATTTTTGACGTCAGTTTTGATTATTACATAAAAGAATTATTATCATTCTTACCTTTCTTTACCTACACTTGCAATACAGGTGTATTGTTTTCAACAAAAATGACTGCATATCTCACGACACAAATGTTTCAATTTACTCAATGTCTTACCGATGATCAGATGGTTGAGCCTATAATGAAAGTGATGTTAGAACTTATGTATTGAATGGTTTCCTTCTTACATATGCATCATGTATAGTCTCACTTTTATCTTTAATATGTCCCTGTCTGAATGAACGTGAAGTTGAATTCAAGAGTGCAGTGCAATTGAGTCAATGCATTTTAAACTAATAGTGATGACTTACAGCAATGTAGTTGGTAGCTTGAGGTCTTATTTATACCTCAGGCCTAAAGCAGGTGTAGCAACAAAGTGAGCCAAATTTGACAATGAGGTTTTGTGCACTGATATACATCTTGAAAGGCTTTACATATGTCAAATATGCCACTATACTATACTAGTATATTATACTATGGGTATAGTATATTTAACTAGACTATAGAACTATACTATACCAAGTATATTTCAGATGCAGTATAGTATAGTATAGTGGTGGCCCAGCCATGCAATAAATTTGTGCTGGACTACCTGGTTGCACAGAGACTTAGAGCATCCACAGCTGCGCTGTGAATTTGTAATGTACGGAGGGTCACACAGATTGTTTAGGGCAGTGTTTGAGGTATGAGTTTTGAACAATGTACAGCCGTGGTTCCCTGCAGTAAGGTTTGTAGCATAATAGGGTAGGTGTATTATGGGTTAGCTGATCACCAAGATGCATGATTTGCAGAGAGTCTGATCATAGAAGTTGGAGTTTATGGGAGAAGTGAGGTACAAAAGGATTTGGGGTGCAAGCGGAAAAGTACCATATTTGGCCTATTTTGGCTTGCACATAGAGAATCACCCAAGCTAAGTAGGCTTGGGGGTAACAGCTGTGGATAAAAATACTCCAAATCTACGTACAGCACGGTTTACGGCACACGGCTGGGGATTCTCTTAGAGCATCCACAGCCATGTGGCTTAAATCATGTCGTATGGAAATTTAGGGCAAAATCATCCATAGCCAATGCCCTAAATTTTCACATAGCTAAGGGAATTCCCTCCGTGCGAGCCAAAATAGGCCAAATATGTTCTATTTTGGCTTGCTCCCTAAATTCATCTGCACCTCGCTTCTCCCATAACTCCCACTTCCACGACCACACTCCCTGCAGAATAGGGACTGGGCGAAGCGCTGCAAAAATCCAATTCAACCGTAGTTGAAATACTATCGCAAGCAATCCAGCCCCTGTTGAATCAATATCAAAATTCCCTATTTTTATTAGTCAACTTCATGAGACTAAAAAAAATAGGGTGGCGCATAGCCGGTTGCCATCATCTGATGGGCTCTCCAATCCAAAACTTCCTACTCCTCAGCCAAAAGCCTTAGGCTGACCGCATCAGGATTGCCTGATATACCTTTCACAGATAAGGCTGTGGCCCTGAGCTCTCCGGTGGTGGTGCCCACGGGGGAGCCCGAAAAGGAAGTTTGTACCTTTGGGTTGGGGTCCTCATGAAGAACCCCTTGCAAGATAGACGTTGGAACATCCTATAGAAGTTGAGCAAGCAATCGGGTCTGTGGGAATATGGCCTTGGGAATGAACCCGGACTCAGCTTTGTCATCCCAATGAGATTTTGAACGGGGCACTTGGACATGCGAAAGGTCAGTGATATGTTCCTCCTGTTTAAATCTCTTCGGACAACTTCCTTGCTATACTTGCGCTAATTCAGGTGGCAAAATCCTGTGCTCGTCCGAACTTCGCCCAGTCCCTAATATCTCCCTCAATGGTCAACTAACCCATAACTCACTTCACAAAATATGCTACAAGCCGTACTGTACGACACCATGGCTGTGCATTGTTCGAAATCTATGCCTCAAACACTTGCCTAAACGATCCGTGCGACGCTCCGTACAATATGATTTTACGGCACGGCCGGGGATGCTCTTAGAGAAGTGTTTGAGGTATAGAAAGTGGGTTATCCATAGCCGTAATTCCCTGCTGTATAGGTTGTATTTGAACATATTCTGACAAAAACATTTATGGCTTTGTACATTGAACATCGACATGTTGGATGGTGCGGGATTTAATTATATCACTCAAAAATCTGGGGGAAGCAAGGTATAGATGCATTCAGGCAACAGGTCAAAATAGAACAAATTTGTTCTATTCTGGCTCGGAGTCGCATGGAGGCAAATCCCTTGTTACGCAAAAATTTAGGGCATCATCTGTACAATTTTGCCTAAATTTCCGTACGACACGATTTACGGCACTGCACTGAGGATGCTCTTATAAGTGGTAGTAAGGTGATATCATCATATGAAGCTTCCATATAGACAAAGATGAACTGATTTACTGATTCATATCCAATTTCTTTATAAAACCCTGTGGCACTATAGTCTAGATACGCTGAAACTGTGAAACAGAAAGTAAACCACATCATGAAAGATGAACAATAGTAATACCCTAGATCACTAGACTTTGGATTTCAAGCTCGACAAGTATATCACACTAATGCTGAAGTCATAAGTAAATCTATAACTATCATTTGTTTAATCTACTATTTTGAACCAAGTTACATATGAAGCATTCATACCAGCTCTTTTGTATCAAGTGAAAGATCATCTCATCCTGGACTTGCGCGGTTATTACATAGTTCAGGTTTCTAGCTGGTATCAGTGTCAGATCCGGAGGTGGGTGGGGGGGTTGGGGGCCCGGGGGAGGCTGGGGGCGAATCCTTGTTGGGATCGCCAATGTTAAATAAGCAGTTCGGGTCGTTCTCACCACATGGCACCTCCAACATATCCTTCTCAAAGTATTCTCCTTCTCCACGTAATCTTTCACCCAATTGAACATTTTTGGTGACCAAGGCTTCATTAAAAGATACCGATAAGATGAGCATGGCTCCGAGTCCGACGATGGCGAAGTTCATGATGAAGATTTCTAATTTGTCGAGCAAGTGTTAATTAAATCAAGGCTTGTCAACAATCAATCAATCAATCAATTGAAGATTCAAGACTCACCAAGAAGCTAGAAGCAAAAAGATTGTGTTAAAAGATTGTATATAGGTTGGGTTCGGATTAAAGCCAAGGGTAGCTAAAGCCAATCATAAAACGATAAAGAGAATGAAGATGGGATCAGTTCATCTGAAAAGTCTACAGAGACTGAGTGATTGTAAGCAGCTGGCCATTCAACATTGTAAGGGAACAAACCAAGACAATTGTGGAGGTCAGACAAATAAACCTCGATGAGATGATAGGATGATCAGGAATTAATCAGCAGAAGAGTCGAGCTTTTATAGTCTTTGGAGAGCGGCTGAGTTACTGGGTTCGGTATCTTTCTTGGTCATCAACTCCTAGAACATCATGCTACGGTCGCTTGCAACGCCTTTGCAAAGTTTCATTATCTTGAATTTTCAAACGTAGGTTGGTCTGAGTCTAGCTTAAGCTTAACACACACCAAAGGTCGCGTGCGGTTTGAGGAGAGACTTGGTTAATGTGACTTTGTATGACACGAGTCCTTTGATTGTTCGCTCTCCGCTTGTATCACGTAAATGTTTTGGTATTTGTGAAGTTAACGGGATAAAATTATGAACCCACATCGCAGCCGCTCAGATGAGAGCTTTGTTAAGCTAAAGATCTGACCATGTATGAATTGACACGAGTCCTTTGATTATTCGCTCTCCGCTTGTATCACGTAAATGTTTTGGCAATGGTGAAGCGTTTTGCTTATCGCTATGAGCAATGGCTAGTAACGGGGTAAAATCATGAACCCACATCGCCGCCTCTCAGATGAGGGATTTGTTAAGCTAGTAAATTGTTACTTGTTACTTTGATAAGTTTAAATAATCAACCGCACAATCATCTGTAGTATGACTTCTTATAAGTAAAACGATCAAATTCATGATTTCCGAGTTCTTACTTTTAGTTTGAAATCTTTTTTTACAACTTGAACCTATCTACATCCTAAATACTCATTCTCATTCTCTTTTATCATTAATTTTTTATAACCTTTTATCCGTTATCAACAAACCAAATGAAACTCTTATAAACCCTACCAAAACTATCTTTCGGATCCTTTATCATCAAACACTTCATTAATTCATCGCATTAAATCCACTCTCATCTCTTATAAGTTTATCTTAGCCTCTACGTGCCCTTTACCCTGGAACCTACCGGTTCATACGGTGTCCCTATCTTACCTGAAAACCTTATTTACATCGGCTTTATATTTCAACTGGGTTGATGATTTTACCGGGTTACAAGCCACTGCTCAAAAACGCTAAGCTACCAATTACACAATCGCCAAAAACATTGACGTGGTACTAGTGGAGAGGATACAATCAAAGGACTCGTGTCATACAAGCTCACAATTTTACTACAGTACCACACGATTAATGAGACACACACCCTAATTTAACTAAACCCCTCTTAGCAACCAAAACACCAGATTTGAAGGTTGCTTTTGTAGCTTACTAAAGCCCTCTGCGCGCAGCCGCGTTCGCGCCCTCGCACTTTCTTCTTTTCAAACAAGAGACAATGTATTAGATATTTTTATTCAAGAGTATGAGAATAAGATGATGAATAAATGAAAAAAAGGAAAAGTTACTCAACGTTCAAAAGTTCTGAATCAAATTCTTGTGTTAAAGTATAACTTAAATGATGTTGATCAATTTGGTTCATCAAATGATTAAACCAATTAACCAAATCTCGACTTTCTTTTCCATCTATCATTTACAAAAAATATCATCATCAGCATTCACATCACAAAAACATTGAAACAGTAGAAAATACAAAAAACAAACCAATCGAATTTAATAAACCGATCCTATAAACCAAATTCCAAACCAATGTAAGTTTCCAATTCAAATTTAAATTTCAAGCTTCAGGTCCTTGGTTTGTTTTTTTCCGATTTAAATCATGTACATGATTAGATCTTCATAATTGATCTAATCTTAACCTTTTTGGACTTTTTTCAAGTTCTGGTTTTTCTTCTTAAATTTGAAGTTCTTCTTCTATTGCATCTATTGAATGAAATAAATGACTAACAGTAGTTTTATAATAATTTGAAAACTACATTTTTTATTAATAGAAATCAGTTTTGGTTTTGTTCCTTTAAAGTTTGAAGAAAGCAACGATGAAAACACTCAACTTTGATACTTCCAGAAATTACAAATTCTCCTAACCAATCTTCTCTTTGCTTAAGTTTACTAAATTGATCATAAAAAGGAAAAAGTGAAGCAGAAATGAATGGAATCCATTTAAATAGAATCAAAGTTTCTTTTAAAGTTGAATTTAATTGAATTCCATTATTATTGAGATCTTCATGATTTGAAAATTGGTTAATCACTCTTGAAATTCGAATTGATAAATCAGGTTTGACGGTTGAAGTGGAAATTTCATTTTCAAATCTTTTGGGGATTGTAAAGATATAGGTATATAAGTTTAGATGGTTAATAAGTTCCATTGATAATAATAGAGATGGACCTATGTGTTCAAAAATCTAAAGATGAGTTTAATTCAAGATTAATAATTGAAATAAGAAGTGCTCACCATGCATCATTTTCTCTAATTCGATCACAATCCTTTCTCTACTGACTTTCTCCTGTACAGCCATCTGTTTCCAGCAAAGAAAAACAAATCAATATTTAAACCTTTCTTAATTTCTTATAATACAATCAAGATACTGACAGTGATTTGATTGGATTGAGCAGCTTGAATGATTTGGTCATCTAATTGAAATCCAAATCAACTTGAAAACCTCATACAACGTAATACTCGAAGTGGATCATGTTTGAAAGTTTCTAAAGCAGGTAAAGGTGTTTTAATCAAACCATTCTTTAAATCTTGCAGGCCCTGAAATCCCCACAAAAAAACAAAGTGAATCAGTCATTAGATCAGGAATTGAAGAATGTTTAAGGAAAGATGATTACTAATTCAGTTTGATCTTCGATTTGATCATTATGAATATCATGAGATAATGCATTTATCGTTATATCACGTCTCATTGTATCTTCTTTTGGAGTACCAAACCTCTAAACCAACCGAAAAAGAAAAAAGAATGAATCAATAAATTCAAGTTTTTCTTGATGAAAATTGAAAAACTTACTACATCAGTAGGAATTCTAGAATCCGAATGATAAATTTCATTTCTCAATTGAACAAAATCTCATTCAAGACTTGAAACTTTACTTGTTGCAGTTTCTAAATGTTTACTTTCATGATCTTGTCTTGCTTCAATTAATTGCGATTTTACCTAATAACCCATCTTTTTGATTTGAATTAGTAGAAACATGATTTGAAAAATGGTGAGCGAATTGAGTTCCAGTTTAATGATGAAATTGCTAAATCTAAATCATGTGATTCTACACCAGATAACTGTTTCAAAACAAAACCATCGTTTGTTTGTTATTTTTCATTAGAATTTATCGAATGAAATTAGGAATAACTTTACCTTGTCTCTTACTCAACCACCAGCTATTCTACTCATTTGATTGAATTTGATGATGATTTATTTTTGAATTAGTTCTTGTTTTGAATGAATTTGTTTTTTTGATAAATAAGTTGGATTGATGATTGAATGTGTCTTGAAGTTGAATGATAAGATTGAAGACCTGATTCGATTTCTCATTGGTCGAGATCAAAAATCGGTCAAGAGACAATCCAAAGTGTCTCATCATAACACTTCCCATACAAACCCTAGATGTATGCGCTGTTCGATTTGAAAAAGATTGTATTTTCACTGACACCACTAAAAAGACAAGTGTCATTTGACCTTCACCGTCTCATGAGGGTACTTCAGGCTACATACTTCCACATAAATCCTCGAATGATTGCAAAGTTTCTGCACATTATCGCCACGGTGAGTTGGTACGTTCTCCAAAACAAGAACAATATTTGCAGCTGGGTAAGGATTCATCATTGGAAGCTGATGTCAAAGACAGAGCACGCCAGTACATATTTGATTGATTTGAGGGTTCAAGAAGCTTAAAATGCGAAAGAGCATAATCATATCAGTCAGCAATATTAGCTGTGAAAAGAGGTGACAAGATGTAAAAATTGTCAAAAATGAAGGTTTTCAGCTGATTACATATGTCAAAACTTGTCAGATCATGATGGGTGATAGCTCAATCAACACAGACAGTTTCATTTCATAATAGTGGTACACAAACTTGAACACCCGACCCAAAAAACCATGGACAAAACAATTGGGTTGTCATGGGTTTGTCCATGGGTTTTTAGGTTGGGTGTTCATGTTTGTGTACTGCTAATGTACAACCTGTAAACCTATAGTAACTGAGGTGTGATGAAAACATTACAGTCAAACCGGAAAAGCTTGCCACCAATTCCCCGCCAATTTGCTCATGTTTTGCAGGCAAAATCGGTCAAGCTTTTTGGGTTTGACTGTATCAGAAAACAAAGGAAATGGTGTGAATTTCAACTTTTGCGCTTACATACACACATGTATGTAGCAACATTTACACAACAAAAAGCTTATTTGATCAATTGCTACAGCTCAAAAACTCATTCATCACACATCAGAAGTGGATAATATGGGGGCAATTATTGATCAGCATAGCAAGAGCTATAAGATGAGCTATAGTAATCCAAAATTGGACAACTTTACAAAAAAGTTGTAATTCTAAAAATGGTTTCTCCGCTATAGATATTAGCAAAAGATCACCTGCATTCATCATAAGAAGATCTGTTCATCATTTATAAACATCAATTGTTCAATTTCACAGCTTAAATCACACCATACATTAGTAATAAGTACATCATAGGATCACATCAGAGGGGTTTTTGAGGGGTTTTCCATTCTACTACTGGTAGAGTGTTTGAGAGATCAAGTGTGTCTCATACATACTTAGGACTGAAGGACTTGTCCTACGTCCACCTCCGAGGTGTGATCTTTACATTCATGTCAGGATTGTGCCAGTTGGGGTAGGGAGGGCCAGCCTGGGGCTTGGTTTTTCAGAACCAAACAGCCCGGAGGCTTGGGTTCTGTGAACCAATCAGTCTGGCTGGGGTCCTCCATTGGGTCAGAGGGTGTGACATTTTGGTTTCTCCTTACAACAAAATACTTACTGTTCTGTTGGGTGGGTGGGATGGTTGACAAAAATGTGAGAACTCAAAGTCTCCTTGGGGAGTCTCTTGAGCTTCTGATCAATGGACTTGCAATGACTTCTATCATAATCTAGTCTTTGATGACTAGAGCAGGAGTGGTGAGAGTGTGGGTAGGAAAAAACTTTGCCTTGGTGCACAGATGGTTTGGCACTACTTGTCTGGGGACCAAGTGGTGTGCGGGTCTCTCACGGTCCCACTATCCACGGTTGCCGCAAGTCATCATGGACTTACAAACCATCTGTGTTATGATGGTTCTCTCAATGTCAAGTTTTTGTTGCTTCTTGAAAATTGTTTACCATTATTGAAGTATTGGAAAGATGATTTATGTTATGGATGGTTGTTTTATGTTTTTTCCGCTTTTTCTCATCTTATAATTCTGTTAGAGTGTTTTTAATCATTATTAAATTACTTCATCAGTACTAACCAACCTGGCTTGCAGCGCTGCGCAGCGCTGCCAGCCGTATTTCGGCCAGCGCAGCTCAAATCTGGCTTGCTTGGGGGTGGTAACTTTGAGTGCAACTTGCCAAAAGACTCACCGAAAATTAGGAGCTGAAAGCAGAGCTTATGACCAGCAGCGCTTTGCAGCACTGCAGGCCAAAACAAAGCACACTTTATTTTGAAAATGAAAGTGAATTTATTGATGAATATAACAGACTGTCAAGAAACTAAAACAAGAGGTAGTTTGGTTGGTAAAAGACTGTAAACAAGGCTAAAGAAGGTGAGATAAATAAACTTGAGACAAATAAAAAAGAAACACAAGTGAAAATTTAATTAGCAATTGAACAGTCAATGAGTTTCTATTGTAAACAAATGATTTGAATTTCAGTTGATCACAATTGATTAGCCGTGCTCAAAGTTGACCTGGTTTCAAGAAAACCCAGTTGACCCAGTTGATTTTTGGCAGTAACTTTGTGAATCAAGTTGACATTATTTGACAGCTCACAGCCAAAAAGTCAACTGGGTCAACTGGGTTTTTTGTAACCGGGTCAACTTTGAGCACGGCTATTAATTAAGCTTTGCATGCCTTTTAGTTTCATAACACTAATAAGTTGAATACTACATTGTACTTCAATATTGAATTTGATATGAAATCTTTCACTTTTCAATGTACAACAATTTGAATAAGGTTTCTAATATGTACCGTTTATTAATATATATTTGCTCAATCCAGACAAATTGACCATGAATTGCACCCAATTTTAAGCTCTTTCCACATTCATTGTAGTAGCAGGTCGACTTAAGAAAGAGGTGGGCGCAATTCTCGTCAGTCTTACTACACGTAAACTTGATGGTAATAATGGACCTGAATGTGATTGAACTTTTAATTTGAATGCTGATCTACTATTGCTTTCTCATCTTGATTGAATTGATTGGATTCATTGATTCTTTGCAATTCTTGAATTTGATTTTGTCAATTTTGTGCTTATGTTAAAAGATTATGCTTCCTAAATAAGACTTGATTGTGATGTTCCATTTGATTCTGGGTTGATATTTGGGTGTGAGGGTTTACTTGGTTCACAATTTTTTATAGTTTGTCTAGGTTTGGTTTATGAAAATCAGAAGGGATCAACTAGATCTTGATTGGTGCAAGTCAAAGAGACAAATCTAGAGCAAGATGATATTTAGTCAAATTGAGTTGACGTGAAAGTATTTGGACCTATCGATAGAGCTGGTTGGAGTGGTAGCTTGAGCTATAGCAATACCAAAGGTCACAATGATGCTGTGGCAGTTGGAGTTGCAAGAAACAATCACCCGGATTCCTGGACAATTCAAACCGAGGTCAGTGAATTCAAACCATTTCTGACAGAATTTGTTAATCGACTCACACAAAAATTGTTGGCTGAGTTATGTTGAGGTCCTGTGGCATGGAAAGTTCATGTCATTGGCATGAAGAAAGATCTGAAAAGATCAAAAGCTTGTTACATAATTAAAATACTGTCACTAGTGCGGTGCCAAATAGAATGGTGTGATTTGATTAGCTGGATCGGTGTTGGATACTGGTTGATGTGGTGACGCCTGAGCACTGGCTGTAGGACAGTGTGGGGCTGACCTTGGCAGCGGAAAATGCAGTGCCCCCCTATTGGGGGCCTCAAAGGTTAGCTGAAGACGCAACACCCGGGAGCCAAGCTCCCCGGCCAACGGAACGGCTGCGCCTGGCGCTGCGCGCTTTCCTCTGCACTGCAAGCCAGGTTTGGTACTAAGTTTGTCAGCTATGAGAAGCTCTGCAGAGCAGAACATCCAAGAAACTGACAATTACATATATATTTAAAACAATTCACATCTCTATCACTCGAGTTTCAAGAGTGTAACTTAAAAAATAATCTGATTAAATTATTACATTAAAATTTGAAACATTTATTTAAAAGGCATTATCCTTTTTTAACTAATGTTTCCAACTTGAATAAGATAATTACATCAGCGTGAATAATTCTACTGGGCAAAGGGTAATTAGAACCCTGCCCAGGAATCCTAATCACTAACAACCACAGCGACCAGTCCCTTAACCAGAACAGGGACTAATCAAAGGGTCTAGGCTAGGAAAACCCTTCCCAACCACAGCCCAGGAATGAATACTCCGCCACGTTAAATCGAATTAACTAACCAAACAGTTATTGGTTAAATACTGATCATCATCGGCCAAGATAAGAAAAGACCTCACCTTTTTTTACCCATCTACATCCTTACTACAAATAAAACCTTTTCAAAATCATCTTTAGATTTAGAACCATCCTTACAAGCCTTTTAACTCTTCCCTTCTGAACTTCTTTCGAGTTTAAATAGACATCTTATAAACCTAGATTCATTTACATCGAACTTATCTCAGATCTCTAGAAGAATTATCGGCCTTTTTCTCTATTCCCCTATCTCTTTACTTTCGGAAGTTTTACAGATCGTCTAGTGCTGTCTAGTCGACTAAAACTGTCCATCCTTTTTTGATATACACATCAACCAACGCTGAAGCGTCACCTAAGGAATAACTACGAGTTTTCGTATTCACCTTAGAAGGCTAATCTAGTAAGTGTACACCACGGGGCAACTTTGAACTGGGACCACGTGAAATGTAAGTTGGGTATGACCACGCCGAGTGGTTGTGTAGAACAGGTGAAGGCAGTGTGAGTGCGGCTACGTGGCCCTCACCCGATGCTTGTCACCTGCTCTACACATCAAGAGGAAGACCATGTCGGCATGACGTGGCTTACCAGCCTATCAGTCGGTGAGCTGGTTGGTACGCGCGCGACCTGCCAGCAAGGTGCTCAGCAGGTGATTCAGCTTGCGTGCCGGTAGTATAAGCTGATTTGCCTTCTGAGCACCTCGCTGGCAGGTGAGCTAACCAGCCAGGTGCTCAGCGGGCAATTGAATTTGGATCAGGTGCTCAGCACGTGAACAATCCTCCCTCATGTGAGTCATTATGGCTCAGGTTCACTCGCAACAGGGCAGCTCATGCATCTTGAAGACATCTTTTAGAACATTTTTTTTTTCATTTCAATTCATTTCCATCCACATGTATATACCAAATTAAGTATTACACATTCATAGTCGAAAATGGCCAAGGTAATAAACTAAACAGGATTGAAAAAAACGATTGAAAAAGAAGAAAATCAAGTAAATAGAAATAAAATGAATAAAAAACATGTAGCCCTAGTAAAGCGGAAGGAAAATATATAGAAAAATAAAGAGAAGAATTGTTAGTAAAGAAAGTAATTAGAACAAAAAGAGAGAGATAGGAATCAAGGTACATACTTACAATTAAAACATATAATTTTGAACAAGACCAATTGGATATAAGAAATGCAATTGAAAGAATTTATCAAAATTAAATCAAAAGAAATCAGTATCAAGTAAAAGAATAATAAGACATAAAAATAGGAAGAACTCCCGTTTATCAGTTAGAGATTGATTGGGTGACGAGATCTTGATAACCAAAGCAATGAATCAATGACAAATTAAAAAAAATTGTACTCAATAGATAAACCGAAGTGATAGAAGATGAGTTGGAGCAATTTGCAAGCTAAATGATGCAGACTGGTGATGATAGCTTTGACACCCTAGAAAACAATCGAAAGACATGACTAGTTGTAAACATCATAATACAAGGCTCTTAGTATCAAGTTGGCAATATTGGATGACAAAGAAGAAGAAAAGACTTATGTGATGGGCTAGCTCAATATAAGCAAAGAGTGATCAAGAAGAGCTGTTGGCCAAAGTGATTTTGAAATTTGAAGGTCGCGTTTCCAGGCTGTGTAAATATGTACTAAATGTCATGCCTGGTGACATTTTCATAACCGGGCTTATGGACAATGAAGTATGACGTCACAGGTACATGTCACAAATCTCACTACACTTTGTCCGCTGCCCCAGTCTAGCCCATTCTACGCTCGAGTTCTTCATCACACATGGGTCAGTGATCACATCACATCGATCACCTTTGTCTTGGAGCCACTCATTCATTTGACTTCTATTGCATCATGATTCTGATAGGTATCAGTTGGCTGGATCCAACTCTTTCTTTTCTTTCCAACCACTCTTTCAAATTTCATTCATTCAGATTCATATTTGCTGACTCTGGTCCTCTTCCATTCATATTGAAGTCCTTTGATCGATTGTTTCATTTGTCAGCCTTTACTTCTTTCATATTTATCTCATTCAAGTTACTGTGAAGCTTGATGTCATGATTTGCTCCTGTTTGAAGTGTTAATTTCAAACCCTTTGATCGTTTGTTTCATTTGTAAGTTCTCTTTTCCCCTTGCTTGAACGATTTTCTGATGTATCAATGAAGTTGAAGACTGACCTTTTGGTACTTTTCTGTCAATTTGTTCATATATTCATCATCATTCCTCTCTACCAGATATCAATGTTCTCCTTCCTTTTTGTTCATATGGTTCTTATTGTCCCGTACACCTGGATCGATCTCGTAGATTGTAGGTCTTTCTTTGTCCCAATTTTTTTTATCTCTCACTGATCAATTCATTGGTTTACTGCTTAATCAATAGAACCAATTGATCAAATCTATCAAGCACTACAATCAATAATCGAAAATTTCACTCGCAGACTATTTCTATTTCTGTTACCTTACTGTTTTCAATGTTGTTTGTGTTTCTATCATCACCGTAACTAGTTTTTGTCCATGCAAAGATCAGATTAGTTGGTATACTATGCACTGCGTGAGCAAAAATTGAGAACCTCCCAGCCTGATTCAACTGTTGTGGCTATTCAGCCATCATGAGGCTGGATGAGCCAACGCTCACCAGCTCAATACAACTTCCGTACAGTACAAGCGTGTGAGCTTTCACACCTGGTCGTCACAAAGCTTGCCTCATACCCTAACAAGGCGAGTCAGCTCACCCGTTCATTTATGATATGAGTTGACTCACCCGCTCATCAGGTGAGTTATCACGCTTTAGCAAGGTGATCAGATTGGGTGAAGGCCACACTGGCTGGCACGTGTAACTCACGTTGGGTATGACAATGTAGACAGCACATATTTCAATGGCTCACGTGAGCGTCACGTGCCATCCGCCCCGTGGTGTACTAGTTAGTAAACCGGCAGCAGTATAAATCCTGCACCGAAGTTCTTTATAACTAACAATTATAAACTCCTCTCTCAGACAGACTTACTTACGAAGAACTGAAAAATAACTATCAAAAGTTTAGTAGAAATACTTATCAAACTTTTAGAAGATACATTTCGTAAGTACAATTTAGCTTGTTATACTTGATTCACGATCATTCAGTAGCCCAAGCTGACAAAGTTCACAAAATAGCCCCTTTAGGTCAAAAGGAGAAATTTCTATACATGTGATAACACTGTAAGTCTTCATTGTAAGAAAATGAAGATCACAAGCTTGACACTGTAGATCTACAACAGAAACCTTTATAAAGGTGTTATAAACTAATCAGCCCGTGTTGACAAGACACACTGAGGTAAATGAAGTGAGCACAAGTTCTAAACTCGGACAGAACTGAAAGAGGACAGGAAGTGTTATAGATAGAACTGAAATAGAGATAAGTTGTAAACAGTAAGAAGAGAAAAGAAAAGTGAAAAAGATGAACATCAGAGAGCAACACAAATTTGATTCAGTAAGGTTCTCAGTAGGATAGGAGGTAAGGAAATAGTAGAATTGGTAATAACTCACATTCAGAATCTTTTTCCGTGATGAGGGAAAAAGTTCTAAATGTGAGGAGAGGCTTGGTTATAAGAGAGAGGGTCAAAACAAGAAATTGTTAAACAGAAATAACATGCCCAATTTCTACTAAACTACCAATCCCAATCCATTCATTTTCTTCCCACACTTCCACAACATGATCTGTTCATAGATCCCAATCTGGTAAGACCTTAACATTTCAACATCTTGATCATGTATCATTTTAAATTGATGTGTTTCTTTCTAATAGTAATATGTTGTTATTTCATCCCTTCCTGTCCATACTACATCAACTAAGGGTGACCTGATTACATCTCCTAGACCTCCATTGGGTTTGACCAATCCACAATTTACTTCAACATTAATTCAAACTAGCAAATTGGGCGGCGGGCGCCGCCTTTGTGTCTAGGGTTTTGCTCTGCAAATGTGACCACTGACATTGAAATGAGGATAAAAGGACTCATTTCAAGTCATTTTGAAGGAGATGCTCTGGATGAAGGCATATCAAAATTACTCTTAGCTCCTCGCCCAGCTGGGGACTTCAGGTGCACATATAATTGCCAGGTTAATCAGGCCTGTCATTGAGTTGTGTGTTGTGCAGTATAGCAGATCTCAATCATCAATGACCATCAATTTATCAAAATGGAAAAGTTGCAAATATTATCTTGTAGAATATTCTAAAAACTTGTGATTCTTTTGAAGGGTACTTACCAATTCTATCAACAATAATGAATAGGGATAGTACTCAATAGCCAAGCAGGATGGATTTGCTATCCATAGCCAACAGCGGGCAGCAGCATATTATGTTCCATACTCAAGGGAGATTTTAAGCAGTTCAAAGTTATGGAAACTATTCAAATTACCCAATTCAAGCAATAGTGAGAGTGAAAGAAAAAGCCAAGAGTTTCTTGTACCTGATAGCTTCTATCAAGACCAATCATCAATATTCATGTATTTTGATTTGATCACATAACAACAGGTGGTTTGAATTTATGATCATTTTATGATGAACTTCATCTTTGGACTTACAAAAGTTCGAAGATTTATTACATGTTCTGCTTTATTGTAGTAGCTTCTTGAATTTTGGGTTGAATATGGTGCTCTTTGAAGCTTTGTACCTTTGTTTCAAAGGCTATCTTAATTTCATCTTAGACCAAACTAACTCATATATAAACACTTCTCTCCATTGCTTGTGTATACTTCAAGCATTGATCAGACTTAGATAGATGTCTGAAGATCTTAAAGTATTTGCGTCAGATTTCCATCTGATTGTAGAGTACTGCAATGTCCTCACTACAAAGAAAAATTCTGACCGTTGGTTTAAACATAGTTTTTTTGGTGGATTCACTGTTTTGTGCTACTAAACGTAAATATCCTCCTTTTTTAAAATCAGCTTTGACTTGAGTAGGTGTTCTACCCATTGAAGATCCAATACCTTTGACCAAGATTGATTCACCAATTCCAAGTTCAATCCTTTCATAATCAGGACACAGCTGTATGAGAGAAGAATCAAGGTTTTTGGAAAGTTAGATGACTTTATGGATTCAAACTTTGATCAAGAAGAGATCTGAAAGACTCAACTTGATTGATACATAAAATGATTCTGATCAATTCATTGGGAGTTCAATCAATCACTTTTGTAAGATGTTGACTTAGATATTTAGTGATTTCTAGTCGTTCGGTAGTCGTGTCAATCAAAGTAAAGGTATGAACCAAAGTTGCATATGGGATTCTGTCATTCAGAATTTGATTAGCTTTGAGTTTCAAGAAGAAAATTTTAGGAGATTTCAACTTACGGTGTTCCTTTAGCCTACGATGTTTTATCAGCACTATCATCTTCATTTATGATATCTACTAAATCTTCTCCTGTCTCATCTTCTTCATCATCTTCTTTGTCTTCTTCTTCTCCATCATTTTTGTTTTTTGCAACTTCAGTTGATGCCTCTTGTTTGTTGCTTGCTTTGGCTATGCAATTGAAATTGCTTGTCAGCGAGCTGATAAAAAAGATGAAAAGCATCAGAATTACTAACTGATTTTATCTTGATCATCAGTTTTAGTAACTTGTTCATGATCCTTTGAATCTAAAGAGATCTTTGCAATACACAAGATTACTCGTTTTTTTCCAACTCCTTCTTTTCTTTCACTACCTGATTTTTAAGCCAAATCCAGGCCATTTCGTCATCTAAACCAGCAAATAAAGCAGCTTCGCGCTCTTCGGCTATGACATCAATGGCAATTAATCGATTCTGAACATCAGGAAATTCGACTTTGCTCTTGACATTGAAAATTGCAATCGCCTCTTGTTGATGAGCATGGCGTTCGGATCTGATTCGAGCAGCTGCTGCAATCGCGGTATCTCGTTCAGCAGATTGAGCTGCCTTGCTGTCAAGTAATTTCTGGGTACGTAAGACTGAGTCGGTGGAAGTGGCAGCAATGGCATTGGCAAGTGTGCCCGGCGTCACCTCACGAGCAGGTGCCTTCTTCTTGTTGTTGGTTTTGGCTGGTTTAACTAAAGAGATTGATGCATCCGAGTCATCTGAGTCTGGTTGCTTTTGTTTACTCGGTTTTGATGGAGCTGCTTGTTTGACATGTGATACTTTGTTTGATATTGGCTCAGTCGGATTGGCGGTCTCTTCAGCTTTATCTGTACCAACGTTGATTTTGCTGGAGTCGGCTCCATCTATTCAGAAGAGATTTGAAAGAAGAGATAAGTAAAAAAGTTAGTACAGATGATATAAAATAAAAAAAAACAGATGATAAAAGAATATGAATATAAGAAATGATATCAAAAATATGGTCACCAACCAAGTACAATAACTCGGTCATTTCCAACAACCTCTTGATTCAAGTCTTCATCTTTTTTACGTATGTCACAAGATTTTTTACCTACTTGATCGTCTTCATCACCTTCATCCTCCACTTTTTTTGCTTTGACTCGGGCATTGCTGCTGGTTCCAGTACGTAAGGATCCAGTAGGTTTTGAGAAATGGAGCAATTCGTCCATTTGATCAAAGAAGATGAAGGCATGCTTGTGGAATTGGAGAGCATCCTGGTGTTTCTAGGGTGGACAAACAATCAAAGGTCAGCGAGTTAACGTGATTAGCATTACAATCCAAATACTCACCATGCCTTCATTGTTCCACCATTCCTGCGGCATATCTACTTGACATTCCCCTTTAACCCAGCCAATTCCAGTGTTTTCCTTCAACTTTTTGGCCGCAGCGTATATGCTCTTTCTCTGAATCATTAGATGAAAGAAGCATGGGGAGAAATCAGAGTGAGATCAAATATGTACAAAGAGTCTAACTTACTGATGAGTAACGATTTTTGATTTGTCGGAGAGTGAGCTTCTCATTTGAATACGCTAGATTATAGCCGGCGGTGACATTTGTGAAAGCAATCGGTTTCCAGGTCGTTCCCATCAAGTGTCCATTTTCTTTTTGAGTTAAAAACTTGTTGAGGACAAATCGTACTTTGGAATCGGTCCACTTTGCTTCGTCTTGGGGTCCGGAGTCCTTTTCAGCTCAAGGCATGGTGAATGATGATTCTTAAAAATGATTCTTGAAAACTGTTGATTGATGATGTTTGATGAAGAAAGAGATCTTGGAGTGAGGAAAGAGAAGGAAGGGTGAAGTGAAGATCTTTGACGTTGTCCAGTTTTCAAGCTGAGGGACGTCAAAGGGTGTTGTAAGTGAATTTCGCTAAGGCCCAAAATGAGATTATGGAGTGATAATCTCCCTTTTCGCGTTTTTGCAAAGGGAGGTATTGATCTCATTTTGGGACGGGGAATGAGTTGATTTTTCAAGTCCATAATCCTTACCGAACGTCTTTTTTGATACATATTTTTTCCAATTTCAACTGCGATTCTGGGAAATGATCGCAAAAAGTAATCGCAACCGAACGTAGCCTGAAGTGGGACTTTCTTGATTTAGAGCTGGCATAGACGTGCAGGTGGCCAAAATTTGAGTCTTGACTTACCTGTGCTTGAGGAAGTTTAATCCAGTTTGGCCTGATCTCAGATGAGGCAAGTGGATGTTTTAAACCAGGTTTGCCTTTGACTTGTATGATATGATATGACATGACATGATTGATCCTTGATGTTTTCACTTAATGAGACTGATTCTGAGTGACAACCATCAAGGTCAGTTCAATGAATTGATAGAGTATCTAAAAGTAATCACAAAAGACTGACTTGTCCGGTCTGATGGTGAGTTGATCTTCTGATTGTCTGTTTATTGAACAGTGAAGGGAGACGCCAAGGGTGTAGGAGCAGGCGAGTTCGAAATGGCGGTAGGATGAGTTACCTAAGGTTTCAAGAACGTGAGAGATAGCCCTTCTCCAAGAGAGATTGTACTTGGTGGATGTGTTGATTCATATACGGTGGTGATTTTACAGGTACCCAAACAACTTATTGAAGAGGCATGTATAAGAGGACAATGTTTCAAGTCAGGTTCCGTACCAGGTAGCGATGGGGAGGGCAAGTTGAGATTTAGATGAGGTAAAGAGGCTGGAGAAGACATAAGAGATGACAAACCGGAGAGTGCCAGATGCCGCAAATTTAAATTTGATTGGAGGATCATTAGATGGAGGAACTTGAGGTGAGTCCACCAAGACTTTCTCAAAGACTTTGATCCATACGAGTTTGGCTGGAATGGAATCAACGGAGAAGATTGGAGGATCAGATAGAGCTTGAGTGAACTGAAGATCCTAAGGAGTAAGCGGCTGAGACTTGAGTAAGGCCATACAATGTGAGGTCCGACTAAGATCCAATAGCCATTGATTGACTTGATGCAAGGAGGAGGACAAATGTAGGCTGACACTACAAATTGCACCCACACTTTTCGTTCTTTTTCCGCAATTCCGTAGCAAGCCGTTGAAGCTTTTATGATCATTTGAATCCAACGTGCTCCTACTGGGGCTAGTCGGTAAAGCCATGACTTCTGCATCAAGATCGAGATGTTTCCAATTGTTGGACTGGTTTGGGATTGAGGGTTTGTGATGAATGGCAAATTGAGAAAGATTACTTGGGAGTTTGATCAGAGGTATTGCAAACAAGAGTGACCAAGGCCCAGGTTCGTTTGTCAGATTGGTATGTCCGCAGACTGAATTGGAAACTTGGGAAATTGAGGTAGCAAGGAATGTTGCTATGAAGGCTGCCCACAAGGACGTTGCATCACATTAAAACTGGTTGGTTGAAGTTGTAAAACTCGTGCTGGTGAATAATGGAGTGTGGCAGACGGTATTCTTGTCGGTGGATCTTGCTGGGGGTATTGAATTGGGGTGAGGAAACAGAATTTGATGAATCAAGGATTGTGCAATCAAGAGGATAGGCCGTGGAGGTCTGCCCAGTAAAGTAGGGTTAATTGGAATCTACTATCTAGATGCTTAGGGGTTTAGGGGGTCATATGAAGGCTTAAGGGGTTTAATCCAGTTTTGCCGAGAAACTCAGTCGTGCCTTTAGTTTTATAATAACAATCTAATTGATTGTTGCTGGTCTTTGGTTAATAACATTGTGCTTCTGTTGTGATTAAATTGGAAGAATACTATAGCAGCGTTGAGTTTTTTTCTTATATCAAACTCACAGGAATAATACTTGAACCAAGTATTGCTAAATATTTATCTGGTGCCTTATTTTTAAGAATTGAGCAAATCACTGTCTTGATTATTTCAAAGATGCAGTCTTCAGGCAACTTCTATTAGTGAGTTATACTAGTAGATTATCCCTCCTTAAGCTCTGTGAAGCTCTTGTTGAGCTTTAAGTTCTACACCGTGTTGACAAACGTTTTGCTCAATTGCTCACCTCTATGATACATATCTAACCTCAAAGAAGCAAGGGGTAAACACTTACATGACTTTGTACAGTATACCCTTCAGTGACAAGTAAACTTGCTAATGCAGGTTATGTAAGGTATCCTGATCATAGGAAACCTGTTTAAAATGGAAACTTGGGTTTGTTAAAGGAGACAAAAGGTGTGTTGACAAGTTGAAAGTCTATGTGGTCATATGAATTTGTCTTGCCTTTGAGTTTTGAGTGTTGCCATGGCTTCAAGAGCTGAAAAATATATTGACAGGGAAACCCATATGTATCAACATCTATAGTAAGGAGCAGGAAATGATGTGGGAGATGTGCAAGTGTGCCTGGAGAAAAATCTTTTTGGTGATTGTTGGCATGGGAATCAAAGTTTTTCCATTCAAGAAGTGTCATCTAGATGATCTGATTGCATGATGAACCAAATTTTGAAGCTGGTCTGAAGCCCTTGATTCAAGATCCTGAGGACTTCAATGATAGGGAGTACCACTTTGTACTGTGCACAGCTTAGACTCTCTGAATGAATTAGATTGGTGCAGATGATTGATTCAGGTGGAATGGTTTGTGAAGTTCAAGAAGGAGTCAAGTCCTTGCATGGGATTTGCACTTTCTGAATGGAACTCTTGAAGAAAAGATGTAAATGTTTGCACAAATGTTTCCCAGAAGTTATATGAAACCCTGCAGCATTTGAACCAAACTTTTGAATGAGTTTGTGACTCCTGGTCAAAGCACATAGAGCATTACAAGATTTATTTTTCAATTTGATACCCAAGACATAAAGAGCATTTCAATCACAATATTAAACTCATATGAAAGTCAAAGCCTTTTCTTGTACAATTGCCTAGGTTCTGGCCTAGGGAGGATTCAAAACTCCTATCACACATTTGAGAGAACCTGCAAGGAACAAGCTGGGCTGGAATCCCAAGAGACTTGGTGGAGCTGAGGGGGTCAGCCCTGGGTAGTTTCAAGCCTAGAGGTGTTTGTACAGGAGAGAACAATTTCCAATTCCTCTCAGACCTTGTATCATTCACAAATCTCATTCACTTGATACATCAGAAATCCCTGATGCACAGCGTAACCAGTGCACTTCAAGGTGGACCGTTGCACCAGGAATGTCTGGAAACCCCACTGCACTCTTCAGCACCTCTGGGGGTTGATTGGTTTTGGTCCACTGCACAGATTCACACCAAAGCCGTGCACAGTCAGCCAAGAAGACAAAAGTGAATATTGTTTAGTTTTTGGTAAATTCTCACATTCAGTTTTTATGTATTTTTTTATTTTTATTTCTGTTATGTTCTATTGTTAATTTTGGGGGTTTGACTCTTGTTTTTATTAAACCCTTCTCCATTTATTACTTATGGCATTTGTCTGTTGTCTCTTATTGTGTATCAATATCTTATGTCCAATTTTTCTTTGTATTGATCAATACTTTGCTATTTTATTTATGCATGCAACCACTACACCACTGTGCTTGAATGCACTGTCTAGCATTAAAGGGGACCCTTCCTTTGAATACACAGTGACATGTTTGCACCACAGCTCAAAACCTGACAACCATTACCAGAAGCTCACATTTCTTCCCAAAACTGAAAGGCACTGCAGTGATGTCAGGGATGGACATCAGGCTCAAATTGATTGGAAATCATATTCATCAATCTAAGTTCCATACTCTCAAGTTGATAAATTTCTGATGCTGCCTTCCTGCCCCTGAATTTACAGAAGTTTAAAAAACAGAAAAGCATGAGAACCTTACACACCAAGCCACCAGCAATTAGCTAGCCAAGATAAGGTTAGTTTACAAGAATCAATCTCAGAGACCTGGCCATGCCACTGCCCTGTACTAGCTGTTCTGACAAAAGGTAAGAGTAGCTAAACCTGTGTACAACTCTTGCATATAGAATCATAGAGTTTATAGTCATGTCAAAGATTAAGGGCACTCCATAGTGTAACTGAAATAGGACTGGGCTTGTGTTAATTTAGATACGGTTTCCAGACAAGATGTCAAGTCTTGATGAACTTGCCTTTCAATTTTTACTAGTGATTCAAGGGTGCAAGATCATCTGATTCTATTTGTTATCACCTGGTCTCAACCACATGCACTCCGCAAAAGTTGAAATCTGGCAATCCAAGTTAACCCACATGCCCCAAGGTGTTTTTATTTTGTTTTTATTTTAGTTTATATCCATATATTTTGGACGCATGGGTTCATAGTGTACCTTATGATTCAATAAAATGGCTTTAGGCCGCACTTAGGTGTTGATGATATGGTCTCAGGATGCACTTAAGGGTTATTGATATGGCTTTTGGTAATAGTGATGGGTCTAGGACCACTCATTTTGGTTGAATATGTGGTGTGAATATGACCAAAAAAGCATGACACATAGCACATCACTACTCATCATCATTTCTGATCAGGGCCAGGGCCAAACTGAATTAGGATTTATTTGAGTCTAGGTGATAACAACTGAATGAAAATCTTTGTAGCAATACATTTTTGTTGATACCTGTTCATTGTTGACATTGATAATTATCTATGAATGTAAAGTGTAACACAAGAGAGTTTCTAGCAGTATAATCTTAGTTAGCCACCTGAAGCAATGTAATATTCTTTGAGACCAATATCATTGAAATACCTCAAGATAGCATTGAACACCAAAAATGCTGACAGTTTTATCCACTTTCAAGTGAATAAACTACTTCTTGTTAGTTGAGGGACAATGGTCATCAAGAATTTGTTGAACATAGTGAATGAGGTGTTTAACAGAGACAGAAGGTATTTTCACAATTTGGAAGTCAATATGGTCATCTGAACCTGGTCTGCTTGTAGTGATTGAATCTTGCCATGAATCAAAGAGTTTAAGGATAGCTTGGGAGGGAAACTTATTTGGATCAATACATACAACAAGTGATTGAAACATATCTTCAGTAGAACGGATTGAATTGGGTGAAGCAAGAATGCGTTTGGAGAAAAGCAACCTCTGAAGATCTCTGGAATTGAAATCAAGTTTCTTCCATTCAGAAAAATTCATCTTCAGAAATTTGATTGCATTTTGAATCAATTTTTGTAGTTGGTTGGCATCCAAGTTCTCTTTGTTCAAGACTCTGATCAGTCCAATAAAAGGAACTGTCAGTCTGTACTGTGCCAAACTGACGGCCTTAATTATACGGCTAAGACCATCTGAATGAATCCCATTGTGCCAGACACTTGATTCAGCTGGAAAATTCTGTGATTCAGAACATTGATTCTTGTATGATATATGTAGCTTATGGATGAGATCCTCAAAGAACACATGTAAATCTTTGCACACTTCCCTACCAACATCTGTATGGAACTGTGCAGCATTTGAGCCAAATTCCCATATATGGTTAGGTGATAAGTTTTCTTTGCCATTCAGGTGCCAATTGTCCCTTTCAAATTGTTCTGGGCCCCAGAATGAGTAGTTCCGGATACCCCTCCTTGTGTAAATTCCACCTTGATCAGTTTTACAATCAGTGTACCATGTGGTTTGTACTGTCTTGTATTGATTCCACATATCCGTGGGGACTTTTGAATGCCCTCTATCTTTGGACCAAAGCAGTGAAATAGATAATATCATTGAATAGCTTACTGCAGCCCTGTTTTGAATATCCTTCAAGTATCTCAAGTGGAATTCTGGATTTAATGAATGCCCTTGATCAAATTGAGTTACTTTTCCAAAATGAAACTGCTCAAGTGTTGCATCCTTCCAGGTGCTATAAAAGCCTTTCATGAAATTCCAACCATCCTTCAGTGTTCTTTCAGTGTCATTCTCTTCATTTTGACCAGCCTCAAAGACTCTCAGGATACCAAGGAACGTCATGACAACTGCATATGCTGCATTCTTTATAGCACGCCTTACAGATCTGACGTCTTTAGCATCAAATTGTTCTACACCTTTGATTCCCTTGTAAATATCTAGGAAAAACTCATATATCTCATAACAAAGTGAGGGGGACCGATTCACATTTAGCATCCCAATTTTGTGAAGAAGACCATAAATCTTCTTCCCAACATTTGACTGCACATCTTTGCTACTTGCAGGGCCACATTTTTCTTTAATTGCCATGGTTTGGTCAGTTATTGAGATCCTCTGTTCATTGTTAGTACCAGTAAAATCAACCGGTTCATTTTGTCTTGCCACTGAAGCATCAGACATGGGAGCCAATAATTTCTCCTTATCTGATGTGAGATTGATGTGCTTCTCATTAAAAACTGGGGTGATACCCAATTCTCTCCTTCTTCTTTTTAATCTGTATCTTTTCACAGCATCAATCCTTGTTTGGACAAAAACACCATGGGCTTCCAATTCATATTTTTGCTGTCTTCTTTTCCGTGATATATTTGAGATACTTTTTTCCCTGCTGACTATTGGTTTGAGAACCATGGGCTTCCAATTCATATTTTTGCTGTCTTCTTTTCCGTGATATATTTGAGATACTTTTTTCCCTGCTGACTATTGGTTTGAGAACATTTTTCTTCTTTGAATCTGGGAGCTCATTCTGTTGATTAGGAAGCCTTTCAAGGCTTGTGATTTTTGACAACTGATCCTTGCCATTTGGGATGTGATTTGTTTTCAAATTGCACCCTAAGAGCTCCTGTGTGTCATTGGTTACCCCTGGAGGCAGAAAGGAATGCTTTTCTGATTGCTGATAATCATCTTTGTTCCTGATAGATTCATGGTGTTGATAATATTCATTCATGGATTGAGTATAATCAAATATATCAGCCTCTTGTGGACTAAATGAATCATAGGTTGGAATTTCATGATTGTATTCCCACATATTTTCAGATGTTACTTCTCTCAGAGAATGCCCTCCTTTTGTATTTATGGCTGGTATACTTGGACTTGCAAAGGTGATATCTGGGATGTATTCCATCAAAGGGGTGTGATTCATAATGTCTATTGATGAAATCTTGTGTGTTGAAGGTGTACCATGATTAGTTTTTCCAAGGTCATCAAAGGACTGACTTACTCCCTGGCCAATTTGCTTCCCTAAAAGTTGCTCCAAATCACCCATATTGTGCGCACTGAACTCTGTGACCAAAAAGTCTTCAGAAGGATTGAGTTTTGTCCAAGAATGAGTCTCTGGAGTACATCCCCAATCATCAAGAATTTTTGCCTCCAATTGTGATCCTGCACAAACATAACTAGACCAATGCTTCAGAGCCAAAAACATGAATAATTTTACAAACCATGCCCTCCCAGACATGATTAGAGTTAGGTAGTGAGAGAATATGTGATATATTTGAATTTTTGATTGGCTAAGAGTTATGCAGTGGTTGGAGATGCCTAGAGGAAACTGTGCTATGTGGTGAAGCCAAAAGATCTTCAGCAAGAACAATAAAGTAGGATGCTAGTCAAGAAGAAAGAAAGAGATAAGATAAATATTTCTAAGATGTTTCAAGTTTTGGTATACTTCACTTTCAAACAGTTTCAACAGATGAATAATGTTTGAATGAGCAGTTTGTGATTTATGTTCATATTGTGATACATAGAGGAAAGCTTGCAACATGTGAAAGCGGGTTTACAAACTTGTCACAACAAAAAAATTATTACTACTTTTCACAATAATATGAATGCATCAAGATTCCATGTATGCAATTTGGATAAACTTGTTTGTCAAATTCTTTTGGTGATCACTTGAGCTTCTTTGAAGTATACAGTCGCCTCTGCGAGAACCAATACATGACAAAACCGATAATCATGCAAAACCAATACTTTTTTGAGCAAATAAATCTTCATTTTTAGTGAATTTTGCTCTGAGAAAACAGATACTCGGTGAAAACCAATAGCTTTGGACCCAATTTTTTGGGTATCGGTTTTCACAGAGGTGACTGTATCTGCATGGATGCTGCATTTTACATTGGAGAGTCACAAAGATTGAGACTGCACCTTTGCAAACCTGATGTCAATGGCACTCAGACCAGTATGTGTTGCAGTAATCCAATTTTGCTTGTTTCAACAGGGAAGCTCCAATATTGGAGCTACTCCAACTACATCATCATCAAAAAAATCACAGGCAACTGTCACTAACAAAAATGGTCTTGTACCCAAAAATCTCAAGTATCTTCAGTGGAAGTGGTTCCACCCCAATTTTAAGGAGCTGAGTTGTTGACTATGAAAGCAAATTTCTTTGGTATTCTGAATATGTTGATGCCTTGGACAAGATGATATATGTGCAACCTTGAGGCCACAAACTATCCACCAAGATAGAAGCCAAACTCCTGTGGGCCAAAGTTAGAACACAAATTTTTCTCAGCTGTAAGCTTGACTATACAGCTGTGTGCTCTTCAGGGGGTATTTCAATTATGATACCTTGTAAGGTAGATTCATTAGGTTTTTGGAAATGTTATAGTGTTGAATTCTAGCCCTTGTGAGTTATCTTTAGAGACAAGCCATGATCAAACATCTGCCCAATCCGACTCAATTTTGATGATGTTGGTTGAATGTCTGCACACTTCCCAAAAAATTTCATACCAAGGAGTATGAAGACTTCTCTAAGCCTATCAGACCAGGCTAGAAGTTCTTCCTTTGATAAACCAGCTGATTTTGACAAATCATTGACTACTGTAAAAGGGTGGATGGCATCTCTCCTAGTATATTCCCAGATTTGTGTCTGGATTTGAAGTCATGCCCATTTCAAAGAGCTCACTGTCAGATAGCAGACACGGAATGTCCAATTGGGAAAAAACATTTTTGATGAAATTGAAGCTCCCCATTCAATGGCAATTTAACAGTGTAGGTCATGTTTGATCAAGCGAGCGGAGCAAAAAGCACGGTCCCTGAGAGGAACTCCCTAACACTGACTCCTTTTGTGACGGTGTACACATCTTGATTGATTTTTATGAGGGACATATCATCCCTTATGTGATGGAAGATCAATGTCACCTGAGTCCTGTTTTCGCATTGAAAACAATTTTAGAATACATTCAAATGAATTCCACATGAAAAGATATCTGCCCACATATCTTTCAACTCCCCTGAAACCCGCATTCCACCACACCTTCACACCACCTCTTCCACAAAAATATACTAATTACAATAAGAAACTAATGATTTGAACATCTGATTTTTCTAACTTTTTCTAATTTACATACATATTCCCAATTTGACCAATTTAATTCTGTTGTATTGAGTTGAGTCCCAATTAATTTTAATAATTTTAATCGATTTGAAAATTCATTTAAACTTAATCTTTCATTGGCTTCTGTTAAATCTTTTGCGCCTTTTCTAATATTTACAAAACTTTCTTGAATTTTCTGAAAGGTAAAAAAAGAGTTCAAAACGAAGTGTCAGAGATGTTACCAACTCAAAGTGCTGTCTTGAGAAAGATGGGAATTTACCGATGATAATTCATCTGAGATTTTGATGGATTTCAAGTTTTGAATTGAGTTTTGAATATATTCCCTCCAAAGTTGGATTTCAAATTCATCAGGTTCTTCAACAAATCCACGACTCTCTTTTTCAATAACCACTGGTAAATTCCAAAATCCTTCCAAAAAGCTCTTAGATTCAAAGCTTAAAACAATAAATCCAAGTGAAAGATTGAGAAAGAATTGATTGAAAGGAAATTGATAAAGTAAAGTTCGATCTTCTATCAAAGATTTCAAACATCCTATATTCTTGACTCCTAATGAGTTGAGTGTTCCTTCGTTCATATTCATCGAGTTTAAAATAACTTGTGTTGTTGAAGTGAGTTGTAATGAACCTGAAACAATCTGATCTTCATTTGAAATTGGAAACAGTCGATTTGAATTCAAGGTAGGGATATCAAATGGAACGGTAACTGTTCTTGTTAAAAGCTTGGACAACAAAGCAATCAACGATTCCGGTGACGGCGAAGAAGTCTTATAGACTAAATTCAACTGTAAAGTTTCGTTTGGAATTGAAAGTTTTGTATCACTTGGTCTAGAGAAACACAAACCCGTCAGCTGTTGGATTGATAAAAATTCATTTGCGTTTCTTTTAGAAAATTAGGCTTACGCGTTTGAGATAATTGAACACAACAAATATTCTGCCGCAAGTTCATCATTATTGAAAGCTTTGTGAGCGATATATCTTATCAAACGACTCCTGATTTTTTCGCATTCTTCAATCGGGTTCGAGGTCATGGGGTCCGAAATGACAAGATTAGGTATTGAATGATGAAAAATGACATGAATGCAGGGTATTAAATCCTTTTTGGTCTGAATGTCGTCTGGGTTTTGTTTGGGAATAATATCTTCTTCTGTATTCGAGTTGAATCTAAATCGAGGCAAAGTGATCAAGATCAATTTCAACCATAGTGGCATTTCAAAGCTTGAGAATAAAATAAGAAAGTCTTTCAGAGAATTCAAAGAATACTGACTCGATCCAATCCAAAATTCCGACAACTTCAATGGCAGAATGAGTTTTGATAGAATCGATTTCAAATTTTTGATCTTCGTCATAAACTTTCAACAAGACTCCTAAATGTTGTTGACCTTTCAAGGGAAACTTGTCACGTGTTGATGAAAGTTTAGATTGATCTTCATTCTTATGGAAGTCGGTTTCAGACGAGGAAGATAAATCCATTGTGTTCATTAAGTTGAACTCGATTCCTTTATCGATTGGGCCATCTAACTTTTGTTTTAACCAATCAGATTCACCAGGAATTTCTACTGAATAAATCAATTCACGTTCTTGAAGCTGAAATTGACTTTCATTCGAATTCAAAGTTGGATCGAATTCTTCATGATGAGATTCTTGATAAATGGATGTTAAGTTTTGATTTGAATAAATTTCTTTCCCTAAACCGGTATCTTGAATCATACATCTGAACCTCACTAAAGTGGATTTAGGCAATGAACTTGGACTAGTTGATGGGTTTGTGATGGATGGTATCTAATTTCAAAATCGGTTCAATGTTCCTCAGATTGCATGAATAATGAAACTCGAATGACTTACTTTATAAATTGATTCTTGATTTGAAAATACTTCTTTGAATGAGTTTGAGATTGTAAGGTGAGATGCTCTCGTGCTTGATGCTGAGTTTTCATGAATTTCTTTGATAAGTTTCAATGGGGTTTTAATAATTTCTGTGATTCGTTTATCTGGATTCATTTTTCAGCGGTCGACCCTTCCTTATAAGTTCCGCGTCTGCTTTCTTTCTTTCTATGTTTCCTGTCCTGAATTCTTTAACTTTCCTTAACTTTTCTTGTGGTCGTTTGTGGTTCTTTTGATGTCCTGCCAAGTTTGTTCTTGCTTCAAAGTTCAAGTTGTCGTGTTTGAGTCACGTGATTGGGTTTCCATCACGTGATTCACCTTTCTCATAACCCATAATTTCATTAGTTTGCGCCAAATCTGAGAAGGACACCGAACAACCACCCTGACCTACCACAAAAAGAACATCAAGAACGAGAAGTTGACCTCGAAACCTTTAATGCCAGATCACTTCAACTCACATCTCATTCATCAATGCTTAACTTATGAGCTAAAATCAGACAAACAAACTCAACCCAATTCGATCTCAATCATTTCAACTCATTTACAATTCTCATTCGCATTCCATATCTCTTTGAATTTATTATCAAACCATCGATCCACTCGTGACGAATATATCATCATCATCATACCTAAATCTCAAACAGATTTCAATGAGCAAATAAATCTAGAAGCAGATGCTCATCTGTCCAATTTGGATCCTCAGCTTAATCTCTTGCTTGGAGATGTCCAATTCTGGTGAATGACCTTACTTGAAAAGATTCAAGGATGTGATTGTACACTTTCGAAGAAAAATAGCAAACTCGACTGATTTGATTTTGTGGCATCAGTTTTTGTGAGCAACTATCTCAACTGATCGACCTTCTCGCTAGGATATCCAAACTTTCATCAAATGACGCTTCGACAAATCCAAAACTTCTATCCATCATCATTCTAAACCCGACCTTTTATATGTAAGTCTCATCGAAAGGAAACAAAAACAAAATTCTTCCAAAAGATTCATGAATCTTGCTTTTTGTGGAGATCAGATCACCTGAATCAAATTTATCAAGCTTAACTCAAGTATTGAGTTTAATTTCTTTAACTCAAGAAAACATTTCAAAAACCCAAACCTCACCCATCTTGATTTATTTAGAAAATGTTGATCGATTTCAAGACAATTTAATTCATCAAGAAACTCCAATCTACAATGTTTTTAATCACTTTTCTGATTCGATTTGGACTATTGATCATTACAGTTCGTTGCAATTTTTCGATTGTTCTCTATTGATCTCTTCTGGGTTTTTATTTACAAAAAGCCAATCTTGATAGTGCATCCTTTTTTGAATCTGTAAAGTGGAAAAGTTTACTTTAAAATCATTGAAGGATCCAGATCAGCAAGTGATAAAATATGAAGTTTTATCAGTGGATGATCAGGATCAAGTCGGTCCATTAGGTAAATATTATTTGACAAAAATTCTTCAGTAAATTTTCAATCTGTTTGAATTCCAATCACATTTTGTGTCAACTTAATTGTTGTATCATCAACTTAATGGTCAATTCTTGTTCCAAAATGTATATATATATGTAACCTCTTTGATGAACCCTGCCCACGTTTTCAATATGTCAAGTTCAATCAATATCCAGAGTATAGGACCTCAAGATAACATCTGAAACCTTGAAATTTACCATGTGAGCTCAGAATGGTATGTATAAGATTGTTCCAAAGTTCAAAAATTTGATTGAGTGAAAGTTCACCATGTAGATCAATATCATACCCCGAAAATTGAAGTTTTTTGAACAAGCTTCCAGAGAAGAGCCCAACAACAATAAGATGAACATTTCAACTGCTCATCCAAGACATGTTCTCAAGCAAAATCTAGATCAGTGTTCTCCTTGTAACAAGCGGGATATAGGAACTTCCAAAATAGTATTTTCAGATAGACGTAACCGGCATGAACGCCCTCATTATTGTCTGAAAATTTTCCTGGCCTTATCTTTCCAAGGAAACAATCTACACTTGATACCTGCACCGTGTCTGGATTCATGTAGCATATTGACATACACACACAAATGAATTTTGACAGACACTTGAAAGCCCCTTGGAAGAGATCTCCACAGCAGGGGTGTCTTTGTCTTGTCAACTGGGATATTGACACTGATCAGTTGACCCCTGCTGTTGACAAAGGATCCCGCCAATCCTATAACCAAACAATTTTTCATGAAGGGCTCGTAGGTTGGTACTGGTATTAACCAAGTGGAATCCATAGAAGGGGAATGACACTCTGTCCTGAGGGAAGTGTGCGAAATCACCTCTGAAAAGAGGTGCAACAAAATTGACAATCAACAACCTCCCCCAGAGATTTTGAGTCAAATCCTCACATCAATCTAGTTCCCTAGCAAGCGTGATTGTTAGAAGGAAATCTTTTTGTCCTCTCATTCAATTTTGTTTTCTTTCGCCAGTTCATTATCAACGAAAATAAAATTACAACAAATTAGAAAAAAATCTCAAATACAGCTTTTTCACTTATTTCTATTTTGTTATTAGTGTTACACAGAAATCATCAATTCTTAGTTGTTTTGCTATTAGTTTAATTTTTTTTCTTTTTTCCTGCCCGCCACCCTCTTAGTCAGACTAGGGTTAAGCTCCAAGGGGGGTCTTGTTATATTGTTTCATCTTAAAGTTGTTTCTATTTTTTCATTACTGTAGCTATCGCGGGAAGGGGGAACACCCCAGTGGGGTTGTTCAGCGCTGAGTGTGGCCCCCCTCAAGTACTCCCAGTCCTTTCCTGTCCAGCACCACACATCTCGGACCAGAACCAACTGCAATCCAGGCCTCTGGCCTCCATGAGTAGCACACAGACCCCGACAAATGACCCAAACTGATTCCACTCAACAACAATCTCAGTCTAAATCAACCAAGACTTTTAAATTTGTTCACAACTCTCTGTGTGTGATGTTGATGTGCTACAGCCTACAAGGATACAGACCTGGTGCTGGCTAAAAAAGAATAAACCACATTGTAGCGGAGGTCAGAGGGGAATGACAATGACTAAGGAAAAAATCATGACTCAGGATTTGTCTGAATTCAATCAACCTTGGATAATAAATTTTCTGGATTCAACATACGATTATATTTGAGGAATGTAGACCCCACATATCATATGAATGTTCTTTGAGGAAAAAAGCCTTGATCATGTCTTATTTGCCTTTTTTTAAATCCCCAGTCAAGGAGGTTTGCCTAAAGCTTGAAAAAGTCACCATTTTGGGGGATGATAGCTTTTCAAAATTGAGGGGTGTTGGGTGGAAATCTAAAGATTTCTTGTCAGATTTCCTGACTGACTTGTAGAGTCATCTATGATTATGAATAATCCGGTATGGTCAAGACTCAATAAGCAGGGTTAGTAATGAGGGTTGGAGTAAAGGGATCCTAAAAAGGTATTAGAAAGGGCACAATGGGTATGCATTCACCTCAAAACGCAGTATCCAACTCTTTCTCATTCCTTGATGAACGCTGAGTGCGTCTTGATGTTCAGGCAATCTTTAAATGTATCTCGACCTCAATGGTCAGAGTATGGTCACTGACACTGAGCATCTGTCATCGGTTAGTCGGTGGGGCTTGTGTTAAGCTAGGGTGTGCGGGGCCTTCGGGACACTTCAGTCTTATTACTGTGTCGAACTCCGCTATTGATCAAGCTTCGGTTTCTTCGTTCTGGTTCTCGTTAATCTTGGTTTTCATAATTTTTCCAAATTACTCAGGTGCATTCCCAAGATGATCCCTCGACTTGGCATGTCTTCCATCAAACGGAACTTTTCGTCTCGCGTTATTCCTAAACTTATGACCCCAAGGCAACTGCTAAAAGCAATCGAGAAACCTGATCACCAGTTTAAAGTGGTGGATGCATCCTGGCATATGCCAAACGCGAATCGTTCTCCTTTAGCTGAATTCGAAAAAGGACGTCGACTACCTAATGCTGTGTTTTTCGATCATGACAAAATCGCCGATCTCACTTATGCCGGTGGTTTACCTCACATGAGACCCAATCTTGATACCTTTCGAGTGGCTATGAACGATCTAGGAATATCCGCTTCCGATACTGTGGTGTTCTATGACTCTCTGGGCATATTTTCCGCGCCGCGCGCAGCCTGGCTCCTACACGTACGTGAAATGAGTTCGCTGTTTGAGTACTTAGATTGGGGAGAATCACTCGATCCTTGAGGTGACAAGTTAATATCTTCATCTCGTAAAAGTCATTTCATCATCCATCGATTGCAGTTCTTGACGGCGGCCTCCCACGTTGGATCGCTGAAGGCTTACCAACAGACTCTGGGCCTCCAAGTTCGGTTAAAAAATTAGATTATCAACTCATAGGAAGTCATGAGGAATGTGAAGGGAAACGATCTGTGACTAGTTATGACGATATCATTACTAACATCACAGATCAACGCATGGAAATTCTCGATGCTCGACCCCGCCCAAGGTCAGTGGTCTCAATCGTCCACGTCATGATCGAAGTTCGCACCAATCAAAGAAGTTGATTCTATTCGGTGGTACGGCTTGGTCGCATCATAGGTTTGAGGGTACAGCACCTGAGCCGAGGGCCAGTTTATCGAGTGGGCACATTCCAGGTTCCATCTCTCTACCATTCTCAGAACTCTTGGCTACACACAATGAAGGTTACCGCACCTTTTTATCGCCCGAGAAGCTGGAAGAAGTCTTCACATCCACTTTTGGTTCCGCTGAGCGCTGGGAAGCAGTCAAACAAGGAGAAAAAGAATTGGTTACCAGTTGTGGCAGTGGAATGACAGCCTGTATTATTTGGTTAGCAATTCAGATTTGCTCAGGTGGGGATCAGGCTAAGGTGAAAGTCTACGATGAGAGCTGGACTGGATACGCGTCGCGTCCAGGATCACCTATAGCCATGAACCTCAAAGGTGAACAAGATAAATGACATCAAATTGCATATCTTTAGGTGGGTATTGTATCACCAGTGTTTTGCTTTTGAATGATGTTGTAGTTGATGACATATACCACCCATACTCAGTCAAGTGATATGCAGCTGTTGTATTATTGATTTGCTTTGACCAATGTTCAGTTGGCCATTCATCTCCAAAGGGGTAACAGTCCGGTGGTTCCTTCTGTGGACCATTCATCAAGTCATGGGGCAAATCTGATTGCCTTGTATTTTGAATTCTGAATAAAGTGAGTAGACTAGCAAGATATAGGCAAGGGACAGCAACAGTAAAATTATTCAGTCTAGGGCAGTAAGGAGACAATCTCCTAGAACAGACAATTTTTGGAGCTATCAAGACTACACATTCCATCCAAGGAAGACCACCATATAAACTGTTGAATGCTATGATCTCCATGAAGGGGACTTTGGCTCCCACTCAAGATGGACTCAAAAAGCTGGGCAAATGACACCTTTTTTGCTCATTCAACATGAAATACTGCTCAGAAGAGATATGGGAACTGACAGAGCTTGGATAGACTACTCCAATGTAAAAAAGGATAGCCATATGAGGCATTGGAAACTTGACCACAAGCAATGAGAACATATTGTGAATGACTACAAATTTACCAGGCTATGTGGCAAGGAAGTGTAATGGTGCCAAGATGTACAGTGAAGCACCGGAGCAAAATCTTCTTTCCGGTGATCCACTACTGAGGGCCTGATATAATACAATGAGCAGTAATATCTTTGAGCTCTGTTGACCATATCCCAGATGTCTGTAGTTGGGAACCATCAAATATGAACTGGTTTGTTACTCCATTGAATTCAGGTGCTTTGACCAACAGACATAGTCTTAGTGTGGTTGGAACTTTCACATATTCATTTACATCCAGGGGGATATGAAGTTATCATAATTCATCTGATGAAAAGAGGGCACCTCTTGTGCACCTGAAACTTGGACCCGACCCGAGGATACTATCACATGTATCCTCGCAGCGGATCCGAAGGAAAGCGGGCAGATGCATCCTAAGATGCTAGGATGCATCTTTTGTAACCTCGTGAGGCTCTAAGTCGAACACATGCAAAGTACTTGACCATCTTTCACACTTCCTCACACATCTTACCAGCGCTTTTCACATTGTTTCACACTCCAACCCGCCTTCAACCAGTTTTCAAACAAGATAGCCTTCACACTTATTCACCCATCTATCTTCACACCTCTTCACCCATCTACACGGTTTTCACATCTCATCACCAAACACTCCAAACTTCACAATACTCTCTAAAGTTACCCTTCACCACCTTTCACAACTGTGACACACATACCCCAACCAAACAAGACCTCTTGTCACCTTCACCAATCCTCACACCCCAATACATCCTGCAGCGACCTTCACACCTCTACTGACTCCTCATCTTCACCCGTTCTTCACCCGTTCCGACC